AGCGCCTATTGCAACCATGATAAATATAGAGCGGTCTTATTAAAATTTAAATACAATATGATTGTCGATGGTAATAAGACGAAGTACAAGGTAACTGAGAAAAGTGTTTTGGTCATATACAAAGTACAAGAAGTAAGTATATGTAATGACACGTAGATTATCCATGAGTCTATTTATACTATAATTCGATTTACATCATTAATTTTATCTCAATCTTGAGTATATGTCGCAGCCTCGCAGGGTGGACGTCTTCACCTAAGTCATTATTTGACTTATTGTCACTTTCCTTTTATCTCAATCTTGAGTATATGTCGCAGCCTCGCAGGGTGAACGTCTTCATCTAAGTCATTATTTGACTTATTGTCACTTTCCAATAATAGTGACCGTTAATTTTCTTGATCATTAAAAAAAAAAAAAGAGACGGGCAAGTTAGGTTAGTATGGCATATGCATACTATAATTTGATCTACATAATTAATGTTATCCCAGTCTGGGTATATCATAGCGTTGGACGTTTTTTGCCCAAGTTATTATTTTCAAAAGTAATTTATATAATAAGATATTAATTTTAAAAATTATATTTATAATATTTGTGTGTCCATCACGCTGCGCTTTAGCAGTGTAGCTATCAAGACAAAAATAGTATAATATAAATATAAATTGGAAACATAATTTTGGAAAAAATGATTACGCGCCTGGGACCATCCATAACATTTTGAAGTGTCGCCGGCTGCTACATTGTCGAGGAAGAGCAAAATGTGCAGAAGTTGACATAATACTGTTCATCGAATCTTCATAGTTATCCTTAAAGAGATTTAATGACATTAATTTGTCGGCGCAAATTAAGCATAAGGAAATTATGTTGATAAGGTTGCCCGGTTAGCTCTTTCACCTTCTTCGATGTCTGTATTCCTATTCTGTTTGTTTTTCCAATTTTTTAGACAATTTTAATTACGTTGGTCAGATTAGTTTTGATTTGATACTTATAAATTTAAGAGTTTAACTTTCAATATGAGTAGTTTATTAGTTTTTTTTTAATGTGAGTCGGTCAATTATTAGTAACCTAAACTAGTTTAACTTCCTTGAAGTTCTTTGTTGACTAAATTCACAATGTAGAATTTTCTTAACGCATACCATCTATAAGTTTCTCTCTTCACAAAGTTTGAATTCCGATCCTATTGTGTCTGCGCTAAAGTACAATTGTGGTTTAGGCAGCGTTTAGCAAAAAATAAATTCAATAAAACAACATTTAATACCCTCTTGGTCGTATCCATCACACAAGGTATTCCTATTACAATTTGCATCTTCGATGTGAGTTATGAACTATTAGATTGGAGTGATTTACCCCGTGTACAATCTCAAATATATAGTGACTGTGAACTTCTCTAGTCATCCAATATATATATACTGATTCAAATGCGGACAGTGTTTCTTGTGTGGCCGGTGCGGATTCACTATTAGATATGCAAAAATGCACCATATAGTATTCAGAAATGCACCACACCACACCTAATGGTGCATTTCTGAACAGTTTGTAATGCATTTCTGCGTACCTAACGGTGAGTAACTGTACGGACGCACGGGAAACACTGTCCGCAGGAGATTCTGACCCTATAAATAAATATATAAATATATAAATATAAATAAATAAATAAATAAATATATATATATATATATATATATATATATATATATATATATATAATTAGGTTCTGGTGCAGTTAGGGTGCCCAGGTGCGGTTGTGCGGTTTAATCTGGGCCATTCATCTCGCTTAAATCAACGTCCAGGATTACCAAAATTTAAAAAAAAAGACGCGGTGTCAATTTTATAATTTTTGCATCTAGTCAAAATTAAGGTGAGCGGATCTGTGATTAATGTGCGTGAGTTTTGTATATAAGGTGCGTGAGTTTTGTGGGTAAGGTGCGTGAGGTTTGTGCTTAATGTGCGTGGGGTTGTGCTTAACGTGAGTAGTTGTTAAAACTTAAAGTCTGTGAGTTAATAATTAAAGTGCGTGGGTTTTGTGCTTAATGTGCGTGAGGTTGTGCTTAATGTGCGTGAGTTTTATACTTAATGTGCGTAAGTTTGTGCTTAATGTCAGAGTTGTTGAAACTTAAAGTCTATGAGTTAATATTTAAAGTGGTGGGTTTTGTGCTTAATGTGTGTTGGATGAAGAAGCATGCAGCACATCTAAATGACCAAAAGCGTCTTCCAAAAGCGCCTTCTTGTCCAACAATGTGTGTGAATTTTGTACTTAATGTGCGTGAGTTTATATACTTAATGTGTGTGGGTTTTGTACTTAATGTGCGTGAGTTTGTGCTTAAGATCTAACAGTTAAGGTGCGTGGCTTTCTTCCAAACACGCGTTTTTTTTTTTTTTTTTTCATTGATTTGAGCCGTTGATTTAGATTTGATCAACGGCTAAGATCTAACCGCATAACCGCACGGGAAGCTATATCTGCACATGAACCCTTCCCTGTGAAATATAAATGACAAGAAATTCATTAGAAAGGCAACAAAAAAGCGTATTATTGGTGTCTTTTGCGAGGCACACGTTTGGGCAATAAGAATGCAAACGAAGATGCAGATGGGAGGCTAATAATTGTAGTTACTGTAATGCAAAAGTGGTAGTTGTCGTTTTTAATTTCCTGGAAAGCAAAATTATTTTTCACCTAATAAATAATTATAGTTGATAAGCTTAATTGGGGATATATTATGATTGCATATTGGTTTACAAGTCCCATTCAGAATTATGGCAGTAATAATATGAACAACAGTAACGAACAAAACCTGGAATTAAACCACTGGGAAATCGAATCATTAGAATCATATGTATCTGCTAATTATGATACAGATAATTAATGATGGACTTTCTGGTCTTGGGTGTAAATTTTTCATAATGCTGACGTCATCACACTTAGAATTTATTTCCTACGGAGTATTTATTTTATAAAATAAAAGAGAAGCTAATTAAATTGAATTAAGCATAAAAGTTATGTTGAACATACTAGAGAACCAGTGAGCTAAGTCCATACCGGGTATGCATAAAACTTTTTTTTTTTAATGCTACTGAGTCTATTATAATGTAGTATCTGTTCATAACTACTTTTTTAACATTCTGAAGCATAAAAGTCTTATTGAGGGTTTGAGTGGTTTTTCCTGGCATAAGAGTATTTCATACGGGGAAAGTGTTTTTTTTTTTTTTCCTTCAGTTTCCTTCTCGCTACATTTTAAAAAAAAAATTATTATTTAAGGATATGAGTCATTTAAAAAAAAATTATTCAACTGGAATTTTTTTTTTATAAAGGTTAATATTAATAATATTATTATTATTATTTAGTTTTAATCAGTGATTATATTTGGGCTATTCTCCTTATATAATACTGTTTAACTATGGGCTTTAGCATATTTAGCCCTATTGTGAAACAGCCCCATTGTAAGGCCTTGCAAATTATGCCCTGGACCCGTGTCCACAATGAATTGTGGACACGGGCCCAAAACGACGTCGTTTTTAAAAAACAACGCGTCATTTAGTTATAAAAAAAAAAAAAAAATCGCGCGCGTTTTGCCGTTAACGGCGTTATTTATTTATTTTTTTTTTTTTTGATTATGAATGTACAGTTATGCCGTTATGAATGAACAGTTATGCCGTTATGAATGTACAGTTATGCAATTATGAAATTATGAACACAGATCTCTAACATTATGAACTTACAATTATGAACATATATAGTGATAAAATTATGATCATGGAACTTTAAAATTGTGAATATAGAGCTTCGAAGATTATGAATGTACAGTTATGGAGTTATGAATGTACAGTTATAGAGTTATGAATCTACAGTTATGGAGTTATGAATCTACAGTTATGAGATTATGAATCTACAGTATGGAATTATGAATGTACAGTTATTGATCGAATTATGAACAAAGAGCTCTAACATTATGAACATATAGTGATAAAATTATGAACATAGAGCTCTAAAATTGTGAACATAAAGCTTCAAAAATTATGAATGTACAATTATGGAGTTATGAATGTACAGTTATAGAGTTATGAATGTACAGTTATAGAGTTATGAATGTACAGTTATGGAGTTATGAATGTACAGTTATTAACATATAGTAATAAAATTATGAACATATACTCCTATAACGAAGTAGTCTGAAATTAAAAAAAAAAAAAAAGATAACAGTGCCTAACGGCACTGTGACCCGTGTCTAGCATGCTGGACACGGGTCCAACGCATAACGATATGCTGGACACGGGTCCAATGCATAACGATTGATAATTATCAAAGAAGTCCAAAAGCTTCTCTAGGATTATTTATTCAACCCAAAACCATTGAAAAATGCTAAATCAACAGGTATTGAGTGGACCGTAGTCCACACAGCTATGTGGATTATGGTTTAAAAACGACATCATCGCGCATCTTTTTCACGCGACCCAATATAAATTTTTATAACTTATAGTATACATTATTTTAACTCATAAAGTATATTATTATAACTCATAAATACATTATCTTAAAAAGAAGTTTCATTATTCTAACACATAAAATACATTATTTTAACACATAAATTACATTATTCTAGCACATAATGTACATTAACTTGACTCATAAAATACATTATTCTAACTCATAATATTCAATAACATCGTTTTAGACGGTAGTTCACACAGTTGTATGGACTGTATTTGCCATGCTATATGTATATTAAGTATTACAGAGTACGAATTAAGAGAGGAAAATAAAGAGCAAGAAAAGAAAAACTATTGTCACAAAAGGACTAGACAAGTGGATGGAGCTTGATTCTCAGTCAAAGGTTACAAATTTAATTATTGTCAACACGTTTTTTGTGGAGTTTGTAGCACATAATTTTTTTTCTAATGCTATTTACTTTTTTTTGTATAATTTATGAACTAAACATATTTTTCTAAGTCAATTAATATTTGTAAATGGTAAAGAAAGAAGTAAAAAGGAGTTATGTGTAACTGTGTAAGTAACTCAAAACGTTTATTCCATTATTAATTAAAGTGAAAGTGTACAATAAATACATTAAAGACGGTAAAAAAAATGAAATAAAATAAAACTAAACAAAATAATAAAGGATATAAAACACAGAAGATATTGCACATACTGAGTCACCATTTTCACAGTCCAGCGTTAAACGGAACGTTGGTCGCCGGCAACCACGACCGGCCCGCGATAAAATTCTCGACGCTGAACCGGGCCGCCTCACTTGCACTGCTGATAACGCGGTAGCCACCCCACCGGACTCTCTGACCCGTCGACGAACCCGGTCCAGAGTTCTTGTATTCGCCATAAAACAGCGTCTTCAACGCAAACTGGCCGTCCCACTCGAGCCAACCTGCCGGGTCAACTACAGACTCCATGTACGTCTGAAGAAAAACGGTTCGAGAATATTCCTTCCACGGCCTACCCAAGAAAGTCTTGAAGGAACTCAAAACCGGCTTGAGGTCCGCCGCCGCCATGACTCGCGAGTTGTGGATAGAGATTCCGGTGTTCTGGTTCGGGTCGGTCCGGCCCTGGGCCGTTATGGTGATCTTCTGCTTGTCCATCGGCTTCCTTGCGTATATCATACAGTTCTGGAAAACAACGGCGGCGTTTCCGAAGATGAAGTCGACGGTTCCGTAGATGTAACAATCTTTGTAGAACTGTCGTTGGGAGTGGGCGTAGAGGGTGTCTTGGTAGCCTTCGAATCCGCATTTGTAGAAGACGGAAAGATCGGCGCCGGACCTCAACGCCACGGCCTGGTGGTTCTCCGGCCCGGCGGTGTTCCGGAATGTTATGCCCTGTGCTATAAACCCATCCCCGGTCACCGCTGCAAGTCATCATATAATATCATACATTAGTATTTCAAATACTAATGTCACATATATTGGTCAAATATAAAATTATTTTAGTTTGAGTTTGTCATTTATAATAATCTAAATTGATTTAGATTTTGTTTGGTAACATAGTTAGCTTATCAAATCTTACTCCACCAATATTAGATGGTTGACTTGGTTAAACAACCCATATGAGTGTTTGATTAATTAGATTCTGTAATATTATTCCTCCAAAATGTATGTTAAAAATCATAAAGTTGGTCAAAGTAGCTTTTCCATCAGCTTACTTGACCACTATTAGCTGGTTGACTTGGTTAAATAATCAATATTAGTGTTTGATTAATTAGGTTTTTTATAAATATATTGCTCTAAAATGCTAAAAATAAAAAAGTTGCTCAAATAATTTTTTCGATCATCTTTTTTAGAAAAGTCATTTTGCATGTAATCAGTTATTATACGGAATATATATTATTTATACAAATAAAACTTGGGGAAAAAATTGATATACCAAAAGGGGAAAATTTTTCTAAAAATAATGTTCTTAGCGTGTTGATTAACATTTTTAAACTACTACTTTGGGAAAAAACTTGGGGACTAGCTAGAAGTACTTACCAACAGTTGCAGAGTTGAAGGTGGTGGAGCCACCGACGACGCTCCGGCTGCCGGAGATGTAAGTATATCTCATTCCGTCACCAACAAGCATTATGTTCTTCAGTTTGTTCCCAATGTCAAGGTTTTCATTGTAAACGCCGCGTTTTATATGTATAACAAATCTTCCGCTCCCGCTCCTCTTACCGGCGGCATCGAGGGCGTCTTTGATGGTCTTGTAGTTCCCGGAGCCGTCCTTAGCCACCACGAGGTCCGGCTTGACGGGGGACGATGCCTGGAGCAACCTCCGGTCGCCGAGCGAAACCCAAGCCGGAAAACCATCCTTATAGGTCTGCTTGGGGACGGAGCCGTTGTTGTTGAGAGCCAGCGTGTTCCCTATCAACTGCGAGACATTGTTGTTAGAGATGAGCGGCAACACGTTTCTTGAATTTCCGAGCTCCACGAACCCGGTCCGGCACGTCTCCAGGTTCGTCAGCGCCGTGCTCAGCCACGTCAGCGCGTCGAACTGGGTGCATTTCTCGTCCAACGTTTGGTTCAGCTGCAGTATCGTATCCTCGTACAGCTTAACGCAGTCGGCCCACGCCGCCTTCTCCCGCGCGTTCCGGCACCGCGGGCCGAGCCGTTTCGCGTGCGTCTCCGCCTGCACCGCCGTGTCCAGGGCTATTTCCGTCGCCATTTTCTTGAACTCCGACTTCCGTTTGGGCGCCGTGAAATGGCGGCGGCTATGGGTTAGGAAGTACTTGCATTGATCGGGGTGAGGGGTTTGGCTGCACCACCGGTTCACTTCGCCGGCGGCGGCGGGAGGGTTGACGGACAGGGCTACGGAGATGAAGGAAGAAAAGGAGGCTAATACGAGGAACAAATGTATCTTAGACATTTCTAAGTTTAGGATTTCTTATGGTTAATTAGTTGAGGTTTTGAGAGTGTTTATATAGTTGAATAAAGTTGTTTGCCAATTGCCACCTTGACAGATTGTCGAGAGTTGACTATTTGTAAGTTGACAGAATTGAATTGAATACTATTTCTTGAATAATCTAATTTAAAGGCATGTATAACAGTCCATTTGGACAAAGGAACTTGGGATTTCTTAACAAATAATTTGTATTTTTGTATTGTAAAGTTATACTTTGAGTTGAAAATATTGAATTTTTGTAAAAAAATAAGAGTACTAGTTGTTAAAAATGATGTATATTTGTGTAGCATTTAACATCAAGTCTCGATTTAACAATTTCTACGTTACACACCGTACACTAAGTCTTTCCTTAACAATCCTGACCCCCCCCCCCTCCCCCCTCCCCCTCCCTATCAGCATATGACAGCCTTAACATACACAACATGCTTTTATAGGTAGTATCGAAAATATAACTTTAATTTTTTTTATATTTGTGTAGCTGTCAACACCATATTTCTATAGCAGGATGTTGAATTTGGTCCTCTCAACTTCTCAACAATGACAATATATATCAAATCAATGTAATATGGATATTGCAGGTACTTGTATTCTTTATTTGTTCCATATTAATTTTTAAAAAATATTTTAATATAATCAAAATTTTAAAATTAGACATCAATATTGTTTGAAACTTATTTTTCTCCTAATGCATATAAAGATTAATATATAAAATATTTGGGGATAAAAACAAATTTTAAAAATACAAAGATTCCCTGACCAATATTATGTAAAGGCAGATAAAATTTTCAAACCTGAAATTATATTGTATATGAAACGTGTGTTTTATAGAACCTGAAAAATCAATAAAGTTGTCACTCGACCATCCATGTGCTTGCATGCAACTTTATTTGTATTAACAAATAATGGGGATTGAAATGATGAAATGAAAAGAGAGCATCAACTTTGCCATCTAAAAATAAAGAATTGTTTATGCTAATGTACTAATTCATCATTATTTTTTGACACTAATATGGTAAATTCCACCGAGTATATGTATTTGTGTGCTATTGTGTCGAGATGTGTACGAATAATAGCTCGGGTTATAGAGTTCGAGAGTTGGAGGTTCACGAGCTCATAAAGGATCTAGAGAGAAAGGGTTCAAAGTCTCCTTCCATAGGCGTCTCGCTAAGTATTTATAGACAAGAGGAGGGGACACATGTGCCGGGAGGTGGGTATGTGTGACACATGTCTCTCATGCACTCGGCGGCCTCGAAGGCCTATAGAAGTGCATACACATGCAAGAATATCTATGTACAATCAATTGCTACAGGGTTCGATTTGCGTGCTACAGTCGGGATCACATTCCTGTAATTGGGCCGAGACCGAGCTCAGAAAAGCTAGGGCAGAGGCTCATTAAGCATGACATTCGACCTCCAGGACGAGGGTCGGTCAGGTGCGACATTTTTGATCGGAAAATGACTCTCGTATTGCGATTGACCATATCTGACCAGATCCTTAGTATAACAGGGTACGTAGCGTGGGGTATATTCCTAGGTCTTGAATAAGAGTAGTGTAGATAAAGCAAGTCTTGGGTCTTGTTTGGTGTTCTGTGCCTTTTAGCATGCAGGAAAGTAGATAAGGGCATGTTACATGTTTAACATTAGGCCCCAATGCTTTAAGAAACCAATAAAATGGGCGGTTAGGCCCCAATGTTTTAAGAAACCAATAAAATGGGCGGATGCAAATGATGATCGAGTGGATTCCCTTTCCTATGCGTTTCCCTAGGGATGTGTCCTAATAGACTAATACATCTAGCTAACTATTAGGTATAGACTTTTTGCTCCTGAAAAATTTCTTGAGAAATTTTATATGTACTCTCAAATTATATTTATATTTTGTACTCTTTATGATATAGCATGCCTTAATTGCTTAATTTAATAGGGGACTATGATGTTTATTCATTTTTTTTCAATCAAATTTAAACACAAGTGGAAGTACGTACTACAATTTGATATTATGATTTTAGAAGTACATCTAGTGTATTTTTGAAATTTCTTTTATTTTTTAGAAAATTGAGGAATTAGAGAATCGAAAAAATAAAATAGAAAACATGTTTAATAATACAGTTTTTCTTTTTGAAAACAAGAAACAATTTTCCAGATTTTTAAAAAACTGAAAAACTATTAAAAATTATTTTTCTAAATGAAAGACAGAATCATCTATTTGATTATATATCACTATAACCGCATTCTCACCATTATCTACTTACATATTTATTCATTACTATGATTACATTCATTATCATATATCATCTTTTATATTTTGATTGAACTCAATTGATTGTTGGTTTGGATATTTTTAATTATGTTATATCGTAATATAAGCTATATCGGATATTGAAATTTCGCATATGTTAGTATGTTACTATATTAGAATTCAAAGTAAAAGTTATATATTTATATGAATTAATATACATGTCATTCAAATGAATATATCCAAAATATTTTAAATATTAGTTTAAAAAATATTAATATTATCTAAAATTAAATTTTAAGTGAACTTAATAGGTTATTGGTTCGGATATATTTTTAGTGATATTATATACATATATAAATTTAGTTCGGATATCAAATGTAAAACTCTTACATATTTTGGACTTAAAAGTAAAAACTATATTTATTCTATTTAAACCAAAAATATTTTAAAATATTTAAAATATAAGGTCTAAAAATCACTCGAAATTAAACTTGTGTCAATTTTATAACATTAATCTAAAAAAAAAATTTTAAAATAAGTGTTAATAAACAAATTTTTTAATCGAAAACAAAAAATGAAAAACAGATAATAAAAATTGAAAAATTAGAAAACAGAAAACAAAAAACATTTTCCATTAGTAAATGGACCCTTAGATTGTTAAGTTCAATATTCCGCTATTAAAATGTGATGTCAATTATTTTGTAAATATAATAAAATAAAGTTATGCATTCGTTATTAGTTACTCCGTATAACTTTTGGCGTGATAACACGTGTTTAATCTTACTGATATGGTGATCTTGAGCCTCATTCCGGGTAGAGTAATGTTATAATCCGTTCTTAATTTTCACCTATTTATGTGAATTGTGATAATATTTGATTAATTAGTTTATTTTATATTTGATTAAATGAATATATATTCTTTTTTTTTTAACATTAGATGGAACCAACTAATTTACAATAGCTAATAAGTCAATAGAAGATACAACAATGGTCATTTATTATATTATAGCCTATACATGCTACGCGGTAATTAATTGATTTCATATTCTTTGAGAGTTGATTTTTTGTTCTAAATCCACAAGTATATATCAATCTCAAGACTTTTACATATAAAATTTGTCGTTAATGTCATTAAAGTACAAAATTCTTGATAATTTAAAAATCCTTTTTATTGTGCAAACTGGATGGTTTTGAGGGCTAGTGAGTTGCCATTGTGATTATATATGTTTTTGAGAACCCGTAAGATAAAATACTAATCCTTATATCATGGATAAGCAGCCACAGTGCATTGTGTACTGGTGCGTGTGTATGTGTTTTATATTGTGAGTTTTTTTTCTTGTGTTTTTTGTTATTAAATTTTGTATCATAAGAATATTAATTTTGTACCTGAAATAAATTAGTAAGTGTATCTTATATTATGAATTTATGTATCTAGGATAGTGAAATTTTGTGCCTATAAATACAAATTATATATGTACCTAAATTAAATTTAAAAAATACGTAAATATATATATGCGTATTGTGTAGTGATTTTTTGTGTCTTTTGTTATGAGAGTCTATACTTTATGAGTATGAATTCTATACCTCATCATTTCGATCCAGGGTCCACATAACCTTGATCCATGATTTAAATTGCCGTGAAATACATTTGATTTTAATTGCTGATAATGTGGGAGAGGTTTAACCACAATTTATCTAGTTTGTGAATTTAAAAATTTTTAACCTTGTTTTCTTTCTGTTGTAGCTAGTACTGTCAAAGCGGGCTGCCCCGCCCCATTAGGCCGCCCCCACCGCAGGCTTAATTTTTAACAGACTTTTGCAGACCGACCCATGAACTCGGGTTCGTGCAACTCTAACCCGCCCCGTGCGGGTTGGTGAGCTCCGCGGGCCGACCCGCGAACTTTTTTTTAGTGTTTAAATATTTTTAAAATTAATATTTAAAAAATATTAATCTCATATATATATATATATATATATATATATATATATATATATATATATATGCGTTACACAGCACGATAGAATTCTGCCTTGTTGTGTAACATTATATATATAAATAAATACATTATATATTTATATATATGATGTTACACAGTAAGGCAGAATTCTGCCTTGCTGTGTAACGTATATTTATTTATTTATTTATTTATTTTTGTAATAGGTCTAGCCCGCGGGCCGGTATGCAGCCCGTGTGGGTTAGCCCGCGTGGGTTGCGGGTCAATTTTAGCCCACCCTATTAGGTCTGTATTTTCACGGGTCTATTTTTTCATGACTTTAACCCGCCCCACTGCGGGGCATGTGCGGACCAATTCCCGGACTTCGGCCTACTTTAACAGTACTAACTAGTTGTAGCTCCAAAAAAAAAAAAATCCCCTAGCAATGCTAGCATAGCTCAATTCGTTAATCAACTATTATAAACTTCGGTCCCACTGAATGTGATGGGATGTTAGTAAGGGGTCCACTGATTAGTATCTCCAATCATGTCGTTATGTTATCAATCATCTAACCATTAACCTAGTCGACAACATAGGAATTTCGGTGGTTTTACACCGTTGGATCATGGATGACTTGACTCATTCAAATATTAACTATTAACCTTTAATTTAGTATTGGGATGGAAGGTTCGCTTTTCGGTGAGCCGCGTTCAATCACTTTGATTTATAATCCCGTGTTCAATCAAACAATGCATTTCAACTCTTTGATTTATAGGAAATCTGGCAACTGATACTAACTTAAGTTACTTTAATCTTGCTTTCAAAAAGAAAAATAAAAATTACTTTAATCAATTCAAATGAATAACGCTAATAAACAACTTTTCCTAATAATATCAACCATGAAACTTTATATCCCGTACGAGCTTAGCTCACTGGTTCAATAAGCAGTATTTGATAGAAGAGACTAAGGTTCGAATAAAGCGGGTAGATCCTTTGTACACACCGACATTTGACTATATTTACTGATGAGTCATTGAATCACCGTGATTTATATCTTCTCAAATATATACTTTGTCGGATCGGGGTGTGGGGGGCCCTTGAGATTGAGGATTCAACCATTATGGGAGAAAAAAACATGAAACTTTATAGTTATCAAGTTAATAATAACATGACCAATTCGACCCAAAGTTGTCCCCAGTTCAACTCTTGCGATATGATTAATATTTTCCTTAATTCTTAAAAAACTGTAAAATGAAAAATGAAAGAAAATAATATAGTTGGATCATGCAAAGTTGGCACTCTTATTTTTAGTCATAAAATAAAAACCTAAATTATTATATTCTCAGAAAACCAAATTAAAATATCTACAACTCTTGTTTGAAAACAAAAAAAAAATATTTATGTAAAATTTCTTCATGGATGATGTTGACTTTGAGGATAACTGGCATGTTCCAGCTGATTGATAGACAGACCACAGTACTAATGTAAACAAACATAATAATATACATAAGTTTTTTGGTTGACTTATCTATTTCATAAGCCCGCTGTTTCATGCCATTACGTACAGGACATGAATTGTTAAAATTAATTATTTCATACGAAGTCAATCCATGTTAAGGCGGATCGATATGATGAATATATGATAAGGTTAGTTAGGACTTATATCTAGCTGTCATACAAATATACAATCAATGGCACGATACGATGAAACATGTATACTCGTATTCACTAGTCTGTTGTTTCTTTTGGACTTAGTTTTTTTTTTTTTTTTTTTTGGTTTTAGGTGGGGGGTTGTTTGACTTGAGAATATAGATCTAGTCATCTAGATGCAAGTCATGCAACGTTATTTATTTGTCTCTTAAAATGATGGTGACAGTTATTAATATTAATGAAGAGAAGTATCGTTGTGAGTGTTGGAAATTGAAATTGATATTTGCATGCATGGTTATTTTGAGACATCTCTGATAAACTAGAATTACGTAATAGTTCCGTTAAATAGTCTAATCATGTAATTAGAGTAATTGATTTGGACCCGCATTCAATAGGCATTATATTTGGGAGAAGAGACTAAGGTCTGAAACTCAGCAACAATAGTATGGGTATTACCATTAAAGTGGACAGATTCCTTGTTCGTACTTGCATTTGGTCATATATCTGCTGAACAACTGAGTTTTCGTGATTTATATACTTCAAAATGTTCTGTTAGACTGAGATGTGAGGGGCCTCAATCGTTATATCGTGCACCAGGCCGCACAATGTATTGTGCACCTTGGCCCAAAATGACGTTGTTTTTATAAGTTGTGTCCGGAGTTGACGTGACGGACACCATAATTTCATCCGTCTAATCCTGTTACAGTTTTACATACTTGTTTATGTGTATTCTGTTAAGAGTTTATGTGTATTATGCTAAGAGTTTATGTGTAATATGTTAGATTATGTGTATCATGTTAGGAGTTTATGTGTATTCTACTATACAATTTTATACATCCGAAACAATGATTTTTTTTTTTTTAGAAGTTAACAGTAGAACGGGAAACGACGTCATTTTGGTCGGGACGCACAATACATTATGCGTCCTGGTGCACAATATATATAATTTGTTGAGAGATATATAGGATTGGAGATTCAACCTTTGAGACGAGTAATTTATTTGGGCTTTATTGGTCTGCTAATTTAATTAATTATTGAATAAATCACATACGGTGGCCCAAATAGCTCGAAGAATATAATTATCATCTTGTTTGGTATTGGGCCGCTGAATGATGTGTAATTGTAGTGACATGGTGTTGGATTAGAAAAGTTAGTTGCAAATCATGCAGTAGACTCGTGTCCACAATGCATTGTGGACATGAGTCCAAAACGACGTCGTTTTCAGGGAAAATGCGTCATTTCAGTTTTAAAAAAATGATTTTGTCTCGTCATTAACGACGTTATTCATTTGTGCCATTATGAATGTATAGTTACGGGATTATGAATGTGCACTTATGGAATTATGAATGTAAGTTATAAAATTATGAATACAGAGCTCTGACATTATGAGCTTACAATTATAAACATATAGTGATAAAATTATGAACATAGAGCTCTAAAATTGTGAACATCGAGCTTTGAAAATTATGATTTTACAGTTATTGAATTATGAATGTACAGTTACGGAATTATGAATGTACAGTTATGCAATTATGAATGTACAGTTATGCAATTATGAATGTACAGTTATGAAATTATGAACACAGAGCTCTGACATTATAAACTTACAATATGAACATATAGTGATAAAATTATGAACATAGAGCTTCGAAAATTATGAAGTTACAGTTATTGAATTATGAATGTACAGTTAGGGAAGTATGAATGTATAATTATGGAATTATGAACTTACAATTATGAACATATAGTAATAAAATTATGAACATATACTCTTATAACAAAGCGGTCTGAAATTAAAAAAAATAATAATAATAATAATAATAACGGCACTGTTACCCGTGTCCAGCATGCATGCTGGACACGGGTCCATAGCATAACGATTGAAAGTTAGTTAAGTGGGCTAATTAACTCAAGTTACGTTGCTCAATTAATGTGTCTTTCTAATCTAACCAAATCGAGTTGCTCATCTGGATTAGAAAAGTTAGTTAACTGGGTTACTGTGATTAGAAGTTAGAACTATCAAAGCGAGCTTAGCTCATATGATCCATCCATCCCGCCATCTAATTTCTAATTTCTAATGAGTTAGTAGCAGGACAATCCCTCCCGCCCTACCAAATGATAGGCTTTGGTAGGCCCAGCTCATTAATATTAATAATAATGTGAATTAATCAAGTTTTCACTTAAATATTATTGTTTTTAGTATTTAAATTTTGTATTAATTTTATGTTAATACTTTTTGAAAGCGAAAAGCAAACGATGGTAAATTACTGCATAAGAATAGAAATAAAGTTACGTGTGATAGAGTTTCAATACAACATGTTAATTTGTGAATAGACCATCGAAGTTAGAGAGTGAGCTAGAATATAGGTAGATCTAGAAACTAAATGAATAGAACAAGTAACAAAAGAGAAAATTAATTCCCTACAATCATTGGTGAAAATGCCAACATAAGACCGGATTCTAATCCGTCTGTACTTTATAGTGTAACAGAGTTTAGCCCACAACCCCTTAGTCACGATAGTGCTTCTTTGCAGGCAAGCTAGAGTTTCCGCCATAAGTGGCCGGACATGTGCAACCTCACCGTTTGGCGCCATCCTCCTCTCACCGAACGGTGAGGTTGCACATGTCTACTTGTGGCGATGTTGACTGAGCAGGAACCACCTTCGCAGCCCTCCAAACACGCCGTGGCAGTGGCAAATTCGCATCCCTAACAACTCCATTTCTTGCTTTCCATACATGCTAACCAAGACTTCCACCAAAACACTTTCATTCAACACACCCATTGCATTGTTTAACATAACCAAGTGAGGGGCTCATTAGGGCTGCTAGTCATTTCTTCTTCCATTACCCATTATTCACCGTGTTGTGACCCCATGATCCTGAAATCAGTACCGTATGAGTTGGGCTTATATGGATTTTAGTGATACGGTCTACATCATTAGGCGGAAAGATATCTCTCAAGATAGCCATGTCCCACATCTAACTTTCCTAATTAATCAAGCATGAAACCTTAGAGCTAGGCAACTAAGGGGCATACTAGTCATCATTGGATTGGAGTTATCTGTCCCGCTAGGCAACTAAGGGGCATACTAGTCATCATTGAATTGGAGTTATCTGTCCCCAAAACTTGCATCTTACTCCATGTTGCGTCTTATCTTGCAAGGTGGACACGAATCCATAGTATAACTATTGATTTTATTATCTAGCTTTTAATTTTTTTTAAAAAATAATTTGTAGTAAAATATAAATTTTTAAAATTAGTATGTGGACCCGCCAAGCCCTTGGGCCTTTGTGGCCTTGTGGGGTAAGGCCAACTAGCATTTTCTAGTTACAATCGTGACTGGCTTTGGCATGACCCGACCTGACCCACCTTAAAATATAAACTGTGATTATAATTTTTTTTTTTTTGGTGCATTACATGCATAACACACTAGTTTGTTTAAAGGTTGGTAGTACAAGATAATTAGAAACATTAGAGTAAAATTCTATACATATCAAAACTTTACAGAAATTCTTGATATTTTATTTGGCTTGACGAGATGATTATATTAGTAATGGTAATCTAAGCCAGGTCGAGCTTGGTCCGCTACTATAAACGTGACTAAATAACAACAATAACATTTTATGTTTTTTGTTTTGCATGATATATAATCAAATACTAAAAACTATGATATTACCACCAACTTCAATCTTTTAAAATATTATTCTTAGCAAGACCAACTTATTTCTGGATCGGCGATTAACAACAACGACGTTTAGATGAAAACAAGTGAAAACGTACAGTTACGTTCTGCCATGCATCCCGGCGGCGAAGCTACTGAACAAAGCCAAGGCGATCTCAGAGAAGGGCTCCATCTCCCGCATCAGCCGCGTCACCTCCTCCGTCACTTTCTCTTTGATCTGCTCCGTTTCCAGCTCCTCAATGCACGATTCGTAGTTGCTCTTCACGGATTTCAGCCATTCCTTTATGTCGTCGATGATGGTGTGCAAATCGATGCCTTTTAGCTCGTTAATCGTTTCCAGATTCGATAAGGAATCTTGCATGTACAGGATGGATTTGTGCGATAGATCTTCGCAGACGTGGATCGACATGTTCTCTTTAGGGCTCAGCCCGATTTTCCCGGCGATTTCTCCCATTCTTCGAACGGTGAATTCGGTGGTTCTTTGGGTTAAGGATATGGCGTTTTTGGCTAGGCGTTTTGGGTTGGCGGCGATGTCGCAGGCCGAGGAGGAGAGGGAGGCGTAGCAGATGTTGGGGAACGGCGTTTTGTCGCATGAGGATTTGATGAAGTCGGTGTTTTCCCGGCCGGGGAAACCTGCCGCCGCGAATTTCTTCATCAGGGTTAATCCGTTGAGGGTCATGTGCGCGACCATCGCGATCTGATCCTTCACCGCCGGCTCGTTTAAGCCGGTGTCGTTCATCCCGTTTGGGCACCGATCGTAGTCGATCAAGGCGGTTGTAATCAAGTTCTCTATGTAACTGATTTTCCCCTCGAATCCCGGGCATTTCAGATGCTTCATCTCCACCAGCGACATTTTGAGTTTGTGGATGGAGTCGTTTACCTGTTCCAGGCAATGCTTCATGTTGGTCGCCGCCTCCGGTGGCAAGCTTTTGTTCTGAGCCACTTTCGCCACCATGCCGGTGAGCGACCGGGAGATGTCGAGGGCGGCGTTGACCGCCGCGTGGGCTAGAAGCTCCGAATCCTTTCCGATCTCCCTGTCGTGCTTTGGTAGCGACATGGAACATAGCTCTGGGTACGGTGTTCCCTCGCATGATGTTTGAATGAACTCCGTCGTCGCTGTTTTCTTCCCGGCTATACCCCTCGACGACGGCACCGGACGGGCGGCGGCCGGTAAGACCAGTAAAACAAGAAACACTGCAAAAATTCCCATTTCTCTTAGCTTTCTGGTAAAGATCTTACCAAAAAAAAATAAGAATAAATTAAAAAAAAAAAAAAAAAAAAAAGTGTTGGCAATGCAAAGGGTTTTTATAGATAAAGATGTCTTTTCTCTGTGAGAGCAATTATGAAGAAATCACCATCGTCGTCGCTGCCATGGGATTGCAAGGTTTAATCTTGGGAGCATTTATACGTTGGATGTCGTCATCATATTTTTCAGAGCTTGTGGGATTAAAGCTTCTTGTTCAACGAACAACACCCGAGGTTTCGATAACTAATTTTGATAATGTCATGAAGCTAATTTAACGTAACAAACTTCCTTCCTTTATTTATTTATTATTAATATGTATTTTTTGTTGAAAGAATTAGGCTTTGAAAATTTTAAGTATGGTGAAGCAAATTATACCGTGGACAAGGATCTACGTTGCATTGTGGATCAATGATAAATATTTATTTTTAATATACTAAATGTTCATTATTAATGTATTGAAGATTCATATTTATATAATATATCAAATAATGAACATTCAGTACACTAAAAATGAACATTCAGTATATTAAAAATGAATGTTATGGCAATAGTGCACATTACAAGGTGGACCATGTCCGCGGTATATTGATGGGTTTGAAGACCAGACATAGGTTTCAATTCAAGCCCTAGCCAAGAAGTCACTGCACAGTTGTTATACAGTGGACCATATATAGTTGTCAAATGATATGGTAGTAGAATTAAAATGATACTTTAGTGATGCTAAAAAGTATCTAGTGTGTGAAAAATAAAACTAAAATACAGAGTTCATGCAACAACTTGGGTTCTTGCAGGAGCAACCCACACACTCTTTCTTCACACAGTGGGACCCACAAACCTGCAAAAATTTGGGTTCTTGTACGAGCAACTCGCACACTCTCTCTCTCTTCCAACAAAGCAACATTTACCTCAAAACGTGTGAAAAATCACTTTAATGGGGATGCTCTTAATAGATAAGTTTCTGATTCTTTGTATCTCTTTTCTTTATGTTATTTATTATACGTTATTCTTGTGCTTTTAAGATGTTTATACTTATTATGTATGAGTAATTAGTTTATGGACTTGAATTAGGTTATATTTTCTATTTTGATGCTTTATAATGTGATTAATGCATAATGGATATACTTCTAACATAGGGTTCATGTGTTTATGAATATGTTGTGAATGTTTGGTGTACACATTCATTAGCATGTTTTTGGAGAATTCTTGGCTACAATGAGAGTTGTGTCAAGAATTTGAGACACTCCTCGTATAAACTCAATTTCTCTCTATGAAGATAGAGAAAATTAGGGGCTTTTAATTTGATGCTAATTGTGCTTGAAGAACTTGGAGTTGATGCAACACGAAAGTGAGATAATTCTTTGTTCTAATCTTTGCTTATTTATCACGATAGTGGCTCATAGATTAGGATTCCTACGTACATTTCAACTTAATTTATTGGTTATTTGTTCTCCCTAATCACATTAATTGTTGAATCATCTAGTCGATAATACTCCCTAGCTTAAGTAGTTTTTTTGCTTTGCTTTGTGTTATTTTCTCGTAAATATGCATTTTTCTTGTCTTAGTAGGTTGTCTTTGCCCTTGACTGGTCTTGAATTGCTTAACTTCTAGCCTATTTTCTTAACGTTAATATCTAGTTGCTTACTTTCACATATTACGTGTCATTTGCTTACTTTCACATATTACGTGTCATAACCCCAATCACGAAAAAATGAAAAAATTAAACTTTCCATGCTCCCCATAGCTACTATACATCAGTCAACATGGGTCGTCAAAAGGGCCCAGGTGCGGTGTGACAGCTATTGAGTAAATACAACTGGATGTTGGATTTTCCATCAATAATAGAGGCTTAAATGAGTGGTTGTGTTGGTCAACATATATGTTTGTATGTTTTTTTAATATATATAACAACATGAATACATGTACAAAATGAATTAGTTTACAAATATTATTAGGAATAGTAGTAAAATATAAAAAATAAAGAATATAGTAATTGATGAACAACGTAACATATATGATCACAGCCCTGCGGTAAACGGCACACCGGCAGATGGCAGCCATGACCGGCCAGCAATGAGGCTGGCGACTGTGAATTGCGACGCAACGGTCGAACTCGTGATGATATGGTAACCCGGCCACTTGACCCTAGACCGAGTTGAAGCGGCTGGTCCGAAATTCCGGTATTCTCCGTAGTACAAGGTGGTCAACCCAAACTTGGAGTTCTCCCATGGCATCCAACCTTGTGGGCTCACAAGGCTATCCAAATAAGTCTTTAGGAAAACGGTCCGAGAATACTGCTGCCACGGGCGGCCTAAGTAGGTCTGGTAGGACCGGACCACCGGTTTAAGGTCGGGCGCCGCCATGACGCGGCTGTTGTGGATGGAGATTCCGGTGTTCTGAAACGGGTCGGCGCGGCCTTGGGCGGTGACGACGTTGGACTGGCCCCACAGGGGTTTGCGGACGTAGATTACACAGTTCTGGAAGACGACGGCGGCGTTGCCGAAGATGAAGTCTATGGTGCCGTAAATGTAACAGGATTTGTAGAACTGGCGTTGGGCGAGGACGAAGAGAGTGTCTTGGTAGCCTTCGAAGCTGCAGGCGTAGAAGACGGAGAGATCGGAGGCGGACCGGAGAGCCACGGCTTGGGCGTTTTGTGGACCGGCGGTGTTGCGGAATGTTATGCCACGGGCAATGAAATTAAGGCCATCCACCCCTACAAACATTAAAGTTTGATTTTTTATGGAACAGTTTATTAACTTTATTAATTTGAGTTAGTCAGCTATTTTCATATTTAGAGTGTTGTTACATTGCGAGTCAATCCACTTCATGGTAGGCTAAAAATTTATGAGTTTTAACATGTCTTAAGAGTTTTGTCTAGGTAAACGTATATTATGAATTAATCAACTTTTCTGTAAATTAATAATATGAAGCATGCAAATAAAATAATACTTCAAAAGTTTTAATAGGTGTAGATTAGCTAGCCTATAGCAGGTAAATGAAGCAAAGTGGCGTTGACTCAATAGCCTTTCCAAAACGAAAAGCAAAGAATCTTGCCTTACTATTCGCTGCATATATACTTCAATTAACCAAAAAAAAAAAAAAAAAAAGTCAAATTTACTAGCCTAAGTCACAATTTTTCTTTTCTTTTTTCTTTTTCTCCCAGAAAAATTTGTCCCAAGTACGACTACTATTTAAAATTGTACACAGGATAAAACGCATTGTCACTATAGCATCCGATCCAGAAGTACCCAAAGAATATTAATTACACCGACTTATTTAAGATAGGACAATTGTGGTGAATAATTTAGACTTAACTCCTCATTACTATGTGACCGTTAAGAATGTTAGAGGCATGCACTAGTAGAAGTAGGAGACTCTTTATTATAACAAAGGACACGATGAATATTTGTACTGAAACTCTAAGCAATACAACTTGAATTGTTTACTTTCCTAATATTATACAGTAACATATTTACTCTGATATATTATTTTCCCATTTAGTTTATTAATTTTGTAAAAAAAAAAAAAAAAATTATGCAAAAGAGATATTAATTAAGTGGCTTACCAACGGTTGCAGTACTGTAAGTTGTGAAACCAGAAGCGGCGCTGCGACTCCCTGTGATGATCGTATATCTCAACCCATCTCCAACCAGCATGATCTTATTCATATTACTCCCTATTTGCACATTTTCATTGTAAACCCCTCTCTTTATATATATAATAATCCTCTGATTTCCCTTTCTTCTCGACGTTGCATAGTTTATCGCCGCCTGGATTGACCGGAACTGCCCTTTCCCATCTTTAGACACTACGTAATTCGCCTTCGAACGCACCGAAGCGCTCTGCAAGAGCCTCCGATCTCCGGCGGTCAACCAGCTCGGGAACTCCCGGCCGCCGTCGCCGCCGTCTGCGGCGGCGGAAGAATTTTGTTGGTCGACGAGGACGCCGTTGACGGCGAGGCTGTTGCTGATGAGCTCGGAGACATTGAAGGAGACGATGGGGCGGAAGAAGCGGGAGACGTTGAGCTGTTGGGAGCCGGCCTGGCAGGTGTGGATGTTGGTGAGGGCGGCGCTGAGCCACGTCTGGGCGTCGAACGCCGAGCAGTTGGTTCGGAGCCCCCGGACGGTGTTGTTCAGCTGGGAGATGGTGTCGTCCACCAGCTTGTCGCAGTCCAGCCACACCATCTTCTTCCGCCGGCTGTGGCAGTGCCTCTCCAGCTCCTTCGCGTGCCGCTGCGCGTGCAGCGCACGCTCCATCGCCACCTCCACCGTCATCGTCCGGAAATCGTCCCGGCACTTCGGCTTCAAGTTGTGCCCCGCACGTGCCATGAAGAACTTGCACGTGGCCGGATGAGGCGTCGTGCCGCACCATGAATTAATGTCTCCTCCCACCGGTCCACGGTTATCGACGGCGGAGTAAACCGTCGCCGCCGGCAATAACAGTGGAGAGATGAAGAAGAGTGGAATTATAGGGATGAAATGCAGCTTAGATGCCATTGTAAATTTGGTATGCATTGGGTGTTTGAAGTGTACGGAATGAAACCATATAGAAATATATGTGTATGTATGTATATATATACAGTTAAAATAGGGTTTTGGTTATATATATAAATATATATAGTCTGATAACATGCATGCATGCAAGTGGGAAAGCAATGGCATGTCAACCGGAACAGTTGGATTCTTGAAGTTGGGGGAATGTAATTAACACTTAAAAAATGCAGTAAGATGAAGAAAAATCAAAGTTGTTTTTTTTTTTTTTTTTAAATTTTTTAAAGTATCCATAGAACCAGTAACCACTACTCAAGAATATGCATTGCATGATCGAATTCCGATCTTGTAAGATAATTTGCAAATTAAATCATACAGAAGAGGTAAATTACACTAAGAATACTTTTAATTTGTGCGACTGAGTTAACTGAAATGATGCTGACAAGTGATTACTAATCGAATTCGTGACATTCTAATATGAAAGTTGGTATTCAATAAGTATGGTCTTTGATTGCTTCATTTTAATATAATTAATTACATCCTTAGCTTACTTTGTGGATCACTGCCAATATAATATACACTCAACCTGGAAAATCTTATCTTAAGATAATATATTGAGTAGTTTTCGATCCGGTGCAGTATGTACGACGTGGTGCTTATGCTGTAATTCATAGCTGACAACGTGCAACTCTAATTTAATTTTCTCCCTAATATATTTTAGGGTTTAGGGTGGGAACCAATTAAGAATGCTAAATTCAACCAAAGTTTGATCCAACACGTTAAGTAATCAAGCTAATTTGGAGTTTAAAATTCTTTACTCAGTGACTTGGAGTTTAACATTAGCTGATTGTAGAAAAGTGTTTGGTATATTAGCTGATATCTGTTTGGTATAATTTCTTTTATCAAAAAAGTAATTGAAAAAGTTGCTTTGAACAGCTTTTTTAATTTTAGCATTTTGAAGTTACAGCAAACTAATTAAACAAACATTTATATTGATTTTTTAGCAATTAATAGTGGTCAAATAAATTAAAATTAGCCTATAAACTAACTATTTTACCAAACAGGGTCATAGTTTAGTAAGATGAATATATGGCTGGCTGTTTTTGTATGTATTCATTAAGCAACAAAGAACTGAAGCAACCTGCATAGGTTGTAGTGTGTCAGTGAAGCAAGCTGTTTAGGTTGTAGTGTGTCTTACGTAGGCAGGTACGTACTATACCTTTGACAATTAAGATTATGTTAATGTATATATGATTGAGTTTAATTTGCTGTTTTTCTTGATTATCAAGTTCTACTTGATCAAGGAAACAGCGACGCAGTTCAACAATCATACTTAAACATTAACCAGATGTCTAAACAGCCATTTGTTAAGGGATTAGCCATGTGCAGTAGTTGAGTTCCATGCACGCTATAATCCGCTTAAATTAGTTAATTAACAAAGTTATTAGAGTTTACTTCAACATAATCACTTGATTTCGTATTTCTTAGGAAGTACAATTGTAGTTTACCAAACCTACCTCTAACCTAACTACAATATATACTATCCTTACTTAGAAATTATTGTTATTATTTTTGGGGGGCAATTTTATTAAACAAGAGTCAAAGATTAATTTCTTGCATGGGATTCTATTATTACATGATCCTGTAGCAGAGTTGACTTTTGTATAACTAATTTAAATGAAGTCTAATTGTCAATAAAGAATGCATGCTGCATGCATGTATCAATCTATATATATTGATATCAAAGAGAATAGGGTCTTCTAATAAAAAGATCTGAACTTACGAATGCATGCACCCTGTTTGGTAAATGGCTGTTAGTTATTGGCTGATTGGGTTAATTAGAGGGTATAACTAGTTGATAATATTAGCTGATTGTAGAAAAGTGTTTGGTAAATTAGCTGTTAGCTGATAGCTGTTTGGTATAATTTCTTTTTCTCAAAAAAGTTATTTAAAAAAGTTATTTTGAACACCTTTTTGAATTTTAGCATTTTAGGTTAGAAAAAGCTAATTAACCAAACACTTAATAGTGGTCAAATAAGTCAAAATTAACTAATAAGCTAATCATTTTACTAAACAGGGTCAATATATATTTTCAGTTAATAGATTATCTACCTATAAATAAATTGCAGACATATAATATATTAGATGCAAATACATAATATGTTAATTGATATGTTATAGTCCTTTGTACAACAATTGGTTGTCAATGGGAAGGGCTTTATAGCTCAATCAATTGGGCCGAATGTATTAATTGAATTAATTAACTTGATGCTTCATTAATTTAAATATTGGGTTGAGATGAATTTAAATTATCAAATACCAAAGCCTAATGGATAATTACTTGGGCCCAACAAATGTGTCATTGTCCACTTCTGCACTGGCAAATTATGTTGTGCATCCGTATGCTGCATGGTGCATACGGATGCAAAAATGACGTCGTTTTGTATCAAAACTTGCGTTCTACTTAAAAAAAAAAAAAACAGCTTCGATTCCCAGCATCAACATTATGTTATTCATTTTTTAGTTCATTCATTCTGGATTTTTAGTTATGAAATTCTGGATGTATTGTTATGCAATTCTGGATGTGTAATTATAAAGTTATGGATGTGTAGTTATGCAATTCTGGATTTATAGTTATGAAGTTATAGATGTGTAGTTATGCAATTCTGAATTTATAGTTATGAAGTTATGGATGTGTAGTTATGCAATTCTGGATGTATAGTTATGAAGTTATGGATGTGTAATTATGCAATTCTGGATTTATTGTTATGAAGTTATGGATGTGTAGTTATGCAATTCTGGATTTATAGTTATGAAATTATAGATGTGATGAAATTATGGATGTGTAGTTATGCAATTCTGAATTATTATTTTTTTAAGTTAGATGCTAAAACGACGTCGTTTTTGCATTCAGATGTACCATGCATGGTGCATAACGCTCCTTCTGCACTTGTTCACCGACTCATCATTTTCTTTTTCTATTTTTTTTCCCTTGGAAAATGCTCTATATTTTCTTTGAAAATAATCTTTGCAAGCCCCTTAGTATTCAATTCTCTTTGTGTTTTTGTGTATATATATATATATATATATATATATATATATATATATATATATATATATATAAAAGGATGAGCGTTAGTCGAACAATTGGTTTAAGGTTTAAATTTTGACTCTTTATAAAAGTCATCATATATTGATTGTGTTAGTTTGAGTGGATCAGCTATGCTGATTTATTGAGTTTTAATTACTCAAAATGTTATGAACAACCTAGCTAAGTTGATTTATTGTTAAAAAATGTAACATTTTTGTAGAATTGGTATTCGTTGTGGCCTTAAAGGGCATCAATACACCCTTTGTCCCCCAGCCTAGATACCAGTACTACAAATGATGTTACATTTTTGCAAATTAAATCTGGCCAAAATTGTATCATATATGAAGGAAAATCAATGGGCAATGGAGGAACATGATATGAAGACACAGTCACTTATTGATTGAATGAGAAAGGAGAGGATCGGAAGAAAGGTAAGGTGAAAAATTATAGAATTACAGTTATGTAAAACAGTAAATTTGATCATATAAAGTGGGACGTACTATATCTTTAATCTTTATATATATTGTCGCTGGAGAATATTAAGGAGTCATGCAAATATTCTCTAACAAAAAGTAAATATTAGTTGATGCGCATACAAGTGTTCCTTATTATATAAGTAGGTAATTCATGCCAAAATTGTAACAATCTCAAACCATTAATGCAACAAGTATGATCCACCGTCTATTTCTTTATTGATTTGAACTGATCAATTATAAACAACTTAGAGTATTTTACCTTAAAAATTTTTACCGGCTAAAGTTACACTTGAAGCAAGTGCAGACTTTCTCATAAACTAAAATATGATCAACAGCCTTGGAAATAGAGCATGGTTCTCACATCAAACTTAAAGATAACAATTTCGATCAATTATCGTTAACACTCTCTCCGTTGCTGATATAATTGATAACGTTTTATATGTTGAAATATTCCCTCAATTGAATTATTGCATTGCTCTTATACAAAGTGCAATTGATAATACCATATAAAATAAAATATAAACAATAAAATAAAGAAACACATAATGTAATTTAAGTCGTCGACAATTTCTGTTTCAATAGATTGAGAAAGTATGTATGAACAGATACAAGTCGTAAACTTTTGAACACATTAATTGCGGCGCCTTTAACGGTGAAGTTCTGTAGCTGATGAGTGATTATTGCTGCCTGCATTCACGGCCCTTTAGGGACCCAAAAATCGATTTTTTTTTTTTTCAATCTTCCTTTAATTTGCTTCTTCTTGAAGTGACTGTGAGGGTTCCACGCCTTGGACCCAAATAATAATTGTTGTTTTGTATTCAGATCTAACGTACTACACACCTACACTCACTCATAGGTGATAGGTCACGGGTGTAATGGAGACAAGAGACGAGACAAATTCCAATTCTGAAATTTCAAATTTCAAAATAATTTTAAACATATAAATACTCTTTTAAGTCTAAATTAATTACATAAATCTTAATATACTAGAGAGTATTTTTTTAGGTAAATTCAGGTTTTCATTGATTAGTTTTCTGGCTGAATTATAAGCGTTTCTTCTAGGTGGGACAACTGATCTGGAAATTTAAGACTGCTCTATATTCATTGATTAATTTTCTGGCTGAATTATAAGCGTTTCTTCTAGGTGGGACAGCTGGTCTGGAAATTTAAGACTGCTCTATATTCAAAGCAATGATGAAATATTAATATAGTATGATTAAGGCAAAGGTTCCCATTATATTGCTTGATTATATTCTACAAATTAAACATTAATTAATTATATTACACACTAATATAACTGCGTTTCTTGAGATTCAACCATGGAGTTGGGCAAACCGGTTGATCAAAGCCAAGGCGTTGCTAGTGAGATGCGCAACCTTCATGATCTTTCCCCTCACGGCGGTCTTAACACCGCGACGGGTAACTTTTCCGGCGAAGCCGTCGGTGCAGGTGTCGTCGTCCGTCAAGGCGGCGCTAACCCAAGTCTGTATGTCATTCATCTTCATCTCGAAATCCCGGCCCCGGAGCTGCTTCATCTCGCCCAGAGACTCCCTCAGCTCGTCCACCGACTCGCTCAGCTCCTCCACGCAGTCGCGCATGGCGCCGATCTCCCTGTGCGTCAGCCCGTGGCTCCTCGCCAGCCGCCCCATCGCGGCGGCCGTCGACTGGGCGGTCTGGAGAGTCACGGTGAGCGCCGTGTGCGCCATGAGCTGCGGGTCGGCTCTGATGAACCTGGCGTGGCTCGACAGGGAGTTGAAGCACAGCCGCGGGTACGATGTTGTCTCGCAGGATGTTCTGATGAACTCCGTGTTCGTCGCTCCGGCCGCCATTGCCGAAAGCTTGGGAATGGAAGAAGACAAGACAATAAGTGAAACAATGAAAAAAAGAAGAAAATGGTTATGGATAAGTCTCGACATTTTTTGCCCCCTCTCTCTCTGCACTCGAAGAATTAAGTTGTAGTGTTGAGCTTGAATCTTACGTTAGGTTCTCAGAATTTATAGAAAATAAGAATTTGGGGCATCATTAATTAAAGAAATCAGCGCAAAACACGAGATTTGAATCTAATTAAACCAGATTAGTAGTGGGCAATTGAAAATGGGTGGAAGAAGCGGTTGCACGTAGTTATCAACTGTCATAATCTGAGGAAAGGGGCAAGCAAACATGGCAATATGGGAAGAAAAATGTGTCTAAAGCTTTGATTTATGAGAAAGTTTACTGTCTCTATCTGAATGTACATTGTAGGTAAGTCCGTTTTATAATTCTAGTTAACTATAAAAATGTAAATCAAAATAAGTTGTTAATAGCTGATCGATTTAAATTCAGGAGGCATATGCATACACGAAAAGTTGAACTTTAAACATTATAATTAGTAAATTAATAGTAAATATTATTGCTCCAGTTCAATAATATTGTTCTAGAAACTGATTGTCTTAATTTTTGCACTATTTTTAATTCTCGTTCTCTGAACTCTTCTTATGTTGGTATGGTCGCTAAGCAATGTTGTAAGATTGCTACTGACATTGGGAATGTCTCTGTTCGCCATGTCAATAGATCAACGAATCATGTTGCCCATGTGTTAGCACGGGCATATGTTTCTTTGTCTGGCTTCGGGTCGTGGTATGCTGTACCACCTACCTGTCTCTCATTGTTGGTTGATTATTAATGAAGTTACCTACTTATCTTTCAAAAATCAGTAAATTAATTGTCTGATGAATTTTCCTAATTAAAACTACCTTTATCTTTGCAAATGTATCTCACTTTCAAAAGTGAGCCTCAGTTTTAAATCCCTATAATACAAATCACTTTTTAACAACAACAACAACAAAAGTACAAAAACGATAAAAACTTGTTAAACTAGCAAGCTTACAAGTAAGAAAAAAGTAAAGTAAAAATTGAAAAAGAAATTACCATGTGAACTTGCAAGTCACATTCTTTTTGGGATGAGATTAGTCTAATTTGCCAAAGCTACAATTGAACTACCTAGGAGAATGTAACGCCTTTAATTAAGGTTAATTATATCCCTGAATGTATGGATAAACAGTCAATATGTTTTCAACAGGTAGTTGGAAGAATGTGATGTATGTGAAAAGATATAAAAGCAAACCATACTACGTGCCCTAGCTTGTTGATACTCTTGGATTGATTATTGGATTTAGACGTACTTAATTTATGGATTGTCGTATCTTGATGCTTGGCTTTATCCGGGATTTGATAAATTTCTGTCCCCATCATACTTTCTAATGGGGCAATACCACAATAAGAGAATTTTTATCAGTGATTTTTGTTAAATTTTTAAGGAGATTTTGATTGACGTAGAAGAGAGAATCAGGATATGGAAGGACTGAGATTTGAGATCTCTTGCCAGAATTGATTTTTAATTAGCTTTTGAACTGGGTTCCATCAAATATGAAAATTGTTCACGTAAAGCGCAATAATAGCACCCAGTTGGACGAGTGCGGTACACCCGCCCCCGCTGGGCCCGTTAAACTATATTTATTTATTTATTTGCTTTTCAAATTTTGTTTTTCATTTTTTTTTTGTTTTTTTTTTTCCTTCCACCCCATCTTCTCTTTCACAGTCACACTTACACAAACTCTTCAAAAATTATGCCTGACTTATTGAGAATGCTCTAACAGTTTGAGTTTTAATCCCGAAGATCTTTATCAATAAATGTTTCTTAATAGTCTCAAGTTTTTTAGAGTGTTTTGTATGGTAATACCCACAACAAGACAACTTCATAGTATCCTGTAGGTAAGATTCAAACATGCATGCACAATATGACCACAACAATATAATAGTTAGGCTATAGCTTACCTCAGTAAGAAGTGCTATGGAGTTCTACATTAATTAAACTCAATGAGTCAAATTTTGTTAAGAATCTTAATTTTTCTAAAGTGTTTGCATATTGTTGCTCGTAACAAAACAAATTCATAGTACTCTTTTAGTAGGGTCCAGACCAATACACTATGGTTATAGCCGTAGGTAGTTTATAGCTCAACTCGATAAGAAATGCTATGGGGTTTTATTTTAATTAAACTCAATCAATAAAAATATCTTGATAATCTCAAGTTATCTAAACTGTTTGTACATGTTGCTCACAATAATAGCAATTGATGGTGGCGTGGAGAGCAATTTGAGCTGAATTTGTAGCCATCCCATGTGATGAGGGGCGCCACCAAAAAGATATTGTAAGCATATTAGATCTTTCTAAAGGACACCCAAAGGCCCGCAACGATTATACTATTATACTAACACCATATTTAAAATTCTTATATTTCAAGTAGCAACACATATAAGGATTTATTTTGACACATTATTGAAGCAATGATTCAATGAAGCAACTAAGCAACAACAACATGACCAATCAACTGACAATACACGAACAATATAAGAATTTATATGTCCAACTCTATACAAAAAGGGGTTAAACAAGGCCAATCAAGCCAGTTAGATCCCTGTGTGTGTGTGAATAGTATTTCAGATCATCTGTACGTCTCATTTTATTTGTCCTACTTTTTTAAGTATTTATTGGTCAAATTAATTCTTTATTCTTTCTTATTCTATTAGCATTTTCTTATAATTTTTAAATTTGTTTTTTTTTTTTTTTGTGTTTAACAATTCTTTTAATGTAGCTAGTTTCTAATTAAATATATAAATTTTATATATATACTACTTCTAAACTTAATATTATGAAAAATTAAATTGTAATTAGCTTCAGTGAAGTCTCGTTAATCAAACTCGATACAATAATAAATGTAATGGAGAAAGTATTATTTTTTACATGACAATAAAATTTTTGTCACGACAATTTAAAAATATACACCGGATAAATAGGATTGTTCTTGATATGAAAGAAGAATGAAAACAAAAAGGCGTGATTTAGTGTAAATGTTTCTTGGAATTATTGATATGGTCAAAAAAAGTAGGGACTCTTAGTTAAAAAGGATTGAATAAGAAGTGTCAATATAGCCGTATTGAGCCATACTTCGTCTGCTTCACTCAACTAGCTATGGTCCAAATCCCCCTTTGTGTCAATTTACATTTTATTATTTATTTATCGTTCATGATTATTAATATAAACTCAATATTATTATATGAAAAAAAAAAAACAAAAAATATATAGATTTTTTTGGTCCAATATTTAAACGAAAAATCTTATTTAGTGAGTCATGTAAAATGAATGGTAGAGGTAGAAGAGGTTGCTTTATCCATCATTTTCCAACATTTTTTCATAATTTAATTGTTTTGGATCCAAATTAAAGCAAATCCCAGATTTTTGTTAAGTTTTAATAAATTCGGTGGGATCGGAGTTTGTCAAATATATGTCCCTTATTTCTCAACCAAGATTTTTTAGAGAAGTCGTTATATATGTACTTGTTGATTGAATTCTCACCGGCAAATTAAAGCTAGCTCAAATAATTCATTTTACATAGGATCAAATGATTTACAAGTTGAGACTTGAGAGTGATTGAATATAATAATACCCGCTACGCTATGTAATCATATTAGCCAAAATAATGAAGCAAATAAAGTGACATGTGTGGCTGCTAAATGGAAGTTTTAGTTGTTGGGTAAAATGCAAAAGTGAAGGGCTTTATTTCTCTCAAATCACGCAATTGGACAAAGAAATATTGATTGATATATAGTAACACGTGCACTATAGTCTCTTTTTATTAAGTGGTGCATGTATTTAAAATATATGAATAGTAACAGGATTTATATATAATGATACACTATTATATTTCTTATAGCAGTTTCAATAGCGCGCAATTCATGACACGCACCCTAGACTAAATTTACTTTCTTTGAGTGCAAAAGGCAAAACTGCTCACCCCCGCCCCTGGACTCTACATGGATTGTGGAAGAATTAAATCATGGCAATCGTAAGGCTCTTTGGTTGGAGCATAAGTGTCTGGTTTCGACATATATACTACAACTACCAAGACTTGTTCATCGTGTGTCATTTGGTGCAATCTTTCACCTGAAACCAACTGATGAACTACCCGACTTAAAAATTCAAAAGAATTTGAACTTTCATAGCTAAAAAATGTTCACCTAGTAAAAATCAAACCGAGAAAGCATATTGCACACATGCAAAACACTACATCTTCCCATTTCGGGCAGGGCATTAGGTAAACAAACTTATCCATATACGCACAAGCATCATTCCTAATTATATCCTTAATTAATCACATACAAGCTAGAGCTAATGATTTTCTAATGATATATTAAACATACAATATACGGAGTAATTAAAAATATGATGTTGAACCTAATAATTAGTTGTGGAGAGCTGCGAAGCTGTTGACTAAAGCCAAGGCGTTGCTAGTCATATGCGCCACCTTCACAATCTTTTCCCCGACGACCGTCTTCACCTCGCCGCTCATGGCTTTTCCGGCGAACCCGTCGGTGCACGTGTTCTCGTCCGTCAAGGCGGCGCTCACCCACGTCTGTATGTCGCTGATTTTCATCCCGAAATCCGGACCTTTCATCTGCTTCATTTCTCCCAGAGACCGTTTGATTTCGGCGACGGAATCGCCGACTTCTTCCACGCAGTCTTGCATGGCGCCTATCTCCCTCGGCGTCAGGTTGCGCCGGCCGGCGATCTTCACCATCTCGGCCGACGTCGATTGCGCGCTCTCCAGCGCCACGTCGAGCGCCGTGTGGGCTAAAAGCTCCGGGTCGGCTCCGATGGCGCTTGCATGGATTGACAGAGAGGAGTAACATAAATCTGGGTACGTCGTTGCCTTGCAACTTGTTCTAATGAACTCCGTGTTTGTCGTCGTTCCGGCGGCTACGGCCCTTGCCGCCGTCGCCGGACGTACGCCGGAGGTTAAGACGAGTGAAACGAGAAAAATTAGTACAAGAATTTGTCCACTCGAAACCCCTTTCATCTCTCTCTATATCTATGAATTGAAGAAACGAAGGGAAAGGCCCTGAATTTATAGAAAAATAGGGAAGTATGTGCACCAGCAACTCAGTTGATTTTTAATTAGTAGATTAAGAATAAAGACACATGATTGATCACTGAAATACTATGAATTTATTGGAAAATATTGAGATGATTAGGTTAATTAATTAATTAAATTTGGACCAACACTATGTGGTCTAATGGTATCCGGGTTGAACTTTTATTTGGAAGGTTATGAGTTTAAGCCATAGTGGAGGAGTTATTGGTTCGAGTGTGGGTAATAATATATGATCGAGTCTAATGAAAAGTTACATTTAATATAGTGACTCTTTGTAGACACCAAGCACAATGTTAATTAATTTAATTTGGTTATATTAACGGTTCAAACCAAAGCACTTGCGGACGTAATAATTTAATTAATGGAGTCTAATCCCGTACTTATTTATATTTTATTAAGGTTACGATGAATGTGGGTAATGATCATGCAATTAATTATGCATGAGAACGATTGACACGCGTCAACTCCAGTGCCTAGGTATGTATAAAGTTGGCATTGTAAAATAAGATAATAAATCCATACCTTTTATCAATTCTATGGTTTTAACGAAATCGACAATAATTGATGGATATTTTCTAGTAACAATCAAACTTAAAATTGATGATGCATGGACACAACTTGAAAATTGATAGATATATTGGACCTAGAGTGAGTCCAACCCAAGACGAGGATGAAACTCGAGACAAAGACAGAAGACAATACCTGACCCCAACCTCGAGGTCAAATTGATCAAGGTGGGCTGGCTTGAATTGAGAAGATTAGGACGACAAAGAGGACCATGATCGATTGAGGCTGTTGTAATTTGTAAACACCCGCTTTATACAAAAAGGTGTTCGGATTGCGTATATAAATAACTATATCTATTGTCGTGTTTAGACACATATTGTCTCATTACAACAAACTCATATAATCTTAAATTAAATACAAATATTCTTCTTGTCCTTTACAAGCATTCTTCTTGTTTTTACATTCTTTCTCGATCTTTTCGTTTAATTGGGTAATTGATTCAGACCAACTCATATTACTTTTTATTAGTTTTATGGTTTAACTCAAATCAACAATAATTGTTTTTAAAAAAAAAAAAAACAATAATTGATAAACAATTTCTAGTTACAACCAACTCTAAAATTGATGACGCACAAACAGCTTGGAAATATTTTACTCCTTAAAAACACTAAAATAAATGAAAAAATAGAACTACTTTTTTTTCAAGCAATCAAGCGTACGTATACATATATGGAGTAGTTTAAAATAGAAAGAGAGAATATTAGTTGAGTTTGTCGCGAAAATGCATAAATTAAGGAAGTAGAAAGATAAAAGAAAAAAAAAAAAAGGAAAAAAAAAGAAAAAAAAATGTGATATTTTTGGATTATGACATGACGTCTTAAAATACGCCATGGAATTTCTCATTCATGCAGTATAAAACTCAAGGGAGCAAATACTATTTACGCTTTGGTGAAAAAATTGGTAAAATTGGCATTTTAAGTAGTAATTTTGATGTATTAACTTTTTTTATTATTATTTTTTAAGGGAATTTTTTTTATTTTTTTGAAAGCTGATGTATTAATTTTTTATGTACTAAAAGTGGATTTAGATTTTTTAGTGGAGAGAATCAATTGATACATTATATACTCAAAATGGATAATTAGTTAATGAGAATTTTTTTGGAGACAATCCTAGTTGAGTTGGTCGATTGTTGGTTAGGTAAGTGCAAAGTTCCAAAGCGACTTATTGACTTTTTTGGATTGAATCGGTTAACAATTGATCTTCAAGTAGCGATTGCCAGCTTTCTCATAAATCAAAGAAATTGATTTTTAAAATGTATCATTGAGTTGGGAAGTAGCCTAGCTTTGTTCCTCATTGGAAAGGCGCATACTGATATACAATCTAACTTTTTAAGCAAACACATATTAGTTTGAATTGATATAAATACAATCTAATTTTTAAAAAAATTTGAATCGCATAACATAGACCTCCACGTAGGGACACACCTATGACATAAATATATATATATACCGGACTGAACATTCGAATTGAGCAAGCAAGGTAAGACCCCACACAAACACCTTTCCATGCACAAAATTAAAATTAAATTAAGGGTGTCAAGTATGGTGTACTAAGTATACTATACATTGAATAATTATAAGATCCAAAAATAAGAAGAGTGTAGTGTTTAATGGCGGCGCGTCATCTAAAAAAAGGATTTGCTTAAGGGTAACTAATTTGACTAATGTTTTGAGGGACGTTACTTATCCATCATTGACTAGATCCAATAGAATGTTGCAAATAAAACACTAACATAAGATAGTAAAAGAAAACGCTACATGTACTCTCATGTATTTTATACTCTCTACTTTTATTTCCATATTTAAAATATTGATGTAGACACTTTTATAGAGACCATATGAAGAAAAAAAAAAAAAAAAAACTATCAGAACCAGTCACATTATAAAATAAAATTTGAAAGTACATGTAGTAAAACTAAATAGTAAAATACATAAAAAGGTGGGAGTCACAGATGTAGATGTTGTGAGATCCAATCCCATTCCTTGCTTGCATGGCACAAACTTCATGGCTGTCTGAAATGGACTATATTTAATATCTGCAGCAGGCAGGTAGTAGTGTTAATGCTGCCCTCACCGCCCCACATGCTTGCGCCCAACATTTCTACCATGCTCACACTATACACGTACCAAAATTATTATTTTTCGATCACCAGAGAAATTTGTGATTACTATTGAGAAATTGAAAATTTATATTAAATAAACTTTGTCTTATAACTTTAATTCTACCTAGTAAAAGATCACAAAAAGATAACCACTTAAGTTGTCCATAGTTAATCGGTTCACATAAAAAATCTTTATAATTACTCTGTTGGAAAGTCAGATTTTAAACATTGTAATTATAATTTTTTTTGTCGATTAGAATCACAATACTAATTTCATTGCTTATTTTTAGTTAGTGACTCCAAAATTGATAAATAGGCAGTCTCTAGGGAATCGAGTCAGTAACGTGGCCATAGACAAAAGAAAATTAAACCTATACGATTTAAAAATGAGTGCAGGTAAGAAATCAGAATATTGTGCTGTATGGTGCATTTGTCATGTTGTTTATGAAATTCCTGCCAGCTTAATTCATTCCTCTTTTTTCTTTAAAAAAAAATAAAATTATAATCACTGCGTATCATTATTCATAAATAAACAATAAATATAAATTACTAATAACATAATTAAAATTACAATCAACAAATAATTAAATACACCAAGTGACTTGTAGTCTATTGGTACTCGGTTGCTCCTCTAATATAAGTGGGAGGTGAAAGGTTTGAACATCAATTGAGGCAAATAGTTTGTACATAGGGTATCCTCTCCGATCTCTTATAATAATAATAATAAAAAAAATAATTAGAAACAAATAAATTTTCAATTCTTACTAATATTTTTATCTCGGTTGCTCCTCTAATATAAGTGGGAGGTGAAAGGTTTGAACATCAATTGAGACAAATAGTTTGTACATAGGGTATCCCCTCCGATCTCTTATAATAAAAAAAATTAATAATAATTAGAAACAAATAAATTTTCAATTCTTACTAATATTTTTATTGAATCAAACTAGTTGAGACCTCGTAAACTCTTTCCTAAATAAGAAAATTACAACATTCACTTTACCTTTCTTTTTTTGAATGTTACTGGCCCTATTACATTGTAGTATCTGTTCCTACTGAAATACAAAGAACCAATAACGCCGCCACCTAGGCTTGAACTCATATAACCTTCTAAATGGAAGTTCAACCCGAGTACCATTAGACAACATAGTCCTGGTTCACTTTACCTTTCTTAATTATGCATGAATATAATACTATATAAACTCTCACTTTTTAGCCTATTTTTTACATTCTATTAAAATGTCATATTTTGCTCTATTTTTTACATTCTATTAAAATGTCATATTTTGATTGGTCCAGAAAGAAAAAAAAAAAAAAAGACAAATCATAGCTTTATTTAATCAGTTTTTAATCCAATAAAATATTTACACGTATTGAGAATTTACACACCATAAAAGTACATTCATGTTTTTCTTAATTTTAGAGGTTGTGTGGTAGCTATACCAGCAATTCCAAATTAATTGGTTAAACAGTTGATTCAATAATCACAATATTTTAAATTCGACTCTTGTAAAAAATTAAAAATTATTGAGACTGATTTAAATTCTTTACTAACTAGGCTCACATACTTCACAAGGTATAGTAACAGCACTTTTATTTGATTCGAATGAATAAAAATAACTTAAATTGATTTATCTTTTGTAATTTTTTATGGACTTAAATTACAAAATAAATTAAATTTCACTTAAAATATTCACTAAAAATAGTTGCGTACCTTTTCATAAATCTCTACTAACATTTATGTCTTTTGAGGGGTTTGTACCAATCAAACTTTTTTTCCAACAGGTCAGTGCCTAGCTATTATAATCTCATGCGACTTGACAAAACAGTTGTTTGTGATGAGATGAGATGAGCTGGGGGATCCAGAAATTTAAAGCTTTGAACTGTAAAATCTTGTCTTCATTGAAATCTGCACAACAAATATAATTATAGTAATTAACAAGCTAACCCTACTCCGTAATTGTTATTTAAATATGTAGACCTTACATTTTAATTATTTTGTCACTCATATTAATTATATATTTATATTGTGATAGAACTATAGAAGTGATACAATATTTATATCTATATGATAATAACATACCAATTTTAATTTTCTTTATAAGATTCACATTTGAGATCTTGTTCCAACAACAAATCAAAATTTATTTGTCATATATGTTGAGTTTTTGGATTTAGGGCTAAAATTAAGCACACTTAGCACCGGTTTCATTAAGTAATCATTTGATTTATAAGAAATCCTATCGTTACTATTTGAAAGTGCATTGCACTATGAATTAAGGTCACATTGTGAACTAACCAATAAAGAACCACAAAAAAAAAAAAAAAAAAACTAATAGGCAAAAAATTTCACTATTATTTTTGTCATAATATTACCTACAAAAATACTACTTAGACTTCAAAATCATATTCTAAACTTTTACACTGACTTGTGTTTAAATTCTATTATTAAAAAAAAAAAGAATAAAAATCATAACTCTATTATATTAAGCCATCAAAATATAAAATGAGAGTACTTAGAATTACTCTTGTGGGCATCTCAGAAAAGTGAAAAGGCATTTATCTTTTATAGATCTAACTAAAACAATAAACAATTAAAATTATTTTTCAATGACGGCCGCATATATTATATAGAGTAAATATCCAAAATGTTCCATCGACTATAGCTAAATTCACAAATTAGTCCTCAACTTTCAATTTTAACCAATTAAGTCCGTAATTTTGTAATTTTAACACAATATGGTCCTCTGTAGGATATATATGTAATTTCATGGTCCATCGTCGGTTTTTTAAGGTTCTGGTTGCATTTTCAGACCGCACTGTTACATTTGAATCCACTGCCGAAAGCAATCTACCAAATCCTGTCGTCTTTCTTCATCCTCCCTTTGAATTCAATGTAGTTGAGTTCGTACCAGAGCGAAGAAGATGACGCGTTTCCGAACCAGTGCATCGTCATCCTGTAGGCCTCCACGTGCTCTGACGAGAGCTGAAGGTTCTTATGGTGATCGTCGATCACGATCAACAAACGATCAAATAGATGGAGGACCAAATCGTGTCAAAATTACAAAGTTAAAGGCTTAATAGGTTGAAATTGAAAGTTGAGGACCAATTTGTGAATTTAGCTATAGTCGAATGACCATTTTGGGTATTTACTCTATTATATATATATATATATATATATATATATATATATATATATATATATATATATATATATATATATATATATATATAAGTAAATACCCAAATGGTCCCTCGACTATAGTTAAATTCACAAATTGGTCCTCGACTTTCAATTTCAACCAATAAAGTCCTTAACTTTGTAATTTTAACACAATTTGGTCCTCTGTCTATTTGACCGTTTGTTGACTGTGATTTTTGAGGATATATATGTAATTTCATGGTCCATCGTCGGGTTTTTAAGGTTCCGGTTGCATTTTCAGACCGCACTGTTACATTTGAATCCATTGCAAAAAGAAATCTACCAAATCCGGTCGCCTTTCTTCATCCTCCCTTTGGATTCAATGTAGTTGAGTTCGTACCAGGGCGAAGAAGACGACGTGTTTCCGAACCGGTGCAACGTCATCCTAGAGGCCTCCATGTGCTCCGACGAGAGCTGAAGGTTCTTCTTGGAGATCGTCGATCACGGTCAACAAATGGTCAAATAGATGGATGACCAAATCGTGTCAAAATTGCAAAGTTAAGGACTTAATTGGTTGAAATTAAAAGTCGAGGACCAATTTGTGAATTTAGCTATAGTCGAGAGACCATTTTAGGTATTTACTCTCTCTCTCTATATATATATATATATATATATATATATATATATATATATATATATATATATATATATATATATGATCCCCACAACTTCTTCCAAATTCCTCCTCGCAAGTCGCACCCCCACACTGAAAAATGAAAATGGTATCATCACTTGGCCATTCCCATTGTGCAGCCATTATTATTATCACCATTTTCTTCACATTATTACTGCCATGCTTCTCAGGCGCGGCAAGAATTCAATCCAAAAATCACCCACAGACGACGACAGACAAGGACGATGAGTTCATCAAAACATCATGCGGAGTAACGTTGTACCCAAAGCTGTGTTACGACTCTCTCTCCCCATACGCGAACTCGGTCTCCACCGCGGCCCAACTGGCCGACGCGGCCCTGGAGGTGAGCCTGAGAGCGGCCCGGTCGGCGTCGGAGACGGTGGCGAAGCTGTCGAAAGAGCGCGGGGGGTTGGGGGCGCGGGAGGCGCGTGCGGTGGTGGATTGCGTGGAGAACATGGAGGACTCGGTGGACGAGCTTGAGAGATGCGCGGGGGAGATGAAGGATTTGGGTTGGGGGGGCCGACAGAGAATGGAAGAGAAAATGGGGAATGTGATGACTTGGGTCAGCGCTGCTTTGACGGATGAAGGGACTTGTATGGATGGGTTTCAGGAGATCAGTGGGAAAGAGAAGATTAAGGGAAGAATACGCAAGTCCATTCTCCATCTTGCTCACTTAACCAGTAACGCCTTGGCACTTATCAAGAATCTTTCATCTTCTTAACTCCATTTTCATTCCTTAATTACCTCACAATGTCTTAAGGAAAGTGATCCTTGTCTCCAATTTTTTTTTAACTTCATTATGTTTCAAAGGGTGTTATTTGTGCTCGTGATCAAGTGAGTAAAATATGACCTTTATTTAAAGATCACCGGTATGTAATTTATACTTCGTATTAAATATAAATTTATCTTTATTAATTATCTCTATTAAAATCATTTATAAATTATTCATAGCTGATCAGTTCAAATCAAGAAAATCTACTTACCTCCAATTTTTCATTCTTTTCTATGTACTCTGTAGTGCACCATTATATTCAAGTTACTCCGTATCTTTTTGGAACCCAATATAAAGTAGTTCCTGATTGTCTCCATCAGATATATGTAAATGTTTTTGAGGGTAAAAACATTTTTTAATTTCAGTATTTTGGAAATAAAAATAATATTTTTATTAAAAAAGAAAGTCGCTTTTCAAAGTAGTACATACTACAGTACATAACAAGGTGTCAGGATGCCAGGTAATTTACTGCAGTGAAAGGCATCTGCAACAACTTTGTCGTCTAGTACTGTACTGACGCATTACTGTTTCCTAGTTTGAATAAAATACATATACTTACTCGTATCTTTTTTTTTTTTTTTTTGAAACCTATACTTACTCGTATCTATGTTAACAAATTAAAATTATCTTCGTACATTCAACTACATCTGAGACTTCTGTTTCTTCCCAACTTCTTAGGCTAAAAGGAGGAAGAAAGAAGAAAATTTGTTGATTCATTCAAGTTCATGGTGGGGACTTGGGAGTGGGAGGCTTCTTGGAAGCTTCACCTGATTCTTTAGCACCCTTTACAACCAGATCATAGTTGATCGAAGCCAGTTGTGACAAGTTCTGAAATAATAAACAAGTCTCAGAATTAGTTGCCATCACCAATTTTGTATATACAAAGAAAGCAATGGAAATTTTCTTGGAAAATCCTCCGCCGTCAGGTATGCACGGTACGGGATAAACTATATCCTTATGTAATAGCCAATAAACCACACAATTAAGAGAGATAAACTATACTAGAGAAGACCTGTGCAGCGAACTTGACCTAGAGGATATTGACTTGTGACCTTCAGGTACGAAAATCATACTTCACCTACTTGGCACCCCTTTTCGGGGTGCAAATGTGATTTTCTTGAACTATGATACTAACAGTTTGGGATGGCAGATCTTACCTTGAATGAAAAATTACTGAAACTATATTTCAAGTTAGGGGATATAGCACCAAACTCTGCAAAATATCCAAATTCATCCCCCTGTTTCAATGGAAAGAATAGAGTTGTAATTTAGGAGAAGAAGAATAGAATTGTAATTGTCACACACAGCACAGAAACTTTCAGTACTAAAACAGTAAACATGGAGCCTGGTAGAGGTTTTAATATTTCATTACATAGCATATGATGTGCTTTTATCACAAGACCAGTCCTTAGAATATTAATTTGGCTTTAGGTAGGTAGGCAACAATAGTACGATAGTGCAGTGACGAGAACCTAACAAGTTGTGCATCATTCATTCTTTCTCTTTGGTTACTGTTTAAATCTTGGTTCAGTTTCATCAATATATACGGAAATATAATGCCTTAACTGAGGTGTTGCATTTGCAACAAGCATACCTCATCATCCTGATAATTGCTATAAGAACTGCTGCTGCATGAAATACTCCCTGCCTCACTTGTCTCATCAAACTCGCTACAGACATTAAAATCTTCATCTTCTGGATTCCAAATGTAACGACTCATAAAATAACTAGTATCATGTGGTTCAGCAACTGGTATGAATGCAGCCTATAGGCAATAAGAGGAATGTAAGTCCTACTTTTCCAATAGCCAATTTCCTTAGGATATTTTGTGTGTATGAGAGAAAGACAGAGACCTTTCGCCTTGCCAATGTGTCCCAGTTGATGTTCTTAAAAAATTTATGTTGTTTTACCTAAGTATAAGAAAAGCAAAAGAAATTATTCCTTATTATAAATTCAAATTCTGGCTGGGTGGGGGATGGTGGTTGTAATTTTCTAACCTCTCCAGCCCCACTTGCACCTAATCTTTTTACAGGGCTTTCAGACAACAACCTAATACAAAGATTAAACCAAAAATCAGTATTCATGAATCACATTCCAGCATTAAGTCAAAAATATGAGCAGTTGTAACTTACTTGTTAATCAAATCATATGCTTCAAAGCTCATTTCCTCTGGTACCTTAGGCCAAGGTATGTCTCTATTCATGATATTGTTAAAAATTTGCTGTATAACACAATAGGATTTAATAATATATCATACCTAAGTTGCAAGTGATAGAAAACTTTGAGACACACCAATCAAATGGTACAAACAATGTGTATAAAGAAGAAACACATTAAAATTTGAGAAAATTAATTAAATACGCATCTCATATCTATCTTTTGGCACGTCAGATTCTGTTTACAATTCACAAAACTTTCATAAAATTAAAAATTTGACTGCACTATTTTGCAGTTGGTTAGGGAAAGAGCCAGATCAAAAAAGCACAAGGATGCCCACTCAAAAATATACCAGTACAGCCAGCCAGATACAGAGATACTGCAGCTTAGAACTCATTCAAAGAGAAATATAGCTCTCTGATCATTTGTAAATAAAAGGTAGACTATATAGGAGTATAGGATAGCACAACACCCAAATTGCAGGTTCTGTTCCCCCCAACCCAGTTAGCACATGCCAAATGTCATGCCTCCCCAAGTAGATCCCCTACTGCCCATTATGGCTAGGCCTCTGCTTACACCTCAAGAGGTCCCACCCCACACTGGTTCCCTATATTTGAAATGTGAGATTAGTAGATATAGAGTGGTTGGGCATTGACTACTTGTGCCCAAGTAACATATTGGCTCTGCCATTTTATGTACCAAAATGAAGTGTTTCATAGCTATACATATTTTTTAAAAAAAGGAAATACTTGCACTAGCAGGCAGAACCTTATCAAATGAACCCCAAAAGCCAAATTGTCATGGCCTACCCGGCTACCCTTGAAATGAGAAAAAACTACAGTTGGACAGCTGTTAAGTTGCCAAGTTGGCAATGAAATAACAGCAAGAACCTCAGCAAATGATGTAAGAGAGTCTTTCAATTTTATATGAATCAGAACATAATTGCAAAAGTTACCACCACTTCCAATTAATTTGTGAGAATTCCATCCACATATTGATGTAAAAGGTGTAGAAGAAAACTGACACTGGCATCAATAAGCTAAAACCTCTCTTAATGCTTTGGTTAGCCTAAATGTACAGATACCTGGGGATGTTCTGCATTGAATGGTGGAATACCAACAAGGAGCTCAAACATAATTATACCAACAGACCACCAGTCAGCTGTCGCACCTACAAGAACATGAGAAAGTTTAGGATGCAACGAATGGGCCAAGAACTTAATATGTATTATGTCAAATCAATCATCAAAAGGGATCCATACCATGTTCCATACCGAGGAGTATCTCAGGTGCCAAATAATCTGGGGTTCCAACAACTGAATTCTTTTGCCTCTGTTCTCTTTTAAGTGATGATTGCAGTTTTGGTTTATCATCCTCAAGAAATGTGGAACTTGATGGGTGTGACAAGTAATCAGTGCTATTGATAAGACCTGCCTTGGAGAGTCCAAAATCTGTCAACTGAGATTGGAAGAATTATATCTGTGAGGAGCTGGCAAGAAAGACAATCACAATAGATATTCAAAGACTTTTTGGAGGGAAGGGAGGTTAGATTTGTCAGGATATGAACTGCCAAGAATACATTAAAAATACAGGTAAAACAGGTGCAAAGTTTAATTTGCATGAAAATAATAAAAGCTGAATTACTTTTTATGCCTAGATAATTTTACAAACTGGTAAATTTTCCCTGAGGCATGCTAGTAACTTTGAGTGAGACAGGAGAGAGTAAAATAGATTACTACAGAGCTTTTAGCTCCATCTAAAACTTTACATACTTGTTTTCCTTTACAAAAGTAGAATAACTCCCAGACTTATTTCTATTCCATTCCTCAGTTGCAGCAGCAGCAAAGAATATATGTATACTAGTAAAATCTCCAATGTGTTTGGGGGGGGGGGGGGGGGGGGGGGTGTTACACCAGACTGTATAGTGTTACCAAACTCAAAAAATGATTAACAAAGTTATACAACACATTAGGAATTTCACAGGAATGCTAGAAAGCACCATTAATTTGGGAAGCAATAGGGAAATTATGACCTTGATGTGACCTTCTGGACCTATCAACAAATTGTCTGGCTTCAGATCTCTATGAATAATATTTAAGGAATGGAGATATTCCAAAGCAAGAATCTGAGAATAATAAAAACAAAAATGCATCATTCCATGTAAAACCTGTTTGTTGAAATTTCTTGGTAATAGTAAGGGGCATCAATATGTACTTACAACTTCAGCAATATATACGCGAGCCATATCTTCTTCAAAGCAGCCAAGATTTCTAAGCAAAGAGAAAATATCTCCACCATTTAGGTATTCCATGACAAGATAAAGATTTTCCCTGCATGTGAAAGAGTAGAAAAACCGGACCTGTTTCCCATCAGATCTTTGAATTAGTAAAGTCAGTTTTGAAAATTTCCTGTAATCATGCAAGAGAGTGTAACAAGAATGAATAAATAATCTAAAGATTTACTAACCACAAATGGATTGCGAACTGAAATTAAGATATCACGTTCGGCCAATATACTCTCCACAGCATTTTTGCGTATCATGTCAGCTTTTCTCAAAACCTGAAAGAACTTTTGATTGCATGAGCAACTGTAGCGAACTGTATATAGCCCCACAAATGCAGAGATATTGGGGAATATATCATATAATAGTTTTATCAAGACAAGTTTCAGCTGAGAATACAAGAAGCTATGAACCATTAAGGTATGCCAACAATAAAAAGGACATGTAGATAAGAAAATTATTGTCTCCAACAGAGAGATGCAAGCAAATCAGGGAGAACAGATGATTGTGTACACAGCAGTCCTATTGAATGAATTATATATAATAGTTTATTATTGTGACTATGTCTATGGGGTTTTTTATGAGTTTTTGCAGGAAAAAGGAGGCCAACAAGGAGAGGGGGGGGGGGGGGGTGGGGGGAGAGACAAAAAATAGAATATCATCAACACGTGACTTGCTCAGTTTTTTTTTTTTTTTTTTTTAAGATTTATGACAAAAACCCATTTTAACAAATAACCTCCCCCAACCCCTCCCAAATAGCCTTGCTCTAACTATACACACCACAAACACAAAAAGGTGTATAGAGAGAGAATGACAGATTGCTAGTTGCTAGATATATGCATTGCATTTGATCACCAGATATCTCTGATGAGAAAGGTTCTACTTGATTTGAACTCAAATACACACTGATAAAGGAGGATGTAGAAGAGAAAAGATGTTGGATATTGCTCAAAATCTTAACCATTCACCATTCCCTAGGGTATAGATTTTAACCTTTATTGCAAATAAATCACCAGTGGCCCGTTTTTTAGCCAAGAATACTCGCCCAAAAGCACCCCTGCTGATTGGCTTTATTATCTCAAAATCTTCAATAGATGTTCGATCCTTAGAGCATTGGTTCATAGGACTTGCACGCGAACTGCGTATTGTATCCTCATCCGTTGAACTTTCCTCATCAGCTGCATTATTTGGTGCATCTGATTTTTCATCTTCAATATGTCCATAAAGTAGAACGTATTTCTCTCTGTAGAGTTTAGAGAACTGGTAAATATGGTCAGTGGTCATAAGAAAAGAATGCATAGTAAGCAGCAGAAGGCAAAGATAAATATTTATTATTTCTGATATGTTCAATCAAACTAGCTTTTAAGTAGTTTAAAACCATGGCAATTTTATTTCTTTTGTACAGGCCATAATATAATCTTTTGAAGCAAATGCACAAAAATGAATTTAACTCACTGCAATAATTTTTCTATGCGTCTTCCAATTGTCTCCACAACAAGGGCATCGACTTTTCTGTCTTGAATGGCATACTTTAGGTCATCTAGACGGTCAAGCAAATATTCCAAAGAACTATCATTGTTGTTTATGGTAGCAACAGATCGAGCAATTTGCAGTAGCTTATTTATCTGTCATGCCACTCAATGTGGTCATTAACAATTTTAAGAACAAAATTACAAGGGAAAAAATGAAAATTAAGACTAGATAATAGCTCCATGAAATCAAACTATCGAGTAAATAAGTGCATCATTGCAATTGTTTTCTTAATAAAATATTAAAAGATAAATTAGCCATGGACAAGAACCGGTGTCAGGAGAGCATAGCAACAAGTCAACAACAACAACAACAACAAAAATCAAAATAATTCAAGATAATGTCCATGTCCTGAACAGAAATAACCCCTCTAAGCTGTCATTATGTTTTGCACCAAAGCAAAACCAACTTTGAAGAAAATTCAAAATATTCAAGAAATAACAGGAAAAAGTTTTAAAACAATATATCTAGGTTACTTGGTCAGCTTGAAATGACTAATGTGACTTTTATAATTAAAAGGCCAAGTGCTCAAGCTTTGAATGTTAGGGCATACTGGATTGGATTAGTCACTTTTAAAACATGAGTAAATTTGGGCAGGTTGAATTTAAGCTGCACTAGAAGTGGGTCAAAATGAGTTGCATAGAATATAATTCATCCAACTTTAGTTTTTCTATGCATAATAGCATATTTTATTTATCTAATAACCTAACTTCAATTGTCTTAAACAATTTTACTTGGATGAAAATTATTAAATTTTGAAGCCACCCAAATGGCTCGGCCTACCGCCCTACCCTCTAATATGTTCTTGACGGCTTGACCTGGTCTTCGACCCATTGTTATTTTGGGTGGGTTGAACAAGCACCAAGTTTTTCCACAAACCTATTTTTTACCTGCCCAACCTACCCAATCAATCACCTATCGACATACATTTAAACCATAAAAAACAACCTCTCAAAAGAAATGAAAGGTTGCATGCATGATAAAACTTCCTGTAATCCTGTCCCAAAAGTTTTTAATGTAGGAGCTTTAGCCCTGGGTTTAACAGTATTAGAAGAAAGAACCATACAAATGCTCACATTTTATTAACCCAAAATGGCACTAAAAGTTGTTGAGTGTCATGCAGCAAAAGTGAAATCAGTAAAGAAAAAATGACAATTGAAGACCGAATAATTGGACAAGAGGATAAAGCTATCCATTAGGACCACACATCAAACAAATAGTTCTCCTTCCTGAAGAAGGGTACTTGCAAAAACAAATTAACAAAAAAAAAATGGAATATAACCATGTACTAAAATGTTCAAATAAATCTTCAATTCATGAGGAAATAGTATGAAGAGGGTAGCAGTCATAGGTTCATGGCTATCTGTTAACTTTCAATAGAAGAATTTATCCAGTTAAACCAATACTAGGCATAAAATAGTGAATTCCATTGTTAATGAAACAAGCTATGTTGCAGTGAAAAATATCAAGGAAAGATGAAGATTCTAGGTCTTCAAGAATGTCAACAACACCGTGAAATACCTGTTGATAACTTTCATATTCAGATATCATCTTGAGCCCACTGAACAGCAATTGCATCTGGTTTGTTCTTGGTGTCAGCAATGGTGATCGAGGTGTCGAGGTACCAGCTGATGAATCCTTCCTAGGCAGTTCAGACAGACTGTTGAGATCTGTAACAGAAATAGTATCACACTCATGGATGCAATTTAGCATGTCTTCAGAGCACTGACAAGACAGACCATTCTGCTTTGGTGACAATTCATCCAACTCTTCGGCCAAAGTCAAAGTGGACAGTCTTACTAACTCAGGACTTCCAAACTCATTGTCAATGCTTTTCGGTGTCCATGATTCAAGTATCTTCTCAAGAGTTTCTGCAACTCTTTGGAGCCGTTCATTTACTGTCAAGCCTTTTAAATCACATCTATCAGCAACTGTACAAATTCTTGAGTGTTGTTCTACAAATATAGTAGGGATTTCAACTTCACATATGCGGCAGATAAATGAATCCTCATAAGAGATACTATGTTGATCCCAGTCTCCCCAGGTTACTCTCCTTTCATTTGAGGTTTCCTCTGAAACTTCAGGGTGGCAAAGTGGAGTATCCAGATAAGTCTTGTCAGTTGCTTCTTTATGTTGCGAGAAACCAGATTTAATAAAAGATGAGGTGTCAACAGAGTCATGGACTTCACCTTTTCTTTCAGATGCACAAGGATGCTTCTTCCAAGAGGACATTCTACAGCTTCCTGTAGGTGAAGCAACATTCTTTACAGTGCTTTCCTCTGTAACCTCTCCACTGAAATTTTCCTTAGTATGGTATTGATTGATTGTCGGACTGATATGGTCATGCCCCTGAGATTTCTTATTTCTTCTCCAATTTCTTTCCTTCCCACTCAGTGAATGATTCAAGTCTTGGCCAATAGGGCAAACAATTCGTTCTGCATGGGCGAGATCACAGAGTTTGTGAGATGCCAGAATGTGTTCTTCAAAACCACTCTCTTTTTGGAACTGCACAAGCCGAGTGCATCGAGTGAGTATGAATAAGAGGCGGGTGTGGGCTTGTTTAACGGTGCCCATTGGTAACTCTTGCCTGCGGTCATCTAGATTCTGGACTATTTTTTCACACTTCAACCAGAAGTCACTAGGTGACATTTTTGCACATTCCCTAGCTATAACCAACAAATCTTCCAAATTTTTCCTCCATTGGAGATGGGATTCGGATGTCTTGTCAATAATACCAGCTATATCTCCAGTAAAAATGCTCAAGTCAGAGATTACCTCTTCCTTTAATTTATCAAATTTTGAATGAATGATGGCCATAATCTCCTAAAGAATTATATTTAGAAAAATTATAAAGTTATTCAGAACCTCTACAGTAACTTTCTTGGAAACAAAACTAAGATAAGAAATGTTGGTGAGCAATGTTCATTCTCTAGCATAAATGAGTCATACCTCCACTCGCCCAAAAGCACGAGATCTCCAGGATGGAATAGGTCGGCCTCCTTTGGAATTGAGCTCATGAGAGAAACTTCTAATATCTGATACTCTTTTCTTGCGACCATTTGTGACACGTAGTATAGCTTGATACCGTGGAGATTTCATTTCCTTAACAAAAGCTGCATGATAATCCTACAATAAGCAAAATGACATTTTATTTTGATAACACTAAGCACAAGCTGAGTTACCTAGCTAACCTATTTTAAACTAACATGATTATAGGAGGAAATTAAAAATAGTCCCATGAACTTATGTAACAGGCAAACTACCTCCGAGCCCGAACAAGTGCGTGATAGGACATTTAAAGAATTAGCCTGATTCCATTGGACCCTTTTGCCTGGAAAAAATAATGAAGTAATACAACATTCAGATCAGCTATTCAGATTTATAAATAAACTTTTCTTATATTTAATTTAAGTGCACCTATCTTAAACCCCTCCTACCCACCTTCTTCCTCCTCCCAAAAGAGAGAGAGTGTGTGTGTTTATGCATTAGGTTCATGGACAACTACACACTGTAAACAGGAAAGACGATTGTATCTTGAGCTCTTAGTAAAGTATATTGAATTGAAGAGCACAGCAGTTAATCCAATTCTCTTGTATTTCCTAGGGAAATACAGGTAGAAAGAGCTTTCTATCCTATATTGATCAACTCTCCCACTCAGAATGCCATTAAAATAAATAAACTATAAACCAAAAAGTTTTACAATGTCTTACTAAATTAGTTCTGTAGCATATGAAAAATAAAATATCTAAGAAGAAACAGAAATGGCGAAGAAAAAAATGACCTTGTTCGGGTAAATTTTCAGCAGATTGATCAGCAGTGGATAACAACCTAGACTGCGAATAGACCCCCTCTCCATAGACCCCGTCTCCATAGACTCCGTCTCCATAATCAATAGGCATGGAAATGGCATTCGAAAGCCTACCTGGCGGCGGAGCGGTGCGAGTCCTAATTTGATTCAGACCGAGAACCCTACTCTCAATCATCAACGGATCTCCTCTCCCACCACCGTCGTCGTCCACCTCCAATGGAGGGATGGGGATTGGAGGAATCTCGCGGATGTGCTTCGCGATGGAAGGGGGGTCATTATGGTCGGAGGATAGCGGCGAATCATTAACGGCGTTGAGATTCAAGGTCTTCCCCGCCTCGGCATTGTGATCACTCGACATTGTAGCGAATATTGCAAGTGGAAATGGTATTAGGGTCTCGCTCATTCTTGCATGCCAATTGGCGAAGAAGATGATTCGTCAATGCGCATCTATATACGGATCCAATGAAAACGATCAAATATGGAATCCTGGGCAAAAGGATATCCTATCCAGGTACAAAACTAGGCGAGAATCGGAGCTTGAATTTTGCAGCGATGGAGGAGAAGCCGTGAAGGGGCGGTTGGTTGGGGCAGAGATTCGAGATTTTCGCGGGAAAGATGAAACGTTAAAACGCGACGCTGACTGGTACGGTGGTTATATCCATACACCGTACTCTTGTACACTATTTCGATGTAGACGCTCAGAATGTATTGTTGATTTGATTTACGGAGTTTTCTTTTTCATGTCTCATCTATGGAAAATGAAAATGTTATATTATCCGATCCCTTGTTCACTGCTAAATGACTGGTAGTTATTAAAAATCACAATTTTTTTTATTCTTTGTATTTATTTCAATCTTAATTGTTTTATGTAGTTTTATAAAATATACATAAAATTAACAATTCTTGTTATTTCAATTTGGACAAGAATATACAAAATAAAAACATATAAAACCATATCTTACACTAACATATATATTTGATCATCTCCTTATGTGGTAATATTTGATTGGATATTATCTGAATTCGATTTTCGGGTATATCAAGTCAAACTATCTAAAATAGTTTCAAAAAAAAAAATATCAACTATCTAATGAACGTAACTCAGCTAAGGGTCCTCAAAATGCATTTATTTAACAATTAAAACTGATAGTGTTGGGATACTTGGATTGAGCATATGCATGACATTAGGCTAAAGAAGTAACCCATGAATTATATTCATATTAAATTAACTCACATAATAATTATCTAACATCACGTTTGGTTCACGGAATGAATTTTGAGGTAATAGGAATGTTATTCCATAAGGAATGGAATATGCAAGGAATAGAATATAATTGTATTCTATTGTTTGGTTCATGGAAGGAATAGAATTTATGAATTATATTACGGTGTTTGGTTTTAAGGAATAAAAATGAAATATGTTTTAAAAGACATAAATACCATTATAAAAATACGTGATGGTGTCGATGGTGGTGGTGGTGGTGGTGGCGATGGTGCGATGGTGGTGGCGATGGTGCGATGGTGGTGGTGGCGGTGCTGGGGTGGTGGTGTCGGTGGTGGTGGCGGCGGCGGTGCTAGTAGTGGTGGCGGTGGCGATGGTGCTGCTGGAGTGGTGGTGGCAGCGGCTGTGGCAATGGTGGTGGTGGTGGTGGCGGCGGCGGTGGCGACGGCAACGACGATAGAGATGGTGGTGGTGGTGGCGTTGGTGAAATAGGAAATAAATTTAATTGGGAGGTAAAATAGAAAATAGAAACTTTAGGCTATTTCTAAGAACTTAGGAATAACCTAATACTAAGGGGGCCCCAGGAATCTCTATTCCCCTTGCAAGGGGAATAAGTCATTCCCGGGAACAATGTTCCTGGGAATACAAGTGGTTACCAAACAGAGGAATATGTCTATTACTGGGAATGCTATGTGAACCAAACAACCTATAAAAGAGAGGATCATTATCATATTAATTAATTTGGCGATAATACCCCTAGATTTAGATCTCATTTAACAGGAATCTTAACAAATTGACTATTTGTGGTAAAAAATGAAAGTCAAGATACGCGTTTTGCTCGAATTGAAAGTTGATGGTTAAAAAGATAACTAGTCCAATAGTCAGATGACTATTTGTAGTACTAGTCATTGCCACAGTTCGATTCCAATTCCAAACCGGTGGTTCTCGGTTCCAGATTCAAAACCGAATATTGTACTAATTAATTTATAAACAGGAAGGATATTGTATTAATTAATTTATGATAAAGAAAAGTCATATCATTAAGGGGTAAAATTGTACTATACACATGTTATGAGGGGTTAAAAAATATTTTAAAATTATTTTTTATTAGTAAGTATTTAAAAAAAAAATTCCAGCAACCCAAACACTCACTTAGTCTCCCATAAAAAAATTGATAAAGAAAAGTCATATCATTAAGGGTATTAAAACTAATTAAAGTAAATGTAATCATGCTATATTTATTTGTAACTGTACATTAGTTTCATTTTGAAATTATTGGTTCACATAGTTGAATTATTTATTTATTTTATTTTATTATTATAAACATAAATGATATTTTACTAATTAATTTATGATATTTATCAAATTGTATTTTTTAAATATAGTGCTTTATCCATGCATTGCACAGAATTTTATTTTTGTTATTGTGAATTTAAAATAAAAAAAAATTAAAAAGATGTTAAAATGTATAATATAATAATATAGTTGGACTTTTATATATTTAGTCAAGTATCTATTTTCATAACATACAAAATTAAAATTTAAATGTTGTATGGTTAATATAATCTCTAATCATGTACATATTTAGATAAATTTATATAATTAAGTTGATTTATTTCAAATTGTATTAATATGTATATAAAAAAATCCTATAATATAATTTCATTAATTATAATTTATATTGATAGATTTATACTTAAAAAATTATATTTAGAAATTTAAAGAGTATATGTATGTATATTTAAAAATATTATAAATATTCATGTTTTGTTAAATTTATAATTTCATTTTTTAAATTATATTTCATATTTTATTAATTATAATTTAATGAAATTGTCACAAATATTTCTATGGAAGAAATCATATATTTCTCAATTTCATTAATTATATTAATTATAATTACCAAATTTTGTGGCAATTATCACAATAATTTCATTAATTATAACATTTGTTTTCTTCCAATATTTAAATACATTACCATAAAATTACCATAATAATAACACAAAAGAAAGAAAATAAAATTATGAGAATAATCTATATCTATATATAATTAAAAGTAAAATCCTCCTAACCAAGTTTATCCCCAAAACTTAGGGGCATATATATATATATATATATATATATATATATATATATATTGCATATTTTGTGTTTATATAGTATAATTTTTGGTATCAAACATTTGAATGGTAATAAACGGGGGAAAATGTCAACATACAAATGATAATTCTTTCATTACTATACTAATTTTAATGGTAATTCATTAATTACTACATTTCATGATGAGTCTCTCATCACTGTTCGGTACATCAATGATGTCTGGATTTCTGGGTCTTCCATTGTTCCTTTTGATCCTTATGATTGTGCCATTGTCAGTATTTTTTTTTTTTTTGGGTTCAGTACAACGTGGATTTTTTTGGGAGGTTTCTCTAATTAAATTTTTGGTTAAAATTTTACATTTCCTTTGTATTTTATTTTATTACTTTTTTTTTATTTATACTAATATGTGAATGGAGTAACACAAAATCTGAAATTGTATTTGTTATTTATTTCTTCTTTTTAAATAATATGAAAAAACCATAGAAACTTGAATGGCATGTACAAATCTCGAAATCAACATACTGACTCTAAGTTTCATAAAATCTTACAAAATTATCAAAATTACCGTCTTTATCATCCTCGATCGCGTCTCTACAATCTTCCATAAAAACTAAACCAATAGGGTTCTGTTTAAAAACTAAACCAATAGGGTTCTGTTACAAATGCTCTTCCTCCTCAATTTCCTTTTGTTGAAGCAGAGCCTCCTTAAGTATCTTCAAACTCATACCAGACGATATAAACTGCACGTGAGAATATAGTTAGAAAAATGTAGAAAATTCATACAAAAAGAAAGCAGAGAGATGAGTATGAGATTCTTTGATTAAAGAAACCCTTGTATTTATAGGTAGAAAATACTAATTCAAAAGAAAAGTATAATAATTTATTTATTTAAGAGAAAGTATAATAATTTATTTATTTAAGGTAATAACATTATTATTATTATTATTATTATTATTATTATTATTATTTATTTATTTATTTTCATTTGACATTTACTTACCAAATAAGTTTTACTACAAAAGTTTTGAGGGGAAAATTTGTTAGCAGGATTTTACTTTTATATATATATATATATATTTATATATATATATATATATATATATATATATATATATATATATAGATTGTTACAACGGGCCTCGCAAAATTAAACGTAAATTCGACGGGCCACCCGGCAGAGCCTATTATGCTTGAAACGTCACCAAACGGCCCCGTAACGTTGGGTTTCATCAGCATACAGTGCATCGTCCCAATCCACCTAGCTCGCGGCATTTTCAGCAGCGGCGCCACCATGAACGCGTTGATTCGGAGGTCCTCCGCTATTGTTAGCTGCAAATTCCACTTCTTCCACACTGCAACGTCCACAGCACCACTCATCAACGACACTGGCCTCTACGGATACCATCACCTGAAAACTGCCAAAGGCTTTCAACGATTCGCTGACGATGCTATCGAGAGGTATGCGAGAAGAAAATGGAAAAGTGATAAAAGCAAAAGAGTTGCATCATTCGAATTCTCACAGCTAGACTGATTGAAGAATTGTCCCGTTCACATTCTGTCATTCTGTTTATTGACAATAATGCATTTGAATATGCTAGGTCTAAAGAGCTGCTGAATCACATCGCTTCAATGCTGTCGGCTTCGGAAATCATTCGAACATTGGATGAAATATCCGATACTGTATGTTTAGGAGTTTAGTGTCTATGATACTGCTTTATGCGAAAAAAAAAAAAAAAAATCACACTGTTTCACTTACATGCTTGCACTTTACTTTAGAATTATAGGATATGACTGAAGTACTTCCATCTGATAGGTATGTTCAGTGATTGATGCTGCAGAATTATGTAGATATACACATCCAGACAGGTTTATATTGCTTTGAAATGAACGTATAATCCTAATTTCTAGGATGATCATTTTTAAAATGCTGCAGAGTGCAAATATTGATTTTTATTTACTTTTTTAGGGAATTTGTTGAGGAGGCAAGCCAGGCATCTTCCAGAGTTAACGACTTTTTACATGTAAGAAAGCTAGTGTCTTTATTTGTGCCTGAATGTATCTTATTTTTTGCAAATCAAAGCAATAGATGAATATTTAAAGCAACTATTTCAACAGTAGGCTTATTTGAAACTTTACTATAGCTGTTGCTGGTAACCCTCTTGAACAATAGGAGAGAAGAAAATGAAAGTTGATTTTTAGTATGATGTATAAACACCTAGTTCTTGAAGAGGTGAAGTTAAAAAGAAAGTAAAATTATGTGTTTCCTTGTAGTTTATGGAAATGAATGACATGGATCTCAATACTGTAGCTGCATGTCCTTCATTAATGATTAACCATTATCTCTGGAAGCTTGTTCTCATGTGATCTTGCATTAAACCTTTTTTTTTTTTACCTTTACTCTTGAAAATCCTCTATCAAAACAGTGTTCACAACATTTTTTGATTCTTGTCGTGCAGTACCTTAATTCAAATCATAGTATATACAAGGCAGTTTTAAAAGCAGAACGAGAAGGCAATTCACTTACCGAGGAAGGTAAAAGGGCAGCTCGTTTTCTACGCATGGATTTGGAGAATGGTGGAATTCATCTTTCCCCTGGTGCGCTTCCTATTAAAAATTGGTCTCTTTTCTTCAAATGCTCTTTCTTTCAATGCCCAAACATACCTGTTTGACCTACAGAAAGACTGGATCGAGTGAATCAGCTCAATATGGAGATTGTTCAGTTGTGTAGACAGTAAGTACAGAATCATATGTGTAATGTGTGTTGATAATTTGCCCACTTTGACAGAGCTTTGACTTTCATTACAAATGATATCCAGCCTACTGATCGTCAGGAGCTTGGTCTTTTCTAATGGCAATTATGTTATTCATCTGTCATTTGGTTTCTTCTACACCCATCACACACAATGCACATCATGACTTATATCTTAGGTCTTTCTGATAGTTTTTTGCCATCCTTCTGCATTGCATATGCATTCATCTTTCACTTTTTGAATTTTGCCGCTGGTCTACCATCTACTTGACTGAATACTTACAAGATACTTCTCTATGACACTGTTTTTTTTATCAGGTTTAGTACAAATATTGTCACTGACCCAGGTCAAGTGGATATATTTCCAGCTTCACGAGTTTCTAAAACTTGGCGCCACCTTGTCAAGCCTATCTATCGTTTTCCACGGAGTACCTCCAAGGAATCCATGTGGTCTAGAGACAGCCTGAAGGAGAAGGGCTTTAGATTGGTAACTTCACCAAACAATTTGCAGCACGTCCTTCAATGTGTATCAGATGCCGAGGTAACATTTTGAATTGTGATGCAGTTCTAAATAGTTAATTGCTATTTTTCATGTCCACATCCTTAAATTCTCTCTTAAACTTAGTGAAGGACATCCTACTTTTTTGTGCATGCCTGGTTATTAGAGATTTTTTTGAAAGCAACCATCAAAGGCATATATTAGAGATGAGCAGAAATAGAGTCTGGAGGGCTAGTCTCCCAGTACAAAGCAGGGGACTGACTAAAAGCCGTAGAAGCTAAAGTATGAGCTAGTAAATTGAGCGATCTAGGAATAAAGCTAACTAAACGACAATCAAACAATGAAATAGAAAATCTGCAACTATCAATGGCATAGCCGACATACGATCGAACTAGCTCCCCAGTCGAAGATAAACAGTGCTGAAGACTCGAGCAATCCGTTAGTAATTCAACAGACTGCTCCTCGCGATCTCTTAGCCAGGATAGGACTTCCTTACATGCAAAGGCCTCGGCCATAAGTGGGGAAAAACAAGGAGGTAACATAGCATTGAAGGCTGCAACATAGCCTCCGTTTTCATCGAATAAGACCGCCCCCACTGAGGCCTTGTTGGACGTAGGTAGGTAACCGGCATCAAAACGGCACGAGCGCAATCCGGTAGACGTTCTTGTGGCAGTAGCGTGCGGCTCAGCTGTGTGGCTCGTGGTTGCAGCATGTGAAGGCACGGCAGCAAGGTCCGGGGGCGCAGCTTGAGGTGCGGCAGTGGCGGCAGCACCAACGGGCAAGCTCCTTGCGTTGGCAACCGGATGGGCACCAAGCCACGCTTGCATGGCGGCAGTAGCGGACGCCACGACCTTCTTTGGGGCCGGAAGACATGCATCCCAAACCGCACCATTCCTTGCCTTCCAAATAAAATATAGAATAGCAGTTGTGAAAAATATTTCATTAGAGTCTAGAATACTCAAAACTTCTTCAAACCAAGAATGAAAAATATTTGTCACAAAGGTAGGGATTGGAAGGTGGGATTCTCTCCAAATGGCTCTTGCAAACTCACACAACACCAAAGAATGCATTTTGTCTTCATGCATGATACCACACATGGCACAAAAAGGATCAACCTCTACCCTCTTTATAAGCAAGTTTTTAGTAGTAGGGAGGATATCATTCAAAGCTCTCCAAAGAAAGGTTTTCCATTTTTTGGGATTTTAAGTTTCCACAAAGCTTGCCATTTTTCAAGAGTGTCTTCCCTACGAACAAAATTTCCCACAATGACTCTATAGCCGCTCTTAACAGAATAGCAACCTTTTGGGTCCCCGAACCAATACCAAGAATCTTCCTAACTTGGCGAAATGGGGATTTTAAGTATAGGATCCACATCACTTGATAAGAAAAGATCAGACAACCTACTATACAGCATTTCATTGTGCAATAATGGGCTTTTTTTTTTTTTTAATGCTTGGTTCACAAATTGGAGCAAATGGCAGCTTTTTGAATCCTCTGTTTTGGGGCTCTTTCATAAGCACATGCCAAGTGCCAAAATTCCGAACCCAAGTTGACATGTCTCATCCTCTGAAAAGGAACACACTCAATCCATATTATGCTTTGGATAACATGTATAACATTCAATATCCTTTGCACTGAGCCACTATAACTAGATGGAAGCTAGATTACCACATTGTTTATTATTCCATCTATTTTGTCAACTTCTGAAATGTGTACAGGTTAGGAAAATGGCATATATCCAGGGAAATTCTGCCCCACGCGCTAATCTTGAGGTTCTTGATAAGCTTATTGCTGCTCGCCACGAATTTGCTCAGGTTGCATTTCTGAAAGCAAATAGGCCTTTAGACCTGTTGATTTGTTATGCTGAAATCTAGGATCATATTTGAATTACCATATTAAATAGCACTCAATTATTCTATAAAAAAAAAAAAAAAAAAAAAAAGGGAGAGAGAAGATTTTGATTCCTCCATTCCTTTATTATTTGTAAAGTATCATTTCATTTTTCCGTTATATTTATAAAGAAAAAAAAAAGAGAGAATCATTTGATATATTACTTACCAAAAAGAGTATCATTTTATTTAATTTATATTCTCATAATCCATAATGTGCTTTTATAGTCATTAACTGCAGATTTTCTGTGATCTTGCAATTCATGTGCTCACTATTCCCGTCCTCATTTCTCCATCACTTTGAGTGGGATCTTTATTTATTGGGTTCTCATTGTGCATTTTATGGGGCCTAAATTTTTATTGGTACCAAATTAGTTGGCCAACTAGTAAGATATTTACACAATTTTTGTTGCCATTAATTTTTGGGGCTAGCTTGCAGATTCTGGGGTATAAATCTTATTCTGCATTTTCTCTACATTCAACTATGGCTGCATCACCGGAAGTAGTCTTTTCCTTTTTGCACGAGATGAGCAAATCAGTTAGAGCCAAGGCTGACATGGTATTTTGTTCAAGCTTATACAGTATTTCCTGCAATCATTCTTGATGCATGTTTTTCATAAATTATACTCAGATCATGATGCTTTATGTAGGAATTTAAGGCAATTGAGGAGTTTAAGAGAGTGAAAAGTTGTGACCTGGGTGGAGGCTTAGAGCCATGGGATGAGGGATACTTCACGTGGTTGATGAAGTCTTCTGCATACAACTTGAATTCCTTGGTAAGTGGAATGTCTTTGTTTTTGTGAGTTCACAATAAATATATTTTATTTGTCTTCTCTACACAGTTTGCCAAACTATGAAAATATGAAAGTTACTTGCAAAGGTTATTCTTATACAATGTATTTTCCTCTCTCAATCTTGTAGGCTGTGGCATCATATTTTCCTTTAGCACGATGTATAGAGGGCTTAAAGGTTTTGGTTGAGTCACTATTTGGTGTGACATTTAGACAGATACCCTTGGCCCCTGGTGAATCATGGCATCCAGATGTGATAAAAATATTACTACATCATCCTAATGAGGTAATATTCTTTATAGAATACTTGTACTTATGTACTGGAAGTTATATCTCTCATCAAACTGATTTTTCTTTCTAAATTTATTACAAAGGGTTCACTAAAAGCACACTTGTTTTTACTGTTAGTCTTTTCCACCCTTTTATGCTTGAACTGATCCATAACATATATATGTCAGGGTGAATTGGGCTACTTATACCTTGATTTGAAATCAAGAAAAGGTAAACATCCCATTTGTGCCCATTTTGCTATCAGAGGAGGACGTCGCATTTCTGAGACAGAGTACCAACTTCCTGTATGTAAGATATTTATTCTACTCTTTTTTTTCATTATTAATATATTTTATTATTTAGACTTCTACAACTATAGCTTGAGGTTTTTTTTTGGGGTCCTATTTACATGCATTTTTGTATATGCATGATAACTTGCAGATTGTTGCTCTCATTTGTGATTTTTCTGGTCCAAGTTCAACATCAGTTATGCTTAACCAACTTGAAGTAGAAACACTTTTTCATGAATTCGGGCATGCTCTTCATTCATTGCTCTCAAGAACGGTATTGGATAGACTGCCTTTATATTCTGTAGTGGACACTGCTTAAGCTTCATCATTTTGATGAGTTTTACTTGATGATTGTTTGTCTAGGAATATCAACATTTTTCAGGGACTAGAGCTGTTCTTGATTTTGCTGAAACACCTTCAACACTCTTTGAGTGAGTATAACATACCTTCATTTCATCCCGATGTTTTAGAATAACAAAATCAATGATTGGAGCAAATAGTGTTGGTCCCAAAAGCCACCTTGTTGCTGATTGTTAATTGTGATGTCATTTACCTTGGTACCTAAAGGCACTTTGCATTGGATTATCGGGTTTTAAGGACATTTGCTAAGCACTACTCAACTGGTGATGTCATACCAAAAGAATTGGTAGAATCAATGCTTGGAGCGAAAAATATGTTTGCTGCAACAGAATTGCAACGACAGGTTTGTTGTTCTGGGCTTGAAATTGTTATTTATAAACATTTGTAGAGTTTACTTGTAGCAGGATTTGGAAAGCATTCACCTGCATATCTTCTTTTGTCATTTTATCAGATTTTCTACGCTTTAGTTGATCAAACACTTTTTGGAGAGCAGCCATCCTCAGTCAGAGATTCAATATCAATTGTTGCTGATCTCAAAAGACAACATACAAGCTGGAAACATGTGGAAGGGACGCATTGGCACACCCGATTTAATCATCTTACAAACTATGGTGCAGGTACACCGTACACTACATGCTGCAATATACAGCCAGTAATAAAACTGTCTACTTGTTAGCCTAAAGTTATATCTAACCATGGGAATTGATCATGTCTATGAGATATGGGATACATAGCCTAAGTCATGAGATTTATCTGACTAAATTAAATCTACAGGTTACTATAGCTACTTGTATGCAAAATGCTTCTCAGCAACCATTTGGGAAAAGATATGCCAAGAGGATCCACTTTCACCGGCAACAGGTTCAGTTCTAAGGATGAAGTTCCTGCAGCATGGAGGAGCCAAAGACGCTACTAATATATTGAATGACCTTGTAGGAAACAGTATTACAAGGCCTGCTGGTGAAGGCGTAATACCTGATGTCACAAGCCTCTGCAATATGTTGGAGCTAACCAAATGCTAGTAGGAAGAGATCCCCCCACTTGATCTGCCAAGAGGGGTGGAGAAACCAGCAATATGTTGTCACATAGAGGTAACTTTAGTACTTCTTATACTGAAAACAAGAATGCAATTTGCACTTTCTATATGGTATGCCCTTCTCTGATTTTTTCCTACAACCTGCAATTTGCACTTTTTATTAATGCCAACTATATGGTATATTGGTCTGCCCTTTTCTCTGATAATTTTCCACTTTTTCAGCCTTACTGTTACTGATAATGCTGGAAATAGGTCACCTTCTAATGATACATTGTCTACTGCATATAGGAATCCTCTGGTTTTGATAGTAACTTCACATGTAGGGAATTGATTCTCGTATACACCCCATGGAATGGATTCACATAAAGTTAAAAGCAGAAAAAGAAAAAAAAAAATTGAGATGAAAGCAACAGTTCCGGGTTGATTCCTGTTTGGTTGGCAGCATAAACGTTCAGATTTGGCCCTTTCAGGAGAGCCCTTTTCCCAGTAAGCTGTCTTTGATGTCTCTTATTGGCGCAAAGGTGTGGTAAATTGACACTATTGAGCTATACCCTCAAGACTAATTAACTCCTTTTGTCATTCTCGGCCTCCCATTCCCCCTTATAGTGCCCATCAATCTCCGTCAATTCCAGAATAATATGCCTCCCCTCTCCCTCTATTGGATGATCCAATTCCAGGTCAAAATTAGCCTAAAATTTATAATCCTGTCCCTGTCATCCGACCCGAATCTGATCTGGCTTTAGAATGGGGGTAGCGTGGCCGATCAAGATTGGTGGCACTAACCCATCACCAATTAAAGCTGTTAAGTGCATCATTATATCGGTTTTATTGGCAACGCAATCATTTTTGTCTCTTTATAATCATCATTATGGAAGTCGAATAGCGGTTCAAGGGAAACAAAGGGGTTTAAATTTCATACATTTCATTCTCTTCGTTATATGAAAATTTCAAATTGGATAATTAAATTTCTTTTTAACTGATGGTGAGGTCACTCAATTCATGGGCACCAATAATTTTAAGGCACATCATGGGGAAATATTAGGAAAAAATTTAGAGGGGAAAATATCATCTTCATTCCCAAATTGGTTTTGAATAACTAATGACCAACAATTCAAAAAGAATGGGAGATTATATTCATGAATTGAACTAGAGAAGTTGGGAGAATATTTTCAATTTTTTTTTTTGTTTATAATCCTTGCGTAAGCATTTTAGATAATTAACTAGCGCTTTTGGTAGAACTAGTCCTCACGAATAATTCAATTTATTTTTGTATGGTAAATTGTGGACAAGAATTATAAAAGAATTCATATATCAAGGACAAAAAAGTAATAAAATTATCCCTAAATTAAATTTAACAATAATTTAACCTTAAATTAGTAAAATCTCAATACAATTATAAACATAAAAATCATGATGCAAACAAAACAAAAAAAAAAGTTTAGACCCATCCATTATTTTACCAGTCACGGAAAGATGCCTTACTTGCAGGTCAAAGAACAGCCTCCTTTAGGCGCCCCGTGCCTTTTGCTTTTGACTTAGAGGACAAATTAGTGTTTGTTATAAGTAATTAAGAATCCAATCAATATACATTATGTCACACTTTAACTTTCCCCATACTTAATTAGGTGAGAGTAGCCTCGTTGTTTTTTGTTTTTGTTCTTTTGTTTAATGACGACAAAATTTGTCATTACCATTTAAAAGTGTTTCATTTTTGTGTAATAGTAATCAAATCACACAAGATAAGTAAATTGCATTAAAAAAATTACATGATATGGGCTTAATCAAAAAAAATATTGACAATAATTAAATTCGTGATATTCTAATTAAGAATCGTGATTCACCCATTCGATCACTCCATTCGGAACCAGCAATCTCATTGTTATGTGATGGGTGGATGGTTTCTTTATTTCATAGGGATAGCTAAAAGTAAGCATTCATTTGTCTTATTGGGTTTGTAGTTATAGCGGTGGTTGCTTAATTTTGTAATGTCATCTCGTCAAATACACGTCTCCTCACTATTTGCATTGATTCTTGAAACTATTCTTGGAGAATGATAAAAGGTGTTGTGATACATCACATTTGTATAGTAGTGTGTCAAATATGATTGAGATTATCTAAAGAGTAAAACAATTGATTGAATTGAAATTACAGAATAGTTAATTAATTTAGAAGACTTTTTTTATTAAAAAAAAAAATACTCAGTATAATTTGATGAATATATTAGGAATAGAACCGGAGCAAGTCGACCCGAAAAAACAGAACAAAGATGATTTGGGTAGACGCGAGAACCCAGGATTGAGCTCCATACTTGACCCAGGCCACCCAAGCCACGACCTAGCTAATCATGCTACGGCTAAGCCCTAAGCCGGGTTTGGCCTAGGCCTCGGCCAAGGGGCCTCAGCTAGTACAGGGGTCCGGTTACGAGATCATGGCGCGGCCAAGGGTTGTTGTAACCATTCTCACCTTTTTAGGTGGTGGTTAAAAGGCTTCTTAAGTATAAATAGCAATGTATTTGTCCTATTGAAACATCTTCATCTTCATTTTCTAATCAATTATTGTAATAGCATTGCAATCTTTGTAATTATTCTACAACATCACTATCAATACAATCATGTCCCCGTGACATGCATTTATCCCGTTACTTTGCTATTATTTTCCCCTTATTATCCATTTATATTTTTCTTTAATTATCGGGTTTAATAATTCGGACCACCCAAGTTTATTAAATCTATCATAATTATATATATCATACATAATATAATTGTATTATGTAGTATTAGTACCACTATTAATAGTATATTTTGTTGTACTTAATACTATTAGTATTATTATTCAATATTTAAAAGTCGTTAAAACAATACATCAAGATATAATAAAACATTTAACACTGATGGCCTATTTGGTACAATGTAGTTTGGTTGTAAAAGAATTGAAATTCAATGAAAGCTGAAATTACATTGTTTGGTTGGAGGGAATTGCAATTCCGCTGAATTGCAATTCCCTCCTTTTGCTGAATTACAATTCATGCCTCCACCCTAGGAATTGCAATTCCATGCTTTGTGGAATTGCAATCTCATTAAAAAATACCAATTTACCCTCATTAGCATTATTATATTAATATTATATAAGGGCATTTTAGTATTTATTTACTTCTTCCCTCTCAATTCTTCATCACCCTATTTCTTTCCACCAAACAATGTAATTTAAATTCCCACTTTATTCTTTTCCCACCGAATTACAATTCATTTCCCCCCTAATTCCTTCCTTCCAACCAAACGCCCCGTGATAGTGTGACAGGAGTAGAGGTCTAGAGTTACACTATAAGACAAGATTAGAAGATGAAAATGTATTATTTGAATGAGTAAAGGTTCAATCGGTCAGCAGATAGCAATATGATCAAAAGCAAGATTTAAACATTTAGTGCACCGAGTAATAGTGACTGAAAGATGATTCTCTATATGAACATAAGTGCATTAATTAATATCATATGGGATCTTTCAGTATAATAGTTTTGTCATGTTTAGTCCTAAACTTTTAAATTGATCACATGTATTCTTTCTATTTTCAAATTCTTACTATTTATGGTTCAAGGTAACCACCTATGATTTTTCAACTTTCAAAATTTAATCAACTGTGATTCTCCACCACCCCCATCAAACAATATTGATATTTAGGTGCCCGCATGAGCAACTTAGTGGTGTGAAGTTTAAAAAGAATTGACCATGGATTGAGTCTCATCAACGACAGTGTGGGAGTAATCTCTCAAAGTGAAGATGCTCCTTATACGTAGTAAGCAAATGTTTAGCCCCGTTGTGCTCAGCTGAATTTTCAAATGCTCCGTCAAATTGGAAAACGGGGTCATTAGAATTAGGAATTCAACTTTTGAAAAAATATTGACATTTAGGTATTGACTTATTAAATAACATTCCTTAGAGCACATATATGAATAATTAAATCAAATCATCAATCCACGAGCCACTTTGTTAAAAGAGCCATTGCATGCACCTCACTTTCATTTTGTTTTTGTATTTAAGAAAAAAAAAAAGTAAAAGAAGAAAATAAAAAATAAAAAGTTCGTAAAATTGCATCATGCTTCATTCAATACCTTCATTGCACCAAAACCAATACATTGCCAAACACTAGGCAACAAAATCCTTGGGGCCTTTGCCCATTGGGATTTGTAATTTGTAAATGATTACCCAACCCTAAAATTTGCTAGCATTGGGAACTGCATAATTTCATTTGGACCCCTAAAAGTCTACCTATTATTACTTCAACGTCCTTCTTTATCTTAAATTTGCACACATACCCCTCATACATATTTTTTTGAGTAAATACTAAAAAGGTCCCTCAACTATAGCTAAATTCACAAATTGGTCCTCAATTTTCAATTTTAACTAATTTTAACACGATTTGGTCCTCTGTCTATTTGACCGTTTGTTGACCGTGATATTTGAGGATATATATGTAATTTCATCGCCGCCCGCTCTCATCCGCTGCCGTGACACAGTCTATCTCCCAGCTACAAGCCACTGCCCAGCCGCCCTCATCTACTGCCATGACACACTCCACCGCCCAAACACCTTCGCATACTGCCACGACACAATCCATCGTCCAAACACCTTCTCATAACTCATCATTGCCGGCGCTACAAGCCAATTTGCAATCTTCATCAGGTCCAACGCCACAAACAATCGTGTTCGACCTCAAACAGGCCTTCGAACACTTCTGCATCAACGCCGACGGTCGCGCTGTCATCAACGATATCTAGAAGAACCTGCAGCTCTCGTGGGAGCACATGGAGGTCTCCAGGATGACGCTGCACCGATTCGGAAACACGTCGTCTTCTTCGCTCTGGTACAAACTCAACTACATTGAATCCAAAGGGAGGATGAAGAAAGGCGACAGGATTTGGTAGATTGCTTTTGACAATGGATTCAAATGTAACAGTACGGTCTGGAAATGCAACCGGAACCTTAAAAAACAGACGATGGACCATAAAATTACATATATATCCTCAAAAATCACAGTCAACAAACAATCAAATAGACAGAGGACCAAATCGTGTTAAAATTGCAAAGTTAAGGACTTAATTGGTCAAAATTAAAAGTCGAGGATCAATTTGTGAATTTAGCTATAGTCGATGGACCATTTTGGGTATTTACTCTATTTTTTAAATACTATTAACTTTATTACAAGAGTTAATTCCAATGAAGGTCCCTTGTTTTTGTGACAATTCTAAATTTAGTCCCAGATTATTGTTTTTGTCATTTTACATCCTAGACTGTTGTTTTTTGGACACTTTTAGTCTTTCTCATGATTTTTTATATTTTTAGTAAAGGCATTTTTGTCTCATCATATTTTTCTTTTGTTATTTTTTCCGGTTTCAACCAGTTTAATTGGTTTAGAACTTTAAGTAACCTCTGATTTTTAGTAATCATATTTTTCAATCAATTTTTAGTAAAGTCCTAAACCAATTAAACTGATTGAAACTGAAAAAATAACAAAAGAAAAATATGAAGAGACAAAAATACCCTTACTAAAAAATCAAGAGAATGACTAAAAGTGTCCAAAAAATGATAATTTGGGATGTAAAATGGCAAAAATGATAGTAATTTAGAATTGACACCAAAGACAAGGGACCTCCGGTGAAATTAACTCTTATTACAATGTAATATATGTTCATAACTAATTTCTCAACTGATTAAAATATAAAGAATTAATACGACCCCACTAGAATTCAAACTCATAACTTTCGATTTGAAAGAATCACTTCGTGACACTAAACAACTCAAATCATTGGCATACCCCTCATACATACAAACAACCATTTTTGTTCAAAACTCAATCCGAGAAGTTTTACCATCCAAATATTTTTACCGAATTGGATAAGCACGTTACCATATACCATACAAAAAATTACCATTATAGCCTCAAATTTGAATACCATATTTCAGAGCATCAAATACTCCGTACATAATAACGGCGTGAAATGGATAAAATCACAACAATTTACAACTGTACAAAATGGGTATATACAGTAATTATTACGGCGTTCAATTTAAACAAAGCTTAATCAACTTAACTAATTATCCATTATCAGAGCATAACGGATTGAAGAAAGGAAACTGAAATGGAACGCCCAAATTACCAAAAGCCCCAATTATATCACGAAATTAATCGAGCGCATTGGGGCCAGTACAGTAATTCAAAATGGGGTTCCAAACCCACTGCACTAAGAACCTCCGCCTGACCCCGTTCATGTTATACGTGGCACCATCTGCGCCGTTCAACATCTGGCCGGTGTACGACCCGCCGCCGCCGGTGCCGTAAATCCCCTCGCAGAGATCGGCGATTTCGACGGGGAAGCTCGGGTCCTGGCCGGCGTACCACGCGTTCACCAGCGGGTTCGTGGAGACCTCCGCAATCTCGTGAGCGATCACGCTTATCATCCCGTCCACCCCGGCGTTCCCGTTGGGGGATTTTAGGGGTTTCAGACCCGGAATGTAGTCGGGTACGGCGAAGGGGTAGGCGCAGATTCCCGGGCATAATTTGGCGGAGTTTCCGACCCAGGCGTACGGCAGCGTGTAGCCGACGATGGACGGGAAGGTGAAGTAATGGAAGCCGCAGACGTTGTTGCAGAAATCCTGGACGTACACGTCGTCGGAGGTGAGCAATAGGTAGACGCCGCTCTTAGGGTTAGTGGGCAACGGGCGGGAGGGCGCCGTGACGGCGGATTTAATCACGGACTGGACCGTTAACCGGGTCAGGGACTTGCCGTGGGAGTAAAACCGGTCGTTCTTCTCGGCGCCGAGGATCACATTCCGGGAAATATTGGCGCCGGTCTGATCGGTGTAGAGCCGGACCGTCTTCCACCACCCGGCAACGGACGGCCGCTTAACGGCATCCGCGGAAATAGCGGAAATGAATGCCCGGATAATCCGCTTCTGAGATTTGTCCCACCGGCCGTACCAAATGGGATAAACCGTTATATTCGCGGTAAGAACGGGGCCCATGTGGTATCTCAGGTGAACAAACTCCGACGAGCCCTCGTATTTCTTCGACCCGCCGAAGATCAAATCCGTCGAGTTGGGCTTCTGGGCGGGCCACGGCCGCCACCCATCAACCCCGAACGGGCCGGCGGAGAAAATGAACATTCCGACTAGAACGACGAACACGAAACCCAAGCGCATTTTAGAGTAGAAACGAAAACGTTAAAAATCACAGAGAGATAAAGAAAGAGAGAGAGAGAAGGAGAAGGAGAGTACAAAGGTTTGAATGGGGAGAGTGGATTCTTAAAAGTGGTGGAGCTTAGCTAAGGGGAGGCGGGTGGGGCCTACCGGGATGATGATGGCGACGGCGGGAGGAGTCGCCGTCGCCGGATCACCTGTAAACAGTGAGGCGATGAGCGAGCGCGGGAAAACGGGGAGGGGCAAGTGGGGGGAATTCGTAGTATGTAGTGTACGTGTAGGGTTTTGGAGCAGAGAACAAATAAGCACGGCTTCTTCATTAAGGACGCGTTTGGTTTCTCACTTTTGGGATTCGAAGCTGCGCTAAACTAAAACCACTTCGCTGCGCCATTGCACCCAACACGTACCTGCCATCACCTATTTCACTCTCTTTTTACCATTTTCACAACATTCGAGGTCGGACTTTCATGTGTAATTGTCCTTGTTTGCTAGCCCAATTTGATTCCTGTGACTGCTATTCTTAAAAATGATGATTTTAACCACTCTGTTTGGCGTGAGTAATAGTGCACTCTAGTCCCTTGAGAGAGGTTGAGAGTTCAAACCCCCCTCATATGAAAAAAAATTGATCTGGCCAGCACTTTTTCTCTTAATTAGGTTAGACCGATGCGAACTATGATTAGTCTAAGTATGATACGGGCTTAATTGAGTCTTCTACAGTTAAGACTTGCTCAGGACACTTCGTGGTCTGAAAAACAAATTATGATGATTTTGATCTAGGAAGTCGAAGTCATGATATTTTGATACGAGAATCATACTCTACTTATTTGACGAATGTCTTAATTTTTGGGGTGTTTTATGAGCCATTTGTATTTAACAAAAGTATACATTCTGTTTTAATACATGATATTTCATAAAACATGCAATACCATTATCAAGTAAGTTAAGTCATCATAAAAGTTATATGGGGTGGCATGAGGGCAAAATAATAGGTTTTCTAAGGAGTGCCTTCTTGATTAATTTAACACTAAGTGGGTAACATCTAAATAACCACCAATTAATGAGTAAAACATTTTGTATAAGTTATCATGCACATGTAACTAATAATTATGCCAAAGTGATACTACATTCTTCTTTTGAATTTACCTATTAAATATTAATTAATATTTGACTGAGTGAAACTTGCTTTTCTTTTTCTTTACTAATGGACACAACATTATATGAAACATGGTCATGTCACACTAATGTTGTATGCATAAATGATGAGTAGTGTTTCGAAACAAGTTAATTGAGTGGGTGAAACATTAGTATTGTACAAAAAAAGTTACGAGTTTAATGCTCGCCAATAACATTTCGTTCGAGCTTGTAATACAAGGTCTTTTAATATAATTTATCTCGCTTGTGTAATTTGCGAGTTATTACATAAGAATGTGATTTATCTAATAAATACCATTGAATGGTGTGTGTATGTTTCCATTATCATTCAAACAAAAATAAAAAATGATGGGATGGGCATCACAACCATCCATCCCAACTTGGGCACTATCTACCTTTGTTGTACTGTCAACCAATTTACACATGAATTACTCTCTCTATAAATATGTTTGATGTAACACTACGGCTTATATTACCTAATTAAGAACCCTTAAATAGCAGTAATAATATACAAATGTGGGTTTGTTACACCCTCACCCCTCGTAACATTCTCTATAACTATTAAATGAGTCATTCTCAACTTTGACATTCTAAACTTCTGGTCCTAACATAAGACACATCCATGATAAATATATTAGAACTTTACAACTAGTAGGCCTTATACTCAGACAAATCCTTAAGCTCGTATTATACTTAGACTAATATTCATTTGCACCAGGCTGGCCAAATTAAACGGCAAAGTGCTGACCATATTGGTTTTTCTATACGAAAGGTTAAGGGATGAGAGTGTACGATCACCCATGTCAACCAAGTTGGTTAGCCCATATCTTATGAAACCCATTAATTAATGTTGAATTTTTAACAATTTATTTGAATGATTAATTTTTAGAACTTCCACCTGGCGACCACTGGTCGCATTCTCTCATGGTTGGCGACCGGCGACGATTCGACCATCGCCAGTCACCGGATGTGAAAATTACTTGCAATTTAAAGGGTGTTGCCTTTATTTAAAAAAATTATTATGATGTTAGGAGGTAAATTGGAGAGTGAGTGGCACATATTGTGGTGGGTAGAGGTGATCGCAGGTGATGCAAACCCTTGCGCACCGAAAGAGGACAAAAAGAAAGATAGGCACTTGAGGTTTGAAGCGTTAAATCACGGAGTGAATGGCGCGGACCCTTCATCATGTTTTCAGCAGGGAGATGGACACAAAAAGAGGAGACATCAGCTGAGCTGTCAGCCACGGTGGGCCCACTCCCAGAATTTCACAAAATTGTTGACTACATATGTACTCCTAAATTTTATTATCTCAAATTTATTTTCTAATGTAACGAGTTCATAAGTTATTTTCTTCATATATGACTTTGTAAAAGTGTTTATATTAATATTTTAAATGTGAAAGTAAAATTTGAGAGTAGATAATAAGGGTACATATAATATTTTTCAAGTTTAAATTCCGAGATAGACTACTCACATATTGCAGTAATTATTTGAAATGTATTGTAAATCCATTTTTACTCTATTGCAAATTTTTTTAAAAAAATTATTATATTTTGATTTATATTCATTTTTAATATAAACTACAAATAGACATGCAACATAAAAATGTACAGTTACATCAATCTCGAAAGTGATATTCAAGTGGATAAAATATGATTTTTGTACTTGAAGATAACACTTAGATAGTGATTATAAATTTCTCACATTATTTTTATCACTTTATAATAGCTTTGGTTGGTAACATAGTTAACTTATTCGTTAATTTTGACAACTATTAGCTATTTGACTTGGTTAAACAGTTAATATAAGTGTTTGATTAATTGATTTTTTGTAACGACTTATTGTTTCAAAATTCTACAACTCTCAAAAAGCTATTCAAAATAACTTTTTCGACCAATTTTTTTAGAAAGTCATTTTGCATGTAATCAACTATCAGCTAACAGTCAATTTATCAAACATTTTTTTACAATCAATTAATATTATCAACTAGTCAAACTTACTAACCTAATCAGTTAATAATTATTTACCAAACATCCCCAATATAGGTTATGATCCAGAATAAAATTTGTGAAATTCACTCAATAGTTATGTTGTGCAACCGTGTGCACCATGCATGGTGCACGCGGTTGCAAAACGACGTCGTTTTGACTAAATACCCACGTCCCATTTAAAAAAAAAAATCAGTTTTGATTCCCCTCAACAACATTATATTGTTCATTCATTGTGGATATTTAGTTCATTGATTGTGGATATTTAGTTCATTCATTTAGTGTGAATATTTAGTTCATTTATTGTGAATATATAATTCAAATTATGCATAAAAATTCTATTGTCAAGAATCAAACCTGAATTTTTCTCTTTTAGACACATATTTTTAGTCAAAACGACGTCGTTTTTATAATCGTTTTTGTAAACCATAATTTGCGAAATTCACTAACGAGTGGAGAATCTAATTGGGTTTTGGCATTGGGCCCAATTGGCAGCAGATTAGGTCTCTTTTTGGCGATATTTGACAAAGACGTCTGTCATACTGTCCACAGCTCACAGGTTTCTCTACGCACACACGGGACACCAATCATAGCCCCACCCCACGCCTATTCCTCCTACGTCCTATGTACAACCACCGAATCTAAGTACTCCTTTTTCATTCTTCCCTTCATCCCCATATTAATACTTAATAAATAATATTCATAAAAGGAGTTAATTACCGATTTAGTCTTTTGACTATGAAGATTTCACCAATTTGGTCCTTAACTTTTAGAATTGACCAATTTAGTCCTCAATTATATAATTTTTATCCGAAATGGTCCTAGGTACAAATTGTCATTAGTTAGACGTTAAAACTGAGGACAGAAATGTAATTTCACTTTATTTGCCTTCCTAGGTGTAGTTGGTTTAATCTATAAATCTAACCCTAAACGCAGGCCAAGTGCAGCGTCCAAAGCTGGGGGAGAGGGGGAAGACTACGGCGATGCCGAGTGATCTAAGGCCGCGTTTGGCTTTTTGTCGCTTTGTTTTGACAGTGCCGTTCAGCTCTGCTATCTCTTGGGGAGAGAGGAGGGGTCGTCTGTTGTTTTCTTTCTTCTACGGTTGTTGTTCTGTGTTTGAGTTGTTGGGTTGCCATGTAGATGATAATGGGCTTGTGGTACAATGGACGAGAGGGCGAAAGAATCGGAGGAGCTGAGAGGTATAAGTGAGGAAAGCAATCCGCCCGCTATTCCCACTGCCACCGCCTGTACTACCTTCCGACGATAGTTCGGATTTAGCCATCCAACGCAAGCATGCGACAATCAATTGAGACCCAAACTCAGCTCTAGATTCCACCCAATACTTCCTCTCTCGTTTCTTTGAATCCAAACAATCAATTCTGTTGGACCTATCTCGGATCCACAAAACCCAATACCTTCAATCCGACCCAAATCTCAAATCGGAACTGGATAAGGTCTCAACTTCAATCGCTGCTCTCAAAAAAGCAATTTAACGGCGAACAGAACCCAATGAAGCGTCCCGGCGGTATCTCTCTCCTCGGCAAACTGCAGCGCGATGACGTAGGCAGAGCAGCTACGGCGATAGGTTTCGGAGCGGCTGGGCAGTAGTTGGGCGAGGTCTTCTCCCCTCCGTTTCCCGTCAGTCTTAGTTTCTGGGTAGTACAACAGCAAGTGGCGCCGACGGTTCCTTCTGGCGGTACAGCCTGTCTCACTCGTTCGTTAACTTGAAGATAAAGAATATTAGGGAGAATTTCGTATTTTACCCTTGCATTTTGACGGTAAAATAGACTGAGGACCATTTTGGTTTACGTTTTCATAGTTGGGGACTAAATTGGCCAATTTTGAAAGTCGAGGACCAAAGTGGTGAAATCCTCATAGTCAGGAACCAAATCGGCAATTAACTCTTCATAAAAGTTATACTACAAGTATTCACAGATCTTACTTTTAATTTTATATCTTGATTTAGCAGGCTATGGTAAGCTGTTTTTTTCTAACGTGGTCTCAATACAAATGTCTATATCAAGATTTTGTGTTTGGAAACAAAAATGAAAATTATAATAATATTTTCCAATTCCTAATACGATTATCCCTCTCGTATGTGTCTTGACTATTGTACATAAATAAAATTACCTAATATACACTCTAAAATAGTGACAGAAATTCCACTTGCCCTCCCAAAAAGACTACAATTAAATTTTCCATGTATGAATATACTTTTTTACCCGTATGAGCAGCTCAACTGGTCATAGAGGTGAAAGTTTGGAAGAATGTATGAATATACTTTCGGTGTTGATTGCCTGAGATGGCTCCGCATAAGAATTGTTATACCATGGATCAGGTTTCACTTCCTAAACGATGTATAAATTGTGTATTTTTAGTATTGGAATTGTGAATTTCTAGAAGAGTAAATACCCAAAATAGTCCCTCGACTATAGCTAAATTCACAAATTGGTCCTTGACTTTTAATTTTAACTAATTAAGTCCTTAACTTTGTAATTTTAACACAATTTGGTCATCTGTCTATTTAACCGTTTGTTGAATGTGATTTTTAGGATATATATGTAATTTCATGGTCCATCGTCGGTTTTTTAAGGTTCCGATTGCATTTCCAAACCGCACTGTTACATTTTAATCCACTGCCGGAAGCAATTACCAAATTCGGTCGCCTTTCTTCATCCTCCCTTTGGATTCAATGTAGTTGAGTTCGTACCAGAGCAAAGAAGACGACGTGTTTCCGAACCAGTGCAACGTCATCCTGTAGGCATCCACGTGCTCCGACGAAAGCTGAAGGTTCTTCTAGAGATCGTCGATCACGGTCAAGAAATGGTCAAATAGATGGAGGACCAAATCGTGTCAAAATTGCAAAGTTAAGGACTTAATTGGTTGAAATTGAAAGTCAAGGACCAATTTGTGAATTTAGCTATAGTCGAGGGACCATTTTATGTATTTACTCTTTCTAGAATATAAATTGTGTTTCTAAGTCAAAATACAGGTTATTTGTGAATACAATACAATGTTTTCAAATCCTAATATGTACTGCAGTATTTGAAAAGATCTTGTGACTACAAACTAAGGTATATATTAACATTATGTATTCGTAGTATACAAATTGTGAATTTTTAAAAGGTAAATTGTAAACACTTTGATCCATGTCCACATAATAAGTTGTTATATCATGGACCATGTCCATAGTGCACGGTCGATCCAAATCTAAAATATACAATATACAATTTACATACTGAATGTTCATAATTTGCATACTAAATGTTCACAATTTACATTTTATAAAATTGTGAACGTTCAATATGTAAATTATGAACATTTAGTATGTAAATTATATATTTTGGACTTGGGTCCACATTGCAATGTGGACGTGGGTTCACAGAATAATTTGCCGGGTGTTATATGCAAACTATGTTGTAAACGTGGACTCGGTTCTAAAATTACATAATTTATATACTGAATCTTCACAATTTACATATTGTTTGTTCGCAATTTGAATTGTAAATCTACATTATGTAAATTGTGAACATTGATCTGCGTCTATCTTGTAATGTGGACTCGGGTCCATGGCATAACTATTGGGTGTTATACATAATCTGAAAACGTGGCTTCATTAGGCCCAAAAAGTTAGTGGGCCGAGTAATATAATATTGGGCTTGAATAGGGGGGTTTTATACATAAACCGGGAAATGATAGGCACGTAAGCTAGGGTTTGTCTCCGCGTTTCCAGTGGAAGCTGAAGTTTGCAGAGCTCCGCCATCATGGGTCGCATGCACAGTCGCGGGTAAGTCAGTGATTCGAAATCCCTTAACTTTCATTGTTGAAATGTATAGTCAGATCGTGATTCTAAGTATCGGTTGCATTTCTTGTTGGATTTCAGTAAGGGTATTTCATCTTCAGCTCTTCCGTACAAGAGAACCCCTCCCAGCTGGCTCAAGATCTCTTCCCAAGATGTGAGATATCTCAATTTGATTAGTTTTTGTTGTCCGGTTTGCATTTTATGGCTTCTGATTTGCCTAACATTGATACGGGACTTTGTCTGATATGATTGATTGCTTTTTGGAATCTATGAATGGTGTAGTGTATTGATAGTGTAATTTTCATCATATTAGGTCGACGAGAACATCTGTAAGTTCGCCAAGAGGGGTATGACTCCTTCTCAGATTGGTGTTATTCTCCGGGATTCACACGGAATTGCTCAGGTGAAGAGTGTCACTGGAAGCAAGATTCTCCGTATCCTAAAAGCTCATGGTATTGTTTGCATTTCCAAGTTCCTAGCTTTTTGCTAATTTCTAAGTATACTTAGCTCTGGTTTATTGTTGAATGTGGTTTGATTGTAGTTGTGAAGTAGTTAAAAGTGTTCCCTTGGGCCTCTTTAGCTTGGTAAACCGAAATAAGCTCCACCACTGTTTTGAGTTTTGTTAAACAAAGAAAAGCTCAATCCCCGAAGAGATTAATAGTCCAAGCTTTATTGTTTAAAAGCCTGTTCTAGTTCAACTTTGTTAATTAATCAAGCCACCCACCACATGCTTGGGCTCCCATGAGTATGGTCATTTACTATGATTCTAGATTTGATATTGGTTTGGGTGTGTAGGGCTTGCTCCTGAGATTCCAGAGGATCTGTACCACCTTATTAAGAAGGCTGTTGCTATCAGGAAGCACTTGGAGAGGAACAGAAAAGACAAGGACTCTAAGTTCCGCTTGATTCTAGTGGAGAGTAGGATTCATCGTCTTGCTCGCTACTACAAGAAGACTAAGAAGCTCCCTCCTGTCTGGAAATAGTAAGTGTTGCTCCTCTTTTCTCGTGTTCTTTTGTTTCATTTGAGCTAGCTGAACTAAAATCATATGATAAATTCGTTTTCTTCAAACAATATATTTGATGTATGATATAAATTCTAAGCTTCAACATATCTGGATTAGATTATTTTTGCATCTCTTGTTCCTCAATTGTTATGTTTTACCAAATCATATGGTTTTACCCACATGATGTTTTCTTCATGATTATTTCAGTTTTGTTGTAAATGATTCTCAAACCCGCACTGTAAAGCGGTTCTCAATTCTTCAGTCGGATTAAAAATGATCTCAAGATTTATTTATTTTTTGAATCCTTCCTATTACACTGTTCCATAATGTAATGAAGCTCACTTGATGCAATATGGTTAATCAAAGGTACTTGCTGGTCAACTGCAAACTTTGGACACTATTACCATATTTTCAATATGTAATGTTTCTGTTATCAACCAAGATGGTACTAGACATGAAGTCTTGTTCTTAATTATAAGGCGTCTTAAGTTGCCAGTTGATCCCTTGTCTCAATGACTATTGCTTAGCCATTGAGATCTTCCAACCTTACCATTTACTGATTACTTTTTGATGTTTTTCCTGCAGCGAGTCCACCACTGCCAGCACTCTTGTGGCTTAGGCTAGGCTAGAGTGGAGTAGTTTCGAATTATGGAGTGTCATAGAAGTTTTCTTCTTTATGGGGAAATGTTTGTTAAACCAAATTTTGTTATTTGATACAATTATGTTGTTCGACAATTCATAATAGCTGTTTGGGAATGTTGTTTTTCTCAATGTTCTGCGCTACATATTTCTCGTTACTCGTATATGGTGTTTGATTGGTTTGTTAGAAAGGTATTTGAATGCATGCTCTAGTTCCCCACCAAAATTGGTACAGTGTTGAGGCTTTGTTAAAAGGCCATATTTATCTTTACTTCTAAATTTCTAATTGACTTTACTAATGTATACCTTAGTAACCAATGAAGATGTAATCATTGTAATATACTCTTTACATAAAAGTTCCATGAAACCATTTAGCAAAAAACACAAAGAAGTAAACTAACTTATTACTATAATTTTTTGACAAATCCAACTACTAACATGGCAACATTGGCTAGTATGCAATTGCTTCATGGAATGGAGAAATTCAAATAATGTGAAATTATTAGTTAATCTATTAACATTATATAGAGTAACTAAATTAATTTATAGGTAAAGCACAAAGCTTGCAGCAATGGAGTGTGATGGTTTGGACCCTTTTTGAAAGGGTTGGAATGGCCTTGGAACAAGAGTATATGAAAATTGAGATACATATTGATTTTATAAAGGTCGGAAAGTGGATTAAGAAAGAGTTCCACTCGGACTTCTACGATATATTATTGCTAGATATAACGGGTGGATTAATAAAGAGTGGGAGATTAAAATTCGTTACGTCTACCGAAAATAAAATAGAGTGGGTAATAGTATGGTCAGCTTAGCTGCTATATGTCAAGATAATTAGAAAGGCGATAATTGATGATCATATGGACGCCTCTTGGTCATTGACCATCTGTGGCTTGACCACAAGGTTTTTGCCATAATTTTTTTGCTTTACCACTAATTATTTCAGTTTTTTTTTTAGAATAACTAATTATTTCAGTTAATTTGCAAAGAGTTAATTCGCAAATAAAAAGTTGGTTCTGTAAAATCATGATTCATGATCCAGTAAGGGGTCAATGTACAAATATGGTAATTTATGGGCCTAAATCGTAATTAGAGCGGGGCATAAGTGAAATAACCATAAATAAATACTTTTTGGCGCCCGAGCGAAGAAAAACCCTAGGCACGTTCATACAGCTCAAGAGCATAACTAGCTGAGCAATTGGAACTTCTGAATTGACCGGAATTTGGAAAATGGCCGGATTAAGAGTTGTTACCGATAGAACCCCCGCCGGGCAACCGGCCCTCAACGCCGGTAACGGCGAGGAGCTCATGCACGTTCTTTCCGGCGTCTCGCTTGTGCTCGGCAACCGCCTTCCTCTTTCCCCCGGCACTCTTTACATCACCACCAGGTAGTCCGTTCGCCTACACTCTCTTTGTAGGATTTATACTTTGCTGTTTGAGTTTGTATGAACTTGGTTTGAAAAATTTTGAAGGAAAGTGGTGTGGTTGAGCGACACAGACAGAGAAAGAGGATATGCAGTCGATTTCTTGAATATTTCACTCCATGCCGTGTCTAGAGACCCGGAATCTTACCCGTCTCCTTGTATATATGCCCAGGTAAAGCTATCTTTCATAGGATTTTGATTTGAACTTGTCCTTGGAAGTTTTGGACTTAGTAATTCTGTATTAACTTCAGAATTATTGTATAGAATTGAACTTAAGTGATTCTATTTTATTACCCTTCCCAGATGAATTTTTCATTGCCTTTGTTTGTGCTAGAAATGCATCTAACTTGCCAAAGGAATATATCTGTTCATGAGAAGTGTTCACCCAGTGTGAACAATTTTTCTAAGTATTTCTCTTTCATATTCTCATTATGTACTTAGTTAATAGCTGACATATGCAGCTCATGATTTGCGTAAAATCATATTGTGGATATTGGAGGGTGACGTGCAGCTTAAATACTACTCCGTATGTGTTTTGGTTATTGTCTTGTCACTATTATTATGAGAGTTCATGATCAGCTTGCTAGTTGTGTTATTTTCTCCCTTTTTGACTTTTCAGGCTTTAATTAATCAACTATTTATGCATTTTCTTGTGCAAGTGCCTGATTTATAGTACCTTCATAGTAAAAACACATGTTTTTTTTGCTTTACTTTTGAAGATTGATATTGGGGATGAGGATGATGATGATTCAGAGGGCTCTGATACTGAGTGTAATGAGACATTAGACTTATCACGGATCACTGAGATGAGGGTTGTTCCATCAGATCCTAATCAAGGTGATTCGGATTTGTGTTCTTTATATGTGCTTTGTGTCCTTTTGATTTGCATCATTATAACTATATATTATTGCCGTGGTTTTTAAGTGAATAAGGCTAACATTCATTTCGTTTTATTTGACACAAAGCAGTGGATGCACTGTTTCAGATGTTTTGTGAATGTGCCGAGCTAAACCCTGAACCAATTGAAGGTAATTATCATTCATTTTGACTGATATAACTTTAGTTATTTTTTAATTTTTTTTCCCTGTTCTTTACTGTCTGCATCTCTTCCCAAATGAACTCATGCCTTATCTGTGCTTATCGTAGAGGAGGAAGAAGAGCATAATTGGATTTTCAGTGCTGAGCAGTTAGAAAATGAGGCAGCAGGTATGAACTTGAATGGCTTCGCTTTGTTGTTCTGGATATCTTTTGCTTTGTATCACTAACTTTACATCCTTTTAAACTGCAGAGGAAGGGGAGGAAACTGAATGGATGGTTATGCAGAATGGCTCACATCCAATTGGTTGTTCTAATGAGGATCCTGACTTAGCTCATACAATTCTTCAGGTATGCTTGTTGGCTTCAGGTTTATTTGATTCCTGGACTTCATAATATAGAGTTGAATTTTGGAATTATGTTATTATATCTTCTTGAAAATAGTATCATAATTGCTCTTGTATACAAGTCTAATGTACCCAAGTAGCTGCTTTTCATTTAATATTGGTGTGAAGTTTGATGTAATTCTCTTTGGTTTTAAGTGTAAATGTTCTGTGATTTTCTTCCCCATTAATTTTATTATTCAAAATGCTGAGTCATGGTTATGCCATTTTTTAAAATTGCAGCTTCAAATTAACGATCAACGGTTTGAGGATGCAGAAGAGATGGATAGCGATAATCACAACCGGCAACACTGAGCTGTTACAGACCCAAACATTTGCATTCTGTAGTACCTGTCCTGTTATACGCTTCTGTTTTGGGTGGTCTTGATGTGATCTCTATTTAGACGTGGGACTTTTGTGTATATTTGAGTTAGGAACCATGTAGGTTTTCGCAGGTCATGTTTGACAGAATTGTCCTTAAAACTTTTATCCTTGTTTGTTACACATGCACGCAAGAATCTTGTGCTATGATGGGATCCTTATTGAATTGAATTTCTGCACTCTAATTGTTTCTGGTATATATGAAACTTTGAACATGAAGCAGTTTCTTTGGATGTTTATGTTCGATGGTGTCAAAAATTCATTCTATAGTCCATTGACAGATTCCGGTCATTTATATGGCAATAGTTGAGACTGACTTATGGTGCATGAAAGCTCCTACGGTTAGCATTGTCGTGTTTTGGAAGTGTTTCCCCTAAAAAAAAAAATAATAATACAAATACCACTCACATATTTGTCATCCGTGAGCATAATAAAATCGCTGATTGCCTCGCCTCGGCTGCTTTAGACCATGAGCTGGGGACTTGGGTTTTTGAACGTCAACATCAGTGCGTTGAGAGTTTGCTTGTTTGCTTTGGGATGACAGAGTCGGTGTCAGAGTTCGTCGCGGGACTGACTATTGAGTTTTTGAACATCAACATCAGTGCGTTGAGAGTTTGCGGGACTGACTATTGGGTTTTTGAACATCAACATCAGTGCGTTGAGAGTTTGCTTTGGGATGACAAGGTCGGTGTCAGAGTTCGTCGCGGGACTGACTATAATGTCTCTTAGTTTTCTCTCTCGGTTTTCCAAAAAAAAGAGTGGCAAATTTGTGAGTGGTAATGTAGAGGCATTTATCATTCTCATATTATTTTTTTCTTGATTTTTTTTTTTATATAAATCAATTATGTAAAAATACTCAACAATTTGAGATGATGGTACAGAAGTACTATATTATCAACTAAGGTCTATCTTGTGTAAGGTAGACCCCGGTTTACAACGACATTGCTTTATTACGTTGTTAATATCGTCAATCAGTTATATCATGTTTAATAATATTGAGAGTTTTGTACACAGAAATTTGAGTCTTGAAACTAGTTGAATTTACGTCCTCATGAGCTTAGGATGAATTCATGAAGGACATAATATGGCGAAACCATAAAACTTATTTTGTCAAAAATAGCATTTATTATGTACTATGTTCATAATATTTACTTCATCTGTCACATTTTATCTGTCCTATTTACACATTCTATCAGTTGATAGTTTCTGTACTTGTAACTATCATATTATGTGTCAGCAATTATCAAGTCAGATTCTGTATCTATAGTTGACATATTATGTATTTGCAGTTTATAGTTTCTATACCTGTAGCTGTCATATTATGTGTCAGCAATTATCAAGTTATTTATTTACATGTACAAAAAATTAATTGTAAATACAAAATGTGTTAACTAAAGGTACAAAATTTTTGTATTAGAATTCACAATGCAATATAATCCATGGTCCATGGTATAACAATTGCGGAACTATGACCTATGGCATAATGATTGGGCAAAATGTACAAATAGTTATGGGCTTAGCGTTATGCATTTTGACAAATGAGCCACGGCCCACATTTCGTTAACCCTAGCGCCACATATATACGTATGATATGAAAATTATGCAACCATCGCAGCCCTAGCTCTGAAGTTCATCTCTGCATCAGCCGGAGTACTCCACTTCTCGCCGGTAAATTTCTCCTTAACTCTGTCTCACCCTATCCGTTTGTGTCGATATTTATTATTGAGTTATGGAGTGATTGAGTTATGATATATATCTGTTCTATAGCAGAAAGCAAATCCAAGTTATGGCATACCAAGCGGTGAAGTCGACAAAGCCCGGGCTAGAGGAGCCACAGGAACAGGTGCACAAGATCAGAATCACTCTGTCATCGAAAAACGTCAAAAACCTCGAGAAAGGTATGCATTTTATACTCGTAAACTCATAAACGCAAAGAAAATATGCTCAACTCTAATTGCTTTCTTTTGTGAACTTAGTGCTTTGATCTTTTAATTGTGCTAGTTGTGCCTGATTGACATGCTTCCATTTTGCAATAATTGTTATCAGCTTAATATTTGTAGTATTCTTCACTATATCTAGCATTGTGTTGGATTTTTAATCTGGAATTTTGATCTATTTTGCATTTTGAGCTGTTCTTTTGATCTCTATCCAATTGCATTATGTTGATACATTTTAGTTTTGTATTTTGTTTGGATATAGGAGATAAAAAGTTTAAACTTTAAAGCTTGAATGTTATACCATAATGTAATTATGTAAACCAATAATTAGCTCAGTTCACTGCATACTGTGAAAGGCTGATTTGATGGCATAGATTGAGAAAGAGCTGCGTGTATTCTTCATAACTCTGGTTTCTGTAGACTGTCTGCATGTTTCAAATCTTATTCTAAATGATTTTCCTTTGTTATCGCATTTTACAGTTTGTGCTGATTTGGTACGTGGTGCCAAGGATAAAAGACTCCGGGTTAAGGGACCAGTGAGGATGCCAACCAAGGTTCTTCACATCACCACTAGAAAGTCTCCCTGTGGAGAAGGTATTATTTTTTTCATTATGGGTTGGACTGCATTTCAGTAATGGGATTACATTTTTTGTATATCATACATTGTAGCCTAGACTTAAGTATAGTCTGATATATCTCTATTAGTTTGGAGCCTTATAGTGCCATACTCTATTATCCTAATGGAATATAACTTTGCTATTATTATTTTGATCGCCAGGTACCAACACATGGGATAGATTTGAGCTCCGTGTTCACAAGCGAGTGATTGACCTGTTCAGTTCCCCAGAAGTTGTAAAGCAGATCACATCTATCACCATTGAACCTGGGGTAGAGGTCGAGGTTACAATTGCTGATTCTTAAAACTTCAGCAACATCGCTTAGTTTTAATTTTGGTTTGTGCTTCCAGTGATGGCTGTTTTGGATTTTTTCTTTCCAGCCTCCAAACTGTGCCCTTAAATATTGTAGACTGTGTACTCTATTATGAGTTTTGGTATTATATTTTCCAAGTTAAGAAAGACATGATGTGACAACGAGAATTTTGCGAATTCATGTGGTGTAATTTTCCCGCATTCAATTGAAGTTTCTGGTATTATGGTGGTATCCTGTTTACATCTGAATGTCACTTTATTGTTTCATTGTGGGTGTTATAATGCTATGGATAGAAGTATTGCATATGAAGTTTGGATGGTTTCCTATTTACATCTGTGACAGCAAAGTCTCTCAAGCTTCAATTACTTTGCCTGGATGTGATTTTACTCTGAAAACATGTTCTTCGCCTGTGCAGTTATCTACTTTGATGATCCAGCGACCTTTCTTCTGTGTCATGGGACTATTAACCATCTCTTTCTTGGCTCTTATTCTGGTCAGCAACAATCCTTCTCCAATAGGCAACAGATGAGTATGCAAGCTGCTGCTCCTCCAAGATTGTTTGCAGAACGCGTTGTAGCCCAAGACAATTGCGGCCTTGTACCTTGTAACTCCCTGCACTGATCTGAGAATGTCATCGTGATTCTTGAGGTTGCAATCGATGGCCAGAAAATCTGCCTGTTTGTAGTGATTCAGCAGCAGGTTCTGAGCATCCCCAGTAACAAATTCAACACTGTTGCCTGGACTAGTGCCCGGAATCAGTTCAGAGACATGCGGCTCTTCTTGCCCAGCTTGGAGTATGCAGAGAACGCGGCCTCTGGTTTGTTGAGCTGCTGCCGCCAATGCTAGCATGGTGGAGTCTGCTGCACTGGTGCACACGACGACCATGAACTGTGAGTTGTTCCCTGCTGCTAGTGCTGAAATAAACTCTGCCCCGTTTAGCTCTTTTGTGTGCTCTCCCTGCATCGAATCCTAGAGAGTAAGACAAATGATAATAGAGATAACTAAACTATGGACTTCCTGAGAGGCTGATACTCACCAATTTCATGGTTCTGATATATGCTTTGGCAGCATTTTCAGCAGACCAGAAACCCATCTTGTTTTGATGTTTCACTTCTCTTTTCTTTCAATCTTTGTGCAGACCAGAGAGATGCCTCAAATGCAGGCATGAATGCTCGAGCAATGTGCTTTTTATATAGCATGTTTTGATCTGATAATTCATTAACAAAATAGAATAATGAAGATGCCTTGATGTTTTGCAGGCTTGCAGCACTGGCAACCATCAGTTCTTATTGGCTGTGATGCTCTTCAAATGGTGGACACTTCAAATTTAATTAAGGTAATAGAAGCCTCTCTGATAAGCAACAGCTTGCAATGTTTTATTCTGATGGCATTATATAATATATTAGGGATCTCATCAAAACATTTTGCTTACCCTAATGAAATTATGGAATCGTTTATTCGGATTGGCAAAATCCCAAGACATCCTAATTGGTAGCACCTTCTCGCTTCTAAATTGAAATTCTTCATAACTTTCGAAAGACATTTGAAATTTGAGACTTCTTTTAATCACTTAAACTTTGAATATGATTGTAACTTGAAAGATGGGTGTTTGAATTTTCAAAGAAAAAATTACCTCAATAATGGCAGATAAAAGGAGTATGTTTCATAGACTATTGGGACAATGATGAGAGAAAAGATTATTAAACTCTTAAATAAATCACACGACTGCACCGGAACATGTGCTTAGTTGTTTGGGCCCCACAGGCCCACTCTGAAGCTCCGAAATACTTTAAAGCACCTAAAGATCTTTGGGCTTGCATAAAACCCATTGGTTCACTTTGTAGAGGCCCATTTGTGTATAGGCCTTAACATGGCCCAGACTTAATGTTTTGAGTCCGTTCTTGAATCGGCCTTATTTTGGGCAGTGAGTCCGTGACTCATTGCTTCGGAATGTTATGCTGTTGACCCGTGTCCACAATGTGCATGGTGGACACTCTATACATTCATAATTTTTATACTGTAAATTCATAAAATTTATAATGTAGATTCATAATTTATATACTGCACATTCATAATTTTTGTACTGTAGATTCATAATTTCTATACTGCACATTCGTAATTTTTGTACTGCAGATTCATAATTTCTATACTGTAGATTCATAAAATTTATAATGTAGATTCATACAGTACAAAAATTATGAATGTGCAGTATAGAAATTATGAATGTGCAGTATAGATTTTATAAATCTACAGTATAGAAATTATGGATCTATAATTTAGAAATTTTGAATCTACACTATAGAAATTATGAATGTACAACGTATCCACCATGCATGGTGGACACGGGTCCATAACATAATTTGCCCATTGCTTCTCACGATTGAATCGTTGGTACAGTTGCGAACCTTATGCAAGTTGAGGGCAAATTCTTGTATGAATCATAATAGAAAGTATATTTTTAATTTTTAATATATTAAAAGTACATTATTTATGTATTGAATGTACATTATTTAAAATAATGTATTTTTAGTATTTAAATAATATATTTACTTTCTCTAAATATAATGTACATTTTTAATATATAAAACTTACATTATTTTGATATGATCTACCCAATAATAATTGCAAATTGAATTCACAAAATTGTATCCTGTTTAAAAAGTAACTTGTCCCATGTCAATCACTTTTGTTGTTGTCCCATAACATGCCAACTCATATGGAGTAGTAAGTTCACCCGTTCTAACACCTCTAACCGTAAAAACAAATATCCATAATGCTATGTAAAAAAGAACATCCATATCAATAAGTAACATTGTGATATATATATATATATATATATATATATATATTGTTAGGATCATGTGAAAATATGTTGACTAATCTCATCTATCTTCGTAGGATGATAAGGGTTAGAAATAAAGAAAAATCACAGTGGAATTTTCGTAATTATAATAATGTATATTTAAAAACATTTGACATTGTATTTTTGAATAATTTACAATGCACTAATGTGTGTGCACTGGTCCGAAAGTATCACAATATTTTTTAATCTTTAATCATTTTAAATAGACGAATGAAATTAATACTTACGATCTTTTGAAGCCATTAATTCTTCTCAAAAGGTTGAATCCTCAACTCCAAAAGTCTTCACACCATGACTCGATAATGCATTTAAAAAGACGTAAATCACGGTGACTCAATGGTTCAGCGGACATGACAAAATATCGGTGCGTACAACTGTACAAGGGACTTGCCCATTTTGGACATAATCTTCACACTGCTGTTGACGAAGTTCAAATCTTGATCTCTTTTCTTAAATATTACTTACTGAACCAGTGAGCTAAGTTCGTGCATACGAATTGAAACTTTCGATTCTTATTTGAATTTGATTCTAGAGTAAATACCTAAAGTAGTCCCTCGACTATAGCTAAATTTACGAATTGGTCTCCGACTTTCAATTTCAACCAATTAAGCCCTTAACTTTGCAATTTTAACACGATTTAGTTCTCCGTCTATTTAACCGTTTGTTGATCGTGATCTTTGAGGATATATATGTAATTTCATGGTCCATCATCGGCCGGAAAATCTTCAATCCTAAATGGAAACCCTACATTCCAGACTTCAAACAAGCCTTCGAACACTTCTGCATCAACGTCGGTGGTCGCGCCGTCATCGACAATCTCCAGAAGAACCTGCAACTCTCTTCGGAGCACATGGACTTGGCAGATTGTGGTTCGAAAATACGTCGTCTTCTTCGGTCTGGTACGAACTCAACTACATTGAAATCGAAAGGGATGATGAAAAAAGGCGTCAGGATTTGGCATATTGCTTTCGACAGTGGATTCAAATGTAACAGTGCGGTCTGGAAATGCAACCGAAACCTTAAAAAACCGACAATGGACTATGAAATTACATATATATATCCTCAAAGATCATGGTCAACAAACGGTCAAATAAACAGATGATCAAATCGTGTTAAAATTGTAAAGTTAAAGATTTAATTGGTTGAAATTAAAAGTCGAGAATCAATTTATGAATTTTAGCTATAGTCGAGGGACCATTTTAGGTATTTACTCTAGATTCTATATATTGTTTAAAATGAAAATTTTAGAAATATAATAAGAGTTGGAAAGGAAATTGAATGTAGGGTGATGGAGGTCCATCTCGGACATCATCGGCTATGACAACAACATTAATGACATGAGTTGGGGGAATGTGTCCCAGTCAGATAGGGAGGGAGCAAGAAGACAAAGAAACGTCAAAAAACACAAAGCGTACGTGGGTCCCAAGGGGCATTACATACACGTAGTAGAGAAAAGTATGTACTCAAACACCACTGGGCCCCACCCACGAACCAATTTATTGATAATGTTTTACTTTGGATGTAATACAATCATACTTTTTAGGTATGCGGTCAATTCCATCACCGTACAAAATGTTTATATATATATATATTTATATTATATAATTATATGGTCACAAGAATATATGACCAAAATATAATTATTAGGTTAGTTGCAAAAAGGCATAGTGAAACCCTAATAAGTAATAATAACTACTACAATAAAGAGAGCATAGATTTGATGGCAACAATCATTTATTCCTCCCTCTAATGGCACACAATTTGAAAAACAATCTTCTTCTTTTTTTTTTTTTTTTTTTTTTTTTTTTTTTTTTTTACTGTAAGTTTTCACTGATACCAATAGTATTTGATATAATTAAACATAATATGTATTGAATATTATTTACATTCATATTAACAATACTTTGTATTACTAAGTGTCTAAGTATCATAAAAGTCTTGTGGTTGAGCGGTATAGACTTTTTTGTACAGATATTATATTGTAACAGAGTTAACAGTATTAAAAAAATGTACAAATATTAATAGAGTCAACAATATTTTTAAAAAAATGTGAGTATAATGATTGATTTATCTCTCTTTTTGATCCTTCGAATTGTATTATGTATCACGACTTTTTACTCTTTGTTATCTAATATGAATATCAACCATTGATACTTCTAAAATTGACCGTATTTGGGAGAAAAATATTGACCTTATATTTTATATTTTTTCTTTTTATTTTACTTAATTAGTGAATAACGTGTGATGAGAATATTACTTTCGTAAGAAATTTTAGAATTTCTTCAATTTCTTTTTTAATAATAAAACTACTTTTGTGAAAAACTATAATTCTTTTTTGGGTGAAAAGTGCAAATTTCTAACGTAAATTTTGGGTTTTAAAAAGTCTTAGCGTGGTAAAACAAAAAAAGGTAAAGGAAGATTAATTCTTGTACCTAACCAAATTTGCAGTATGGTCCCCAAGTTCTTGAAATACACGGTAGGTCTAGATTTTAGGCACCCATTACCCAAGTTAAACATCCCCTGAATTGAGTGTGATTTTTGTATTTAGAATATTCGATTATTGTCAATATCTTTATAGTTAACTCTGTTGTATAGAGTTTCTCAGCATCTTTTTAATACGTCAAGTGTGTTATGATGTTTTATTGTTTTACATTGATAATTTTTTTTATTTTAAATATAAGTACGTAAAATAATGATTTAATTAAAATTTACATATTATTATCAACATAAAAGCATACAAATCTTTTAGCTGTTTTGCTTGGAGTTTATTTGATTCAACCATTATTGTTGAATGAGTTCTTGTGGATAGAAAAATGCCTAATTTAAAGAATAAGATTAGATAACATAGTAAAAATTTAAACATTTTAAATCATCTTAATAAACAAATACAATTTACATTTAAAGTGAACAACTATGATGTAATCCAAAGATATTACGGGATAGTTTTTCGCTTTAATTTATTGGGTTATTTGAATATTCTCTTTGTTATCAAATCCTCCTTAAGTAGTTAATATGATTGAGTTCAAACTATTTTTTATTTTTTACATGTTATTAATAAAATACTTGGTAAATAAATATATAACATTATTTTGTATTATAACTTTGATATTTAATTATAAGATAATATATATATATATATATATATATATATATATATATATATATATATATATAAAAGACAATGGACAATGTGGTGAATATAATCAATGAATAAATTTGAATGTAAAAAATCTTTGCAGTGAAAAAGAATAAAGACAATATAACTAATTAAATTATTATTTTTATTTAATTTATTAATAATGAATAATTTTTTTTTGAATAACGGCATTATAAACACTTAATTCTAAATTAACGGAAGAAAAATATTTTTTACCCGTCCTAATTTTTTTTCACCTCCTAATTTTCCCTCTTGACATGCCTTGTAATCAGTAGCAATCGTTATGTTATGGACCCGTGTCCAGCATAAGGTGCCGTTAGTGGCACCGTTATCTTCCACTTTTTGTTTTTGTTTTTGTTTTTTAATTTCAAACTACTTTGTTATAGGAGTATATGTTCATAATTTTATCACTATATGTTCATAATTGTAAGTTCATAATAGAGCTCTGTGTTCATAATTCCATAATTGTACATTCATAATTGCATAACTATACATTCATAATTGCGTAACTGTACATTCATAATTCAATAACTGTAAATTCATAAATTTTGAAACTCTATGTTCACAATTTTAGAGCTCTATGTTCATAATTTTATCACTATATGTTCATAATTGTAAGTTCATAATGTCAGAGCTCTGTGTTCATAATTCCATAACTTACATTCATAATTCCATAACTGTACATTCATAATTCCATAACTGTACATTCATAATGCCACATACGAATAACGCCATTAAGACCGATACAAAATCAATTTTTTTTTTTAACTGGAAGGCCATATTTTCCCTTAAAACGACGTCATTTTGGACTTGTGTCCACAATGCATTGTGAACACGAGTCCACACCATAATTTGCCAATCAGTAGATATTTATTTTGAATAGATTTCAATACCATATTTTTTAGAATTCTATTAAAATTTTCTCGTTAAAACCCCCCACTTTAAATTCTATTCCACCCACCACCCCCCCCACCCCCCCCCCCCCAAAAAAAAAAAAAAAAATCACGAAGAATTTCGTTGTCAATTTGAACTAAAAAGTTAAAAGGCAACAAACGTATGTGTGCAGACTGTAGAGAACATATGTATACATACAGTATACGAATGTATATCATTTTTTTTTTTGTGATATAACCGCCGCCACCCTAAGCGGACAGTATCGACTCTTCTAAATCTTGCTCCGCTAGCATAGTAACCAAGAGCCTCAACATATCTTCCAGTGGAGCCTCAAGAATTGTCGTTCCCATTTTACGCATATAATTTACTACCTAAAATTCTCTTTCCTTCCCTAAAGGGATACTCAACTCAAGTATGTATTATTAGCCACCAAAACATGACAAAACTCAACAAATGACAATTATATTCGCCAAAAAAAAAAAACACACAGCAGATTAAGGACCACACGTACTGGTGTACACAAAAGCAGCCTGAGGACCACACTAACTAGGGCTGATATGAGTGCATTGCCAAACATAACCAAAAACCCTCCCAGATTTATCATGTTTTCACATACAATTTGTACAACGTAGTCAGCATGAGTTGGATCTCTATTATCCCCATCGTTTCCGCCAACAATACCAGGTTAATACACCCCCCAAAACACGACCCTTTTAACCCGAGACAAAAAACCACACTCACCAACCCAAAACCGAGCCCTGCACCTCCAACCCCAACTTATTCCCATTGCGTTTTGTCACGCTACCAATTCGAGCTATGCATACCGACTGTTAGTGCATAAACCCGTGTATTTTTTCCAGCTGCCCACCTGTACAATCACGGTATTTTTGGTAAGTATAGGTGGAATTATTGCAGTTTTCAGAACAATCATTCAATGGGGCTACAGCTTCCATAGCTAAATATAGTATCTCTACACCTGCACGCTAACTTCTTTTCCGAATGCAAATAGAAGGGGTCGGTCAAATCATTTCAGCGGTGAAAAAACATATGAATACTGGTAGAAGTAGCAACTGTAAAAGAGATGAAAAAAGGGAGAAAAAAGAGCAATTATGAGCAAGCATTGAAAAAATGGAGATTCTCATGTAAAGATTGTGTTGTCCTGTGTACTTAATCATTTTATCTCCCCCCTTTAACTAGAAAATGAGCACATCGAACAGCGAAGCTATAGTCCAAATACAAACGCTTTATTTATTTTTTTCTTTTTTCTTCGTCTAGTTGGTGAGCAGTCTATTAGTGAGAATTACCAACATGGCCCTGTTTCTCCACCAACTCAGACGCTAAAGCAGAATAAAAATGGACAGGAAGTATAACCTACTAATAATCATCCCACTCAACATGAAATCAACACCTTTTCAATTCCGCCTTTTACTAACATACTCAGTGGGAATCTTTCGTATTTATATTTTATTTTTTTTTCGAGTTCAGAAAACTTCCCTTTCATATTTATATTATTTTTTCCGGGAATATTAATCCATTAGAAAAATCAGTGTTCCATATTATGATTGGAGATTATAATGAAAAAGCAGTAAAAAGGCATAATTCACATACCCCATGATGAGCAGTGCAAGTACATTCTCTGCCCTTCAATCACTCCCCAATATTTTTCACCTCCCCTTTCAGTATTTTCATCCCGAGAACATTGATGATCAAAAACCTGCGTAAAAGCAGTAATTAAGCTGGTGAGAATGTGAGATTACCATACAGTCCTTACGGGATTAAGGTCCATAGAACTGATTGGCAAGTGTAGAAAACGGAGAAAGGTGTACACCTGAGCAGTACAAGAGGTGTAAGAATCAACCCCACACAATACAGAAATGAGACGGTAAGTTCAAGTTAGTTGCAAAAGTCCTTTCAGGAATGATATTTAAGTAACTCATGATTCCGATTGACTTCCCTTGCTTAAGGTTTGCTCAAGCATCTTTCTGCAATCAAAGCTAATTAACTAATGACTACAAAATTTCATCTTTCGACATTGGGTAAACCTTCCAAAAATGGGTGGAAAAGTAAGAAATATGATTTTCAAGAACAAGTTAAAGTAGCATAATCAGGGTGAAGTTTGCTTTACAGATACAAAACCTAAAGACTAAACACCAAATGGGAGCGTGTGTGTGTGTGTGTGTGAGAGAGAGAGAGAGAGAGAGAGAGAGAGGCAGATAACCCTTCCCTTCAATTTCCTGATTCTCTGTGGCCACAACTCACGTAGAAATCTGCTCGAAACTGTGGGGGTGGGGCTCTATCATCTCATGATCAGAGACACTCTAGAGCAAGTTTTCTATCTACAAAAAAATTGGTTCTTGATTGCACCCACATTGACTCATTTGATAAATCTCCGGTTTGCTATGCACCCAACATATACAAAGAGACTTGACTTCAGAGAAAAGGTAGTATCATATCAAACAAGAATTCATTCCATGCCCTTTCATGCCATCCATATTTCCATCCTTCCAGTCATTACTATATTATATGAACAGGCAGCCATCCTAATGTTACTGTTATAGAAGCCTTCGTATTCGAATAATTTCCCTGCATGGATCATGATTCATACCTCCAGTAAAGAGCTAAGAAGAGGGTTCAAGGGATATTAAGTTGAAGAACAGATATAACAAGTTGAAGAAAGGAATATGGTTGTACATGATTTATATCACATAATGATAGCATTTAATAGTTACAAAGTACCTATTCTTTTACCTTGAAACTTTCTCTACAAACAAGAAGAATTTCCTTCCTACAAACCAAGAACCTCTGATTTTCCCATGAAAATGGGTCGTGAAATCAGTGTCTATATTAAGTTCCTAGCAATCTAGCATACAATGCTCAATTCCCAGTCCTTTCCTACAAAAGAAATCTCCAAAATCTTCTACTAGAAGCAATAAGTGGACGCAGGAAAGAGAATGTAAAGAATAAAATTACCTACATATCAATTTTCTAAGCGACTTAAAAATTGTAATTAAATAGTAAAAAAAAAAAATTACACTGAGGGCGCATCAACATATACTTCATTGAGCATGTCATCATCACCACTAGCCATCGCAAACACTTCTGCATCCTTCTCTTCTTCGCTAGAAATGTCACCTCTCTCGAGTTTTGCATGAGCTGCAATAAAGATCATCCTCTGAGCTCTGTCCAGGCCGGCTCGGGAGTGGCCTTGCAGACAAATCCATCTCATGAAGGACCAGTTACACTTGACCCCACATGAAGTTGCATGAAGAAAGAGAAGCCTCACAGCGACTTTACCCAGTGACTTAAACTCTTTCAAGCAAGTTTCCCAGACAAGTCTACTGCTCTGAGGATTCGCAACTTTCATTCTGCCTGTCACTGGATCCCGCTGTTTTACCTGAACAGCCTGAGCATAGAGTGGGTCCAACCCTTCAGATCTCCATTTCATAAGCTCCATCAATGCAACAGGAGCTTCCTCCCTTGATACCAGCCGTGTTATGAGTTTGTCCACATCCTTTTCTTGTTCATGTGACAAGCATTTAAACGGTGGAAGATACTTCCCACTCACATCTCTTATCAAGTATAATGGATCAAGTACGAACGCAGCTGACCATGCTGGGTGATAATTTTTCTTGTACCGCCTCTCGACTATCTTTTCAACTGGTTCCTCAGCAATGCTAAATTTTGCACACCAATCTTTTATTTTTGATCTCAAAGCCTCCCAGAGAGGAAGGCATTGCCCAATTAATGGCCTCTCAGCCTCAATTTCTTTAGCCATCTCCTTGATCAGCTTTACTAGCGAATGAACAGCCTCCACATTATTCCAGAACCCAATATCTTGCACCATCTCTGCAACTTCTCTAGCAACGGGATTCTCCAAACACACTGTTTTGAACGAATCATCCATGACAACTAACTGCAGTATCCGAGCATAGCTCCTCACGTCCTCTAACATAGCAACAAAAGGGCCAAAGTTTTTAGACATATCACAGCGGGGCGAAGGAACTCTAGTCAACCCAGCAAGCTCAACCCCATGAGACCTAAACTTGAGCAAATGGTTTCTTACCTGAGACTTGCTATTGAAAAGATTGGCAATCTTGATACAACTATCTGTTACAATTTTGAAAACTGGAAGCTCCCTACTAAAATCTTTAACCAAACTCATAAACCCTTGAAATAGACAAGATAAATTGACCATCCAATTGTGGCGTATCTCTAAATTCCTCAATGCCTTGGCTTTATATCTATCTGCAACTATTCCTACACATCTGGTAACAGCATTCCCACACATCCCTTCTATGGTTTCCCACAAAACCTCCTCTGCATACTGTGATGGCACTAAGCCACCCTTGTACACTGCCTTATGAAACACCCGAGAGGCATTTGGAAGATTGACCATAAACTTAATAACACTATCTTCCCCATAACCACAATTATCATTCTTCCATCCATCAGAAGCAACCTGGAAAAATGCAGCATCTTTAATTCTAGCTTCCGACTCCATTCTTGCTTGCTCAAACTTTGAATCAAGATTAGGCCCAGAAAATTCCTTCTTTGACACGGCGGGTAACCCCACCTGGTTCAAGAAAGCTTTGAACTTTGGATGCTCAAGACACGAGAAGGAAACGGAGCCGCAGGATTCGTAGAACCACTCAGCTAGCAAATTGAAAGCTGAATCGACCTGTTCCTTTTTTAGAGATGGACCGGGCGAAGGTCTCTGGCTTTTAAGCTTCTTCACGCTATCTTCCAGCATTGCTAACGCGCCCAAATCCTCTTTTCCGCCGGACAACACCACCGGCTGGTGAGTCATGCCCGTGTTAGTAACCATAGCAAGCGGAGTTTGTGAATAAGCCGGCGTCTCATTACAAAACCGCGGAGAATCCACCAGCCCAACGGGGTATGAACTCGAAGACGCCACCCCAGCTTGCTTTGAGCTCCGCTTCCGGTAATTCTGCGAAGTGGGAGAAGCTAAAGGCGGCAATTGAGAAATGGGTCTCAAGACCGCGCTGAAATTCGGGCACGTGCCTCTCTTGAGATGCTCCGTGGCGGTCCGCGACGGGTTTGAAGCCGAAAACGCAGCGTCGCAAAGATTGCACTTGAGCTTCACAGCTTTTGGAAGGTCAGTTTCCGGGTTCCGAATCAAAATGGGCTCAAGATGAGTCCAATACCAAGCTCCTTTCCCCTTTATAGCCTTGGTGCGAATCGCCACCAGACCCTCGTACCGCTTGTTCACCGCCTTCACAGCCCCGTCTTCGCGTGACGACGAGGCGTCACCCGGGTTCGTGTTGACGTCAGCCATTGCAACCAACCAACCCACCCCCCCAAAAAAAAAAAATCAAATTTTTTTGTTGGAGAAGAATTGCGAAGAAAAGTCAAGCTTTTTTTCTTTTTTTTTTTTCCCGTTCTGCTAAGCTCGCAGTGAGTTTGTCTCTCTTGCATTCATCCCGGGAAACTACTCGAGACTGAAATGGTTATCCGGAGTCTCCATAGCTCCACACCGACATCGCCGGAAAAGAAGGAGTGCATGGGAGGGAAAACACTCAAAACAGTGATGAAGTCCACAAACTGTTCGACGAATTGCTTAGCAGAAATGAAAACGAAAACTCAAAACACAGCCCCCTGAGAATAAAGGCGCTGGGCAGAGAGGAGGAAGAAGAAGGAAAGAGAGCTTCTTGTGTTTGCCTTTGAGAAATGAGAATTGAGAAGAGAAAAAAACTGTGGGGGATGAGGTAGAGGACCACGTGGTGATAAAGGCGCGTGTGGAGAATCTACCAAACGGAGTCTTAGATTTGTCAACAGGGCATATTATTATTTAACCCTAACCCCACCAAATATCAATTTATCACCAACATAATGAGGAATATTTTTCTTTTCTTTTTCTTTTTTTTACGTTTTAATTAATTATACTAAATATAATTATATATATATATATATATATATATATATATATATATATATATATTACTCCCTGTTTTATTTAATTCCTTTCATGATTAGTATTCATTCAGTATCAAATACTTACCTCCCTACACTGGGTGTGACTTTTACATCCACTTTCTGCCCACCATTGACTTTATAATTAAAAAAAAAAAAATCAAGTCATTTCGTACTACAAAAATACATACCAAAAAAAAAAAAAATCATAATATCCTTAAATAAAATTGAAATTTCATTAAAATAGTTTTAATTTATTTTTATCACATTTTAAGATTTTCGGGGCAACTCCAAAATTACAAAATATATGAAAAGTCTAAATATGTTATATGACCCTAAAAAGCATTTTAATGGGATCCTCTAAAAATACATTTTGATTGAGTGATATAAAATAATAATTTTAAACAAGAGGTCATATATTCAAATTTTAATTTTTAAAATTGTTAAAACAAATTAATTTTAATTTTTAAAATTGTTAAATGCATCAATTAATTTTAGTAAAGGGATGTGTATATATTTGAGCGTATTTATTGTAACCTGTCTAAAGTTGTTCACATTGTATTATTTGTCAATTTATATAATTAAAATTTAACCCACTTTTAACTTAGGTCATAAAGATATTGGAAGTAGGTTAACAACAAGTAATACTTAGTGCATTTAATATTATGGAGTAATTTTCTTCTTCTTCTTCTTCTCCCAATGGAGTAATTTTATATTCAATACTATTATTTTATTTAGTTTACAATATTTAAATATTATTTTAAAAAATAATTATGTTTATATATAATTCATGTGTACCTGCCTCAAATACCTCCTAAACAATTAAAAATTAAACATCTTGTTTTAAAATGAATGTTGAGTAGGTGAAATATAATTTATCGTATCAAAAAATTATGAATTTAGTTTTTCATAACACTTTCTTTACCAAAATTTATTATTATTTTTTATGTATAGTTCACAAGTTATATTATATACGAGTGAGAATTGTGCTCGGAAAAATAAAAATTGTGTCAACACCCAGCAAAGGTGCTTGAAAGGTGGGGCCCACCCACAGGGTTTTTGCCAACAGAAATTGACTACCCCATTATAGGGTCAACTGGTCAGCGATACTATCTCAGCTAATGGTAAATGGTTACTGCCCAGGCGACATGGAAACCAAACTATATTTTAGTATGACAACCAATTTTCTTAAGTGTTTTACATACGCATACTTATAGGTTTTGGATATGAGGTGTGTTGATTAGGCACACGCTAACAATAAAGATTAAGGATACATGAGATTATGTAAATGCTATAAGTGATTTGAGTATGATTATATCGGGTAAATTTATCTTCAACAATGACATATATATCTACGAAAAAGAAAGAAGAACGATTATTTTAGGTTAACCAATGACTGAAATTCTGGAAGGTGATGCCTTGTGCTTTCCTTCAAGGCGGATAGTAACTATGATAGGATATCGAATGATATTTTAATAGATTTTAAAACACGTACTAATTTAAAAATACATATTGTGCATTAGACTATCGCGCAATACGCGTGTGATAACTAGTGTTAATAATAAACATTAAGGACCAATTCTACCATCAACACAATTCAAATCTTAATAAGAGGATAATCATTTTATCCTAATTAAATTAATGACTGTATACTCTTACTAAGGTCATGTTTGGTAAATGACTGTTAGCTATTAGCTGATTGGGTTAATTAGAGGATATAACTAGTTGATAATATTAGCTGATTGTAGAAACGTATTTGGTAAATTAGCTGTTAGCTGATAGTTGTTTGGTATAAATTTTTTTCTCAAAAAGCTAATTGAAAAAGTTGTTTTTTTTTAGCTTTTTGAATTTTAGCATTTTAGAGTACAAAAAGCTACTTAATCAGACACTTATATTGATTTCTAAGTCAAGTCAAACAACTAATAGTGGTCAAATAAGTCAAAATTGACCTATAGGCTAACTACTTTACCAAAGAAGCCTAAATATTTTTTAAAAGAAATCAGAAATATAAATTCTCACCCCATAATTTGCGAGACAATTATTACCCAGCCATTAACGTATGCAATTTCGTACTCCCAAAAAGCAGCGGCGTAGTGCGTAATTACCAGAAATAATAATTAAAAAAAAAAAACAATTAACGTTGTTAATAATTGCGAAGCAGATAGATATTTGGTATGCAGTTTAAATCACTCTGCTAATTAAGTCATAATGCAATCTTAATCAACAGCTAATAAGTCAAATACATGTGTCATAACACACAACTGTCAGCCACTCGTTCCCACTTTAGGCTCCGTAGTATAAATTAAATATAAGTACACAATGAGAAGGTGACAAATACATTATATTGCACCACCACATATTATTGGGTGACTACAAATACATTTATATCATAGTGGAGCTTCTTCTTAGTATTATTATAAACATCCAACATGATATTGATGCCTAAATAATGTCTTAAGCATTTGGTAAAGTTGATAATTGATTAATTAAAAAGTAGTTATTGCCATATGCATTATGTATTTAACCACTTTTTTTGTTAAGTACATATGAATCAATGATAACGAAGAAAAGTTATAAATATTTAGGTCATTGTAGTCTTGTAAAAGCAACAAATAGTAAGGGATTTAAGCCATTATATTGTGAAATTCATTGAACATGCATGTTAAGATGAAGGGGATTGGAGAATGATTATTCGGAGTCCGTTGTCAAATTTGTTTATTGATTTGCTTCTTTAAATTTACAAAAATAGTTCTTATTATATTATATATATAAGAATTGATTATCGAAACATCACCTCTCTAGTTAGACCACGTAGTCGGACCAAACCCTGACTCATCGCGCTGAAATTTTGATATATGGTTGGAGTAATGTAGTGACATGAACTACTACAATCATTGTAATTGCAATTCATTTAAACGATCGTTCAAAAATAAAAATAAAAATAAAAATAATAGTTGGAATGTTGGACTACTCTCACCAAACCCTCATTCTTCATGTCAAAATTGATATAATTGGGAATCATTCACTACTCCAATCACTTTAATTAATTACATTTCATTTGAGGTCTAAACAATCATTTAAAAAATAGTTAGAAAGGTGGACTGTTGCAGTCATGCATTTTGGTCGCTCATTTACATGCACATTCGCTCAAAATTTCAAAGGATCGAGGTTGAGTAGGGTTTCAACTTTCAAGTATGGGAAGGGAAAGACAAAGGGTATGAGAAGCATGGGCGGATCCAAAAAAATTATCTGAGTGGGGGCGAAGTTCAAATGACTTTAAAAATGTCATGACAAAATATCAAACACAATACTTATAATAGACTACAAAATAGTTAGGCGCAAAGCCAAAAATTACAATATTGTCCCTATTGTAGATCTGTCCTTGGTGAGAACGGTGACTTATCACAACTGTTTCGACTACTAGTTTAAATGCACATAGAGAAGATGAGTAGGGTTCTAGGTATGGGAAGAGGAGGACAAGAGGGTGTGATGCAGTTGCCAAAATGGGAGCAACCAATATTCACAAGAGGTATGGCGATGGGAAATTTATCAAAAGAGGGTGTAATTAAATGTGACATTTGACGTTCAAATTAATAAACCCCATCAACTTGCGTTCTCCTCTTCCATGTCATTTTCTTACATTCCCAATGTTAGTAATTTTTTAGAAACAACACATTTACGTATTACAAAAAGCATTGTTGGGCCATTTAAGGAGATTTGTACTATAGTACTACGTACTAGTATTTCATTATTTACCTATTACTGCCTTCATCTTTTCATGTTAATCTCCATTTACTTCGTACTATTTTGTCAAACACATACATAAATATTTATGATCTCATAACAACCCAACCAAGTTAGTAAAACATTTAGTTTAATAATCACAATATTCTAAATTTAACTCTATGTCGATGTTACCTATTAGTTTTATTGATTTGAGTCAATTGATCCTGGATTGATTCTTTGTCAATTAGAATCACGATACGAGATTCATCCAGATCGCATATTCAAATAACGGCTATAAATTTATTTATTTTTTATATAAATTATAATATTTATGGTCCAATATAGCATATATAATATCACAAGTTACATGTGTCGTACATCTTTATCAAGTACAAACATGGACGGATCCCGTATGGGACAGTGGGAGCAGTTGTCATCCTCCCCACCCCCACCTCACTCCTTATATTAGGGGACCATTGTATATGTATATAGTAAATGTTTAGATATAATTAACTAATATAGATATAAATTACTCAAAGATGAAGTAGTTTAGGTGGTTAATTATGTATGTGTTATATAGTAGAGGTTAAGAGTCAAAATCTCTCTAGTGATTAATTTCTTCTTCCAAAAATATCTCATTTGTTTTAATCTTTTGCCCCCACTGGATGATATTTCTAGCTCCGACCCTGAGTACAAAATATCTATGGGTCAAAAATATTAATTTGTTACCGTGAAAGCAACAAAACAGCTTCAAAAGCAAATATTGTATATTAATATCATATTTTAATATTATAATTGTTATTAAATTTATTATCTTTTTTACTTTCTAACATAAATTTAAAAGAATAGTAATGAAATTCCTCATATTTGATTTCAAGTATTTTTAATTTGCTAACTTGTTCTCTTTGAAACATATTTATTTTGCAATAAATTTTTTTTTTACTTAAATCCTATATGGGACAAAATAGTTCTAAATAAGGTGATTTAATTCCAATTTTTTCATAGCTTAATGCATTTTTAAATTATTTTTCCTTTTTTCTATATTTATTTTAGTAATAATATATT